TTTGGGGTTCAACCAATTTCAAAACCTGTTACCGGGGGGGGGGGGGGGGGGGGGGGGCGGTGGTGAGGCGAAATAAGCAGTGCCGTTATTGGAAATAAGATGATAGTTTGCAAAGTTAACGTTTGTCGTATGTTTTATGGTTAGCGATGCTCGAGCGATTCGTTCCAGAGTTACATGTACAGCCGTCCGCAAACTGCGTGGTAGGTATTCTTATTCGGTATTCTTGCTATTTTGACAATGTACCCACTGGCGGATCCAGGGGGGCCACGGGGGCCATGGCCCCCCCAAAGGCCTAAAGTGGCCTGTTTGGCCCCCCCAAAAACGTCAGAAAAATTTCTAAGAAAATATACCTTGATGGAGGTTTTTAGCCACTTGGTGAAGTAAAGTTTCCACAGCATAATATGGAAGCAATATGGTAGCAGTGAGGGTCAGTCAAAAGTTGCGCGAGCGGAGTCGACCTTCAAAAAAAGACTGTTGTTGGCACGTGTTTATGGCGCGGCAACTGGTAGTTGGCGGTGTTTCGCGTGGTGTGGCATCACTGGCGGATCCGGGGGGGGGGGGGGGGTAGCACGGGAGCCTGAGGTGCCCCTGACAGGCCCGTGGTGCCCTTGCTAGGCCTGTGGTGCCCCTGGACCCTGGCAGGCCTGTGGTGCCTCTAGCGGGCCTAGGGTGCCCCTGCTAGGCTGCTGATGCCCCTGGGACCTGACAGGACTGTGGTGCCCCTGACAGTACCCTGACGTCTGAGGTACCCAACTGCAGCTCCAATGGTCTCTTACACTGGCGGATCCAGGGAGGGGGCATTTAGGGCCATGCCACCTTCCCAGAGGTCTAAAGTGGCCCGTTTGCCCCCTCCCCCAAACGATAATGAAACATAGTTCAATCAGTGCGTGGCCTAGGAGCCGAGTTAGACAGGGGGTGTTTTACCACCTCCCGGCCCGCAAAGGGACCCAAGCACTGACTCGAAGCGGGTTAACTGGTCGACAAAAGCAATGGTAAGTGCTTACAAAGTAATATAAAGGCATGGGTCGGGTGGGCTACCATTTATATATTTTTCTTTCTAGTTAAAAAAAAAATAATAGTGTCGGGCCTGTGACGAAAAATAAGTGGCCTAAATCCGATGAGAAAACAGGATTTGGGGGTAGGGGAGAGTGGGGTAAGATGCCCAGGGTGGGAAAGACGCCCCACCCCCTCTAGCGGGGAAACAAAGAATCGAACCTGGAAATGAATGTTCTTAGCGTAAAGCGGAAGCCTGCCTTGTTAACTGCACAAAAATTTGCGAAGCTCAGTTGGGCAACGGCTGGCTGGTGATTACATGTTTTTTATTTGCTGCTTTCAAAAAATATTTTGGCGTCAAAACATTGCAAATATCAAAGAAGGTAGATAATTTTTGCGTCCCTTGCTATAGTCGTGATACATTAACATGCGTGTAATGTGTCCCAAACAGTTTGTTTCAGGGTGTAGTTTTATGGCTAACAAATTGTGCTGATTTAATGTTACTTCGGTACCTTGGGGTAAGATGCCCCCTGTCCTGATGGGGAAAGACGCCCCCCCCCCTAAATCCGTAGGCTGTCCTTCAAGCAGCCCGTCAAATCATTTATTACATACTTGTGATGAGAGACAAAAGCCGATCTGGGACTATTGAGAGTCCAGTAAGGTCGGGTGCTCCCCATGCCGGTCTCTCGGCCCACACAGCGACTTTTTGGGCGGCATCTAACTCTGAGAGCCCTCACGACGGCCTCTGTGGGCCCCATTATTGGTTCCAGGGCCCCTCACGACATCCTTTGAGGGCTCCCACGTTGGCTCCACGGGCCGCGCTGGCATCTGAGGTCCCCACGATGGGCTTGAGGGCCCTCAAGCATCATGAAGACCTATAAGGGCCCCACAGTGGTCTCCGAACGCCACCACGGAGGCTTGTTTGGCCACGCTGGACTATGATGGCCCTAACGATGACCTCTGAAGCCCCTTACGACTACTTTTGAGGGCCCTTACGATGACGTTTGGTGTCTACTGCAGGCTCGAAGGGACTACTGATTCGTTCAGGCGATTCACGTGCCTATTTTTGTCACTTATAGTGCAGGGGGCATCTTACCCAACGCCAGGGGGCGTCTTTTCCACCCTGTGGGGTAAGATGCCCCCTTTCACTTCTTCAGGAAAATGCTTGATAGCAAAAAAAGTTATCATGTTTCAGGCACGAAAATGTGATATTTTTGGAGAAAAATGATGTCAGCTTCCGTTGAAACTCCAAGCTTTGGCTTTCCGATCGTCATTTTCGAATAGTATATGACATAGTCAAACCCTGGGCATCTTTCCCCACTCTCCCCTACCCTAGGTTTGGCTCCAGCATGAGTTGGCCCCCCAAAAACGCAAGCCTGGATCCGCCAGTGAATGTACCAGTTTTTGTGACCTTGTGACCTGGCCTCGGATCACTGGAACCTAAAACTCCAAGGCCAAGTGACAAACAGATGCTCCGAGTCGTGTCTTAAATTTGGTAGCGCTACGTGCTATAGAACTCACGCTATCAACGAAAAACTCTGGCATTCGGTTGCCGCTAAACTAGTCCAATTTTTCCCTGACCTTGTACGGGGTTTGTGACCTGGTGACCTGACCTGAAAAGACTAGAGATCTGAAATTTTCAGGACAAGTGCCAAAAGGTTGCCCCAGAGGGTATGCCAAATTTGAGCGCCGCCGTTTTTACGTTATTTGTGAAAAACCTTAGGGGGGGGGGGTGCATCAACCCCCCTCACCGGGCGAGGGCTAACTAACATAATACATTGTAGTAAAGGCTACCCGAACCGGTAATGATTCTTGCTTTTTTGTTTAGCTCAGCCGTATTTAGAGATTTAGCTGGCTTTGTCCATGAATAACAATATCGGCAGGGGCGTAGCCAAGGGGGAGGGGCCACGGGGGCAATGGCCCCCTCCCTTGAGCGCAAAACGCGCCATGGGGGAGCCCCTCAGGCCCCGGGATATTTATTTTTTCAAACACTGGATAAAACGTCTTTTACTCGGAAGAAAATTGACATCGAAGTTTCATTTCTGTGGCCCTCTGATGACCCAATGGGCCCCTGCACTCATCCGATGAGCCCCGGTTTCCTGGGGCCCCTGGTCGCCTAGAGGGCCCGGTCGCTTGGGGGCTAGTCGCCTGGGGGCCCCTGGCCGCCTGGGGGCCTGGTCGCCTGGCCCCTGCCCCCTGGTCGCCTGGAAGAACGCTTGTCACCCGCAGTGGCATAGCCAAGGAGGGGGCCAAAGGGACCATGCCCCCCCGGAAGCCAGGGGTCCTTATTCTATAGGGGCCCCTGGCTGACACAGTGGGCCCTTGGCGACGCAAAAGCCCCTGCGGTGCAGATCCTTTGTTTGACACAGCGGAGTAGTTATACTTTGGCCAAGAGAGCCCCAATTTTAGAGCCTTGGGGCCCTTTTGAAACCAGGGGGCCAGTTGGATGGGATGGGTCCAACTTGGGTCCAACGGTGTGTAAACAGAATCAATGCGTTCCGACTGTTGGTCTGACCCTATGTCGGTTTGAGGGAGCTCGGATCGGATCCACTGTCGATCTGAGGGGCCCCTATCGGTTTGAGGAAGCCCTCAAATGCCCTGAACGGGTCCTTAGTTTGTCTGAGAGAGCCCTCCGTCGGCATGACTGGGCCTCTGCAAGTGCAAGGAGGGCTTTTGTCGGTCTTAGTGGCCCTTAGGCGGCTTATATGACCCTCAGACGTCTTACGAGGCTCTCATGCACTGTAGGGGCCTGTGACGGTCTGAAGAGCCCTCATCCGACCTACGGGCTCTCAGACCGCCCTCAAAACCGACTGGCGACTCTATGAAGCTATTCGTGGGCCTATCTAACAGGGCCCATGGACTGCTCACCCCCTCAGTTCTAATATTTTTTGTTAATAAATATTTTTCTATTTATTTGGGCCCCCTCCAAAAAATATTGAATCCAACCAGATGGCTTTTTGGATTTTGAGGGGGTTATCTTGGGCCCCTGTGCGTTTAGCCCGCTCCTTGAGGAAATTCTGACTACGCCCCTGAATATCGGGCAACCAGAAAACTTTTTTTTTCGACCTTCAAACAGCATCCAGTTTGCTTAAGACCAGAAAGGTAGTACCGGACGTCCGGCCGGACCAGAATTTTTGCATTTGCTTCTGGGTGGGCAAATCGACGCCACTGGGTGGGCAATTGTGGTGACTGGGTGGGCATTTGCCCACCCAGTGGGTATGTTAGAGGAGGCCCTGGTCCGATTGATGACGTCACACTATGCACCGCGTCCGATTGCTGCAGTTTCGCATCTCCTCTGCTATGTGTCTCGTTGAATATAACTGGTTTTATGGCTGCCTTATAACCGATCGTATCACTCAGCCGCCAAAGGGATATTATGGTGCCAGCTGGAACGTATGTGTGGACGATTAGAAATTGCATCTGCTGATGCAATGTTTCCCCGTTGAAAGGGCGTCAGCGATTTGTCGTTATCGGCCCGGATTCAGAGCCGTAGATCAGACAAGCTATCCAGACTCGAAACGGGCTACAACTGGACGGGGATGGTGATTATCGGAGCCGTCGGTTTAGCCTGAAATGCATTATTGCGTCACATATGTAAGCCCTACTTTCTAGTAAATCCAGTGTCGGTTTGTTGTGATCTCACCAAAACTTTGATCCAACAGTCACTGAATGATCACCGACCGGAGTTTGTAACGACTCCTGGATTTAACAGACACGACATTTCTTTCCGTTACCGAACACGTGAATGCTTGAAAACCCACCATGTGGAAGCACCTAAATGCATGCATACTGAGACTGACATAGATACTAATTCGTGACACTGTCTTTCCTGTGGTGGTAATCGTACACGTTTTATGAAGTCGTCCTGTCTGGTATCCATTACAGCAACGAAAAAACATTTGTCACGCCTGTCATACGATGATGTTTCTCACGTAAACCACGACATGTATGCAGCTACAGCACGCCTCTGTTGAACGTGAACTGACCGTTCCCCCTCTCCCCCACAGTCCTGGGACGCGCACTTTTCCCGCGTGGCGGCCGGCGCGGCGCCGGGGGCCGCGTACGTACCGCCCCCGCAGCTGAAACCGCCCTCAGCTGGCACTGCGCCCCTGTCCGCCCTGGTGGCGCCGTCCGCGGGGGGAGTCCTGAGCGGGGCCGCGCCGTCAGCTGAGGAGATCCAGGACCACCTGAGTGTCACCGGGCTCATCAGGAGTTACCAGGTGAGTTAGAGGACCACCTCAGTGTCACCGGACTCATCAGGAGCTACCAGGTGAGTTACAGGACCACCTCAGTGTCACTGGACTCATCAGGAGCTACCAGGTGAGTTACAGGACCACCTCAGTGTCACCGGACTCATCAGGGCTACCAGGTGAGGCACAGGATCACCTCAGTGTCACCGGACTCATCAGAAGCTACCAGGTGAGTTAGAGGAAGTTAAATAACTCACCGGACTCATCAAGAGCTACCAGGTGAGATACAGGACCACATGAATGTCACCGGACTCATGAGGAGCTACCAGGTGAGCCAGAGGACCACCTGAGTGTCACAGTAGCTCATCGGACTCATCTGGAGCTTTAGGTTAGCTATGGGGGAAGGCGGGAGATTGAGAAGTACTTGAGCGTATAGCGGGATTCACCAGGTGTTGTGCGGTTTAGAGCGGAGCCATGGCAAGTTTTATTCACGTTGTTAGAAAAATCTTCGAGCTTTTGATACTGTGATTTGTGTGACTGCATATCGTGAACTTGTGTTACATACTGTGTTTTATGGACATTTGATATACCTCCCTAGCGCTTTATTTCTTGCTTTGTACTTCCATCTCCTTCTTGTACATGAGTGTGGTTTGCCATCGTGTTCCCCTCACAACAGGAATAACGAGACAGGCACACGGGACGACTGGATGACGGAAAATCGGTCAGTTCGGCTGCCCATGGCCTTTGGTCGCCGGTCAATGGCCATTGGTCAATGACTCAATGCCTAACGGCCTAGAAGTCGGGGCCTACGGCCTAGGCCGCTGTCTAGACCGGGCCTAGCCAGGCTAGGTGGACCGTTGTGGCTGTAAGTTTTCTACATGCCAGCCTGCCGTTTCTTAGCGTCTGATGTGGTAGTGATTTGCCGGGCCATGTGACGCCTACCGTTTTATTCAGTAGGTAATAGACGTGCCTGAGTTGTTGGTGAGGTCGTGTTTGGTAGTGACCGATCCTGTTTGGCATGCTGAGCTACCGGACCGTGTCACTTTGTCTTATGGTATACCGACGAACTGTGTCTGTTTCTTCCCAAAAAGTATTTCAGAAATAGTGATCTTGGTAGTTTTTCGATCTGTGAAACGATATTTTGTTGAGTTGATTAGATCTGCTATCATTGTGTGTTTTTTATCGGGTCCAACTCGCTAAATGATGTCATATAGCCTCGTTGATGGTGCGCCCTAAAACACCAAATCATCATCGCTAAATGATATCGCACTTATTCCATATATTCAGTTGTCAATGACCTTAGTAAGGTTCCTGTTCCGTCTTGCATGAAAGTGTTTCGTATTTAGGCATGCACGTATGGTTTATTGTTTGGTATGGTCATGACCGAGAATGCATCTCTCTTTCATGCTATGGTCGAACCGTCGAATGCCATCTTTGCTATTATCAGGCGCATGTTTGCTGGTGACTTGGTGATATGATTGAATTGAACATAGGCTGTGATGATGTTGGAGGATGCTGTTACGTTGTTTTCAAACAATTATGTATCTGGCTGTTTTTATTTATAGCATGCAGGATTATGATATGCTCATAACGTTGAACCGCCCGTATGCAATGTGACCCGCCGTGTGACACTGTGACCCAATGTGACCCGTCACGGTGTCATGTGACCCAGTGTGACCGGTCACGGTTTCATTTTGTGACCCAGTGTGACCTATCGTGTGACACTCTGTGACCCAGTGGGACTCGTCACAGTGAGCTGTAACATTATTTGACCCAGTCAGTGACCTGTCACAGTGAGCTGTGACGGGTGTAATCGGTGCCTCTGACTCCCTGTGACCTGTTGTGACTCCCCGGACTTGGCTTGCTGTATGGAGGTCGACGCCCTAGCTCGTTTCCGTCTGACCGCTCGTGACATCCGCCGATCGTTTATGGCCTGTGATCTCACGCCGTCTGGGCGATCAGTCAACTGCTGGGACCGATTTTTACTGTCCACAAAATCATATTTATCTGGGTCATGTTTGACCATTTTTAACTGAACATCGCCTGCGATCGACCATGGGCCCTTATGGACGGACCCGCTTGTCTAACCTGACTACTGACCTGACTTGACCTGACCTGACCTCAGATTAGTGGTCACCTGGTAGCGAGGCTGGACCCGTTGATGACCTGACCTCTGAACCTGTGACCTGACCTGACCTGACCTCTCCGTCAGATCCGCGGTCACCTGGTGGCTCGCCTGGACCCGCTGGTAACCTGACCTGTGACCTGATCTCTGACCTCTGACCGGTGACCTGTTCCCCAGATCCGCGGTCACCTGGTGGCCCGCCTGGACCCGCTGGAGATCGAACGGAAACCGGTGGAGACTGCCTCCGAGATCGTGGTGCGCGGATACATGAAGACGTTCGGTAAGCGGAGGGTGTGGGGTGGGCTGGAGAGAGGGGTAGCGGAGGGTGTGGGTTGGGCTGGATAGAGGGATAAGAAAGGGAGCGAGAGGAGAGAGCTGAGCTGGGTGAGTGGGAGGAGGTGAGGAAAATGGTACGAGATGGGAGACACGAACCGGGGGAGGAAGCAGAATGGAGTATAGAACTAGGAGAGAAGAAGGGAGGTGAAGGGGAGGTTTTCAGTGAATCTAACCATGAGCAGTGAGTGATGTGTGTTGTCGCCACCCAGCGGTCCTCGACATCGGCGGATTAGGAGGGTCAAGCTTCAGTCTATCCTTGTTCTTGACTTCCGACCCCGTCTCAGACGAGCAGAACATGAACATGGTGCTCCAGCTGCCCTGATATGTGACCCCTGACCTCTAACCTGGCCCCTGTGACCTCTCTCCCTCCAGATAAGCAGGACATGAACCGCGTGTTCAGGCTGTCCTGACCTGTGACCCCTGACTTGTGACCTCTGACCTGACCTGTCTTCCTTCCTTTCTTTCTTTCTTTCTTTCTTTCTTTCTTTCTTTCTCTTTCTCTTTCTCTTTCTCTTTCTCTTTCTCTTTCTCTTTCTCTTTCTCTTTCTCTTTCTCTTTCTCTTTCTCTTTCTCTTTCTCTTTCTCTTTCTCTTTCTCTTTCTCTTTCTCTTTCTCTTTCTCTTTCTCTTTCTCTTTCTCTTTCTCTTTCTCTTTCTCTTTCTCTTTCTCTTTCTCTTTCTCTTTCTCTTTCTCTTTCTCTCTCTCTTTCTCTCTCTCTTTCTCTCTCTCTCTCGCTCTCTCTCTCTCTCTCTCTCTCTCTCTCTCTCTCTCTCTCTCTCTCTCTCTCTCTCTTTCTCTCCGTACAGCTGAGTAGGACGTTATGTTCCAACCTTATGTTCCTTATGTTCCAATCTTATGTTCCAGCTGATCTGACCTGAGCTCTGTGACCATTGACCCATTACCTCTCTGATCACTCTGATCCTTGACCTCTGACCCCTGATCTCGCCCTCCAGATGAGCAGGACATGGACCGCGTCTTCCAGCTGTCCTGACCTGTGACCTGTGACCTGACCTGTGACCTCTCCCTCAGATGAGCAGGACATGGACCGCGTCTTCCAGCTGCCATCCTCCACGTTTATCGGCGGCCGGGAGAAGGCGCTGCCGCTCAGGGAGATCGTCAACCGGCTGGAGCAGGCCTACTGCAGGTAATTCAGCAGCTGTCTGCTGCCGCGACCCGTCTCTGTCCCTGTCACCCCCCCCCCCTCCCCCCACCGGAGCAGACCTACTGCAGGTGGGTCAGCTGATCAGTGGCGCCACTGCCGGTAAGTCAGCTCGCCAGTGGAGCGACTTGTCTCTGTCCCCTGCCGCCACCCCACTGGAGAAGGTCGTAACTGCAGGTGAGTCAACTGTTTGCTGCCGCGACCCGTCTCTGTCCCTGTCTCTGTCCCCGTCGCCTCCCGTCTCTGTCTCCGTCTCTGTCCCCGTCGCGTCGCCCGCACACCCGGGCCACCGGAGCAGGCTGGTGAGTCAGCTCGTCAGTGGCGCGGCCCGTCTCTGTCCCTGTCCCTTCCCCACACTGGAACAGACCTACTGCTGGTGGGTCAGCTGATAGTGGCGCCACTGCAGGTAAGTCAGCTCGTCAGTGGAGCGACTCGTCCCTGTTCCCTGTCCCCTCCCCACTGGAACAGACCTACTGCAGGTGGGTCAGCTGATCAGCTGCCCGTTCCCCGTCCTTTATCCCTTGTCCCGTCTCCCTCCGTCCGCCGTCCCGTCCTCCCCCTCGCCGCTGGAGCAGGCCTTCCGAGCGTGACGGAGACTGGTGGATGGCTATTTGATGACGTCAAGAGCTCATGATGCTGGCAATAAAATCCGTACAGCAAGTGTCCAAACGCCATTGACTTTCTCGATGTGTATCTTTTTTCTTTTTAGCTGACTTTGGCCAAACTCGGCGCAGTAATGCGAGCTTTTTATTGATGAGTATGGTCAGATCCTCTCAGTGAACCCCGACACGCTTCTCTTCGTTTACAGTAGTATCGGTGCAGCCGGATCCACCAACTGAACCTCGCTGTGTTCCAGGAGTATCGGCGTGGAGTACATGTACATCAACGACCTGGAGCAGTGCAGCCGGATCCTCCAACTGAACCTCGCTGTGTTCCAGGAGTATCGGCGTGGAGTACATGTACATCAACGACCTGGAGCAGTGCAGCTGGATCCTCCAACTGAACCTCGCTGTGTTCCAGGAGTATCGGCGTGGAGTACATGTACATCAACGACCTGGAGCAGTGCAGCCAGATCCACCAACTGAACCTCGCTGTGTTCCAGGAGTATCGGCGTGGAGTACATGTACATCAACGACCTGGAGCAGTGCAGCCAGATCCACCAACTGAACCTCGCTGTGTTCCAGGAGTATCGGCGTGGAGTACATGTACATCAACGACCTGGAGCAGTGCAGCCAGATCCACCAACTGAACCTCGCTGTGTTCCAGGAGTATCGGCGTGGAGTACATGTACATCAACGACCTGGAGCAGTGCAGCCGGATCCTCCAACTGAACCTCGCTGTGTTCCAGGAGTATCGGCGTGGAGTACATGTACATCAACGACCTGGAGCAGTGCAGCCGGATCCTCCAACTGAACCTCGCTGTGTTCCAGGAGTATCGGCGTGGAGTACATGTACATCAACGACCTGGAGCAGTGCAGCCGGATCCTCCAACTGAACCTCGCTGTGTTCCAGGAGTATCGGCGTGGAGTACATGTACATCAACGACCTGGAGCAGTGCCGCCGGATCCTCCAACTGAACCTCGCTGTGTTCCAGGAGTATCGGCGTGGAGTACATGTACATCAACGACCTGGAGCAGTGCAGCTGGATCAGGCAGCGGATCGAGACGCCCGGCGTCCTGTCGGCCACAAAGGAGCAAAAGCGCGTCCTGCTGGCCAGACTGGCGCGAGCCTCCGGGTACGTGGCGGAGATGGGTGCCGGGTTTACTGGTCAGTTTGTGCGCTGGCTCGACCTGTGTCACGCGGCTATCGCAGACATGCTGATGGCTCTGACGTCAGATACGGTGTCGTTTATCATTCTTCATTGTTAAAAGCTCATTGCAACTATCATTTCTGCGCTTTTGCTCGTCCTTTGCTCGAGTTTGATGGATATTTTTTATGTTTTTATTATGCTATACACGTGTTGGAGTCATTTCTGATCAGTCAATATATCTGAACAGTGAACAATATAACTGAACAGAACCCTTTCGATATTTATGTTGTCGTTAAATGCATTGTTCTGCCATCGTTCTAAATTTCTCCTCTCTTTCCAATCGTTCCTGGCCAATGAGTGTGCCTAATTGACTACATATAACCATGTGTCTACTATTACCTTCCATTGTTTCCCAGTTTCGAGTCGTTCCTGGCCGCAGGCTGACCTCTGCCCCTCTATTGCAGTAGGCTGACCGTAACTCAATATACCCTTGGCTGACCTCTCTCCCTTCCCTCTCTCTCGCAGTTTCGAGTTGTTTCAGGCTGCAGGCTGGCTTCTCCCCTCTCCCTCTGCCCGCTGTAGGCTGTCCTCTCTCCCTCCCCCGGCAGTTTCGAGTCATTCCTAGCCTGTAGACTAACCTCCCCCTCGTGTCCCAGTTTCGAGTCTTTCCTGGCTGAAAGTTGACCTCCCCTTCCCCTTCCCCCGGCAGTTTCGAGTCGTTCCTGGCTGTAGACTGACCTCTCCCCTCGTTTATCCCGGTAGTTTCGAGTCGTTCCTGACTGGAAGTTTACCTCTCCTCCCCCCGGCAGTTTCGAGTCGTTCCTGGCTGGAAGTTGACCGCCCCACCGCCAGTTTCGAGTCGTTCCTGGCTGTAGGCTGACCTATCCCCTCGTTTCTCCCGGCAGTTTCGACTCGTTGCTGACCTGTAGACTAACCTCCCCTCGCCCCCCCCCCCCCCGGCAGTTTCGACTCGTTGCTGGCCTGTAGACTAACCTCCCCTCGCCCCCCCCCCCCGGCAGTTTCGACTCGTTGCTGGCCTGTAGACTAACCTCCCCTCGCCCCCCCCCCGGCAGTTTCGACTCGTTGCTGGCCTGTAGACTAACCTCCCCTCGCCCCCCCCCGGCAGTTTCGAGTCGTTTCTGGCTGTAGACTGACCCCCCCCCGTGTCCCAGTTTCGAGTCGTTCCTGGCCCGCAAGTGGTCTTCGGAGAAGCGGTTCGGCCTGGAGGGTGGTGAGGTGCTCATCCCGGCCATGAAACACATCATCGACGTCAGCTCAGCAATGGGAGTCGAGTCCTTCGTCATGGGTGAGTCGATTCCTCCGCCGGGGTACGTGAAATGCTTTCCAAAACACTTTAATCAAAACGGAGTGTTGAGTATCTTATTGTAAGTAACGGTACTGCAGTACCAGTGTAACTGCAGTAACGGCACTCGTGCCTCGCAACGTCGGCTGTCCCACCGCCATAACCGTCCCGCCCCCGTCCCTCTGGCTGAACTGTCCCATCGCCCTCACGGTCCCGCCTTGGTCCGGTTCTGTCCCGCCACCCTCACAGTCCCGTCCCTGTCCCATTGACAGGCATGTCCCACCACGCTTACAGTCCCGTCCCTCTGTCCCATTGACAGGCATGTCCCACCGGGGCCGTCCCACCTGTCCCGCCACCCTCACCGTCCCACCCCTCTGTCCCATTGACAGGTATGTCCCACCGTGGCTGTCCCACCTGTCCCACCACCCTCACCGTCCCACACCTGTCCCACCGCGGCTGTACCACCTGTCCCACCACGCTCACCCCTCCGTCCCATTGACAGGTATGTCCCACCGCGGCCGTCTGAACGTTCTGGCCAACATCTGTCGGAAGCCACTGGAGCAGATTTTCGCCCAGTTCGCCGCGCTCGAGGTCGCCGACGAGGTAAGAAAAAGAGAAAAGGGATTTCTGAAGGGACTGCGTAGAGGTGCAGAGCTTGATTCTTCCTGGTCCGGGATGGAGTCTTGGGAAAGACTAGACTTTTACGAAATGGTGTTAACTCGTGAACGAGACATTGCACGGAATATGTGATGAACAGAGGTCCATATTGATGGCTACCCGATGGCCGACTTGTTATAGTCAGTTCCAGGGCTAGCAGGCGTCACTAAAACTTCATCTTGCGCCCAGTCTGGCCGGCACCCCTTATAACGCCATTTATAGGGCTCGGGCGACGTCAGGTACCACCTGGGCAGATGTACAAGTCTCGCGGGTTTTAGCGGTAGGTTTTGCACCTAGAAAATTTAGTGTACTTCAGGCTATATCTTCGTCGTCTTAAGCTTTTAAGTGTTGAAGATGCGATCGACTGGTTAACAAGCCGGCCATGATCGTGTAAAATGGCTTCATCGTAGATCGATTAGTTTCTGAGATATAACCGGAAACGTAAAAGTGCAAAACCTACCGCTTAATATCGCGAGACCTGTACCCTGTCATAACCCGTACCCCATGTGACGTCATTTTCTCAGGGCTCAAGTGCCACCTGGGTGCGGACATGTTAACACCCTGTCATAACCCGTACCCCATATGACGTCATTTTCTCATACCCCTTGTGTCGTCATGTTCTCAGGGTTCTGGTGACGTCAAGTATCACCTTGGCACGTACGTGGAGCGTCTGAACCGAGTAACAAACAAGAACGTGCGTATGGCGATTGTGGCCAACCCGAGTCACCTGGAGGCCGCGGACCCGGTGGTACAGGGCAAGACGCGGGCCGAACAGTTCTACCGCGGAGATACCGAGGGCAACAAGGTGAGGGCAGGGGGCACATACATACAGAGAGCCGAGCAGTTCTACCGCGGAGATACCGAGGGCAACAAGGTGAGGGCAGGGGGATATACATACAGAGAGCCGAACAGTTCTACCGCGGAGATACTGAGGGCAACAAGGTGAGGACAGGGGGATATACATACAGAGAGCCGAGCAGTTCTACCGCGGAGATACCGAGGGCAACAAGGTGAGGGCAGGGGGGATATACATACAGAGAGCCGAGCAGTTCTACCGCGGAGATCCGAGGGCAACAAGGTGAGGGCAATGCATACAGAGAGCCGAACAGTTCTACCGCGGAGATACCGAGGGCAACAAGGTGAGGACAGGGGGATATACATACAGAGAGCCGAACAGTTCTACCGCGGAGATACCGAGGGCAGCAAGGTGAGGGCAGGGGGGATATACATACAGAGAGCCGAGCAGTTCTACTGCGGAGATAACGAGGGCAACAAGGTGAGGGCAGGGGGATATACATACAGAGAGCCGAGCAGTTCTACCGCGGAGATACCGAGGGCAACAAGGTGAGGGCAGGGGGGATATACATACAGAGAGCCGAGCAGTTCTACTGCGGAGATACCGAGGGCAACAAGGTGAGGACAGGGGGATATACATACAGAGAGCCGAGCAGTTCTACCGCGGAGATACCGAGGGCAACAAGGTGAGGGCAGGGGGGATATACATACAGAGAGCCGAGCAGTTCTACCGCGGAGATAACGAGGGCAACAAGGTGAGGGCAGGGGGGATATACATACAGAGAGCCGATCAGTTCTACCGCGGAGATAACGAGGGCAACAAGGTGAGGGCAGGGGGATATACATACAGAGAGCCGAGCAGTTCTACCGCGGAGATACCGAGGGCAACAAGGTGAGGGCAGGGGATATACATACAGAGAGCCGAGCAGTTCTACCGCGGAGATACCGAGGGCAACAAGGTGAGGGCAGGGGGGATATACATACAGAGAGCCGATCAGTTCTACCGCGGAGATAACGAGGGCAACAAGGTGAGGGCAGGGGGGATATACATACAGAGAGCCGATCAGTTCTACCGCGGAGATAACGAGGGCAACAAGGTGAGGGCAGGGGGAGGTTCAGAGGGGACAAGGGAAGATACGTACCGAGGGGAATAAGGTGACAGGGGGAAATACAGACAGGGAAACAAGGGTAACTCAGCAGGAAAGATTCAGAGGGAACAGGGTAACGTTATAGGATAGATACAGAGGGAACAGTGTGAGCATTTCAAATCCAATGAGTGCATTATTGGATACCCACGCTGCCTTATTAGCGGCTTCTTCCCAGCTGCTGCTGATAATTTAACAATCTACGAGCTGCAGCTGCAATGATATCACTGGCTTGTCATCTTGTATGCTCTCATTCAGATGAATTATTGTTGATTTTGTTGTATATGTGCTCATTCACCTCGAAGGATGTTGTGATCGTCCAACGATCATGGTCGTCTTTTTTCGTCATGAAATGCTTCTGCTGAAGCCGAACGAAGCTTGATTTTGCCCCTTGTCCCCCGGCTCTTCATCTTCATATAACTGTCGTTCGTGTCTACCATACCCCTGCCGGGTGATCTCCATATCTGACTCCCATTCCCCCCCCCCCCTCGTGCCCATCTACAGGTGATGTCGATCCTGCTGCACGGAGACGCGGCCTTCTCTGGACAGGGAGTCGTCTACGAGACGATTCACCTGTCCGACCTGCCGGCCTACACCACGCACGGAACGATACATATTGTCGTCAACAATCAGGTAAAGTGATATACTGACACTGACACTGTCACACTGACACTGACTGACCTGCCGGGCTACACCACGCACGGAACGATCCACATTGTGGTCAACAATCAGGTACGGTGACACTGACACACTAACACCTACGACACACTGACACTGACACCGACACTTTGACAGTGACACTGACACTGACGCGTACTTGCCTGCCGGCCTACACCACACACGGAACGATACATATTGTGGTCAACAACCAGGTATGGATACAGGAACAGTGGCACACTGACACTGGCACGTACTTGCCTGCCGGCCTATACCACGCACGGAACGATACATATTGTGGTTAACAATCAGGTATGATGATAGCGACCGAAAATAACGCTTTGTATAGCCAGAACGGTATAAACATTAAACAAAATGATCTAGCTTTACTTGTGTACTTTTGTCTATAATCAAGTTCTCCCATCAGATCGGATTGCGACCTTGCTATGACCTCGGCCCCGTCCGGTGTGTGAGATATTACTTCTGTCCCATTTCAGATAGGGTCCATTACGGACCCCCGTCTCACGCGCTCCTCCCCATACTGTGACCCCGCTGACCTGTAACCTCTGACCTGTGACCTCTCCCCACAGATCGGTTTCACGACGGACCCGCGCCTCGTCTCTACTGTGACCCCGCTGACCTGTGACCTCTGACCTATGACCTGTCTCTCCCCCTCCCCACAGATCGGGTTCACGACGGACCCGCGCCTCACCCGCTCCTCTCCCTACTGTGACCTCTCTGACCCCTGTCTCCCCCACAGATCGGGTTCACGACGGACCCTCGCCTGACCCGCTCGTCGCCCTACTGCACGGACGTGGCGCGCGTGGTGAACGCGCCCATTTTCCACGTGAACGGCGACGACCCGGAGGCCGTGATGCACGTCTGCCAGATCGCCGCCGAGTGGAGGAACACCTTCCACAAGGACGTCGTCATCGACATCGTGAGTCGGATCAGCGGCACTCCGCGCAACGGGCCGGGAGGGCGGTTGTGTTGAATGGAGTTAACGTTAACTTAGCTTAACTTACTTAACCTTGCTGAGCTACTGCAATTTTTGACATTTTGCTATGAAATATGGCGGACCTGCATTCTAGCATGTCATATATTTCGTTTTGCTGTTTTAGAGCTACAATTTCAGTGTTACTGGCTTATGACGAGTCGATGTTCAAGGCAGCGGGGTTGGGCACCACTGGTCTCCCTGTGAACTTGACTGTACAGTTGTCGCGGAGTCCCCTCCACCGCGGCACATATCTCCTGATATACCCTTCTACCGGTGGACTTCGACTCTTTTTGTTTCCGCTTCCAGCGCTCTGGCTTGGTTGGGTACATATAATCCGTTGTGCAAGTTTGGGAACTTGCGTTGACTTGGCCTGGCCATTAACTCAGGACAAGATATTTTCTGGTCCCGGGTGTCCTAACTCCCTGCGCTTTTTCCTGACGTGTCATACTTCCATGTCTGTCGCCAAGTGTATCACTACCGTAACCTTTCTGTAATTCCCTCTCTTTCCCGTGCTGGTATCATACCATCGTAACGGCCACAAGCGATTGACGAGCCCACATCCATTCTAACTCCCCTCTTCGTCAGGTGTCATACCTCGCTGTTGTCGTTACTCGCTGCTGTCGTAACTCCATCTCGGTATCATACCGTCGTAACATTTACCCCCTCTCCTTCAGGTATATCGCGTTGTTTTTGGTACTCACTGCTGTCGTACCTTCCCTGTCCGTCAGGTGTCGTACCTCGCTGTTGTCGTTACTCACTGCTGTCGTTACTCACCACTGTGGTACCTGCCTTACCCGCATGTATCATATCGCGCTGTTGTATCTCGCTGTCGTTACTCGCTGCTGTCGTTACTCACTACTGTCGTACCTCCCCTGCCCGTCAGGTGTCGTACCGTCGTAACACTAACACCCCCTGCCGTACAGGTGTCGTACCGTCGTAACGGTCACAACGAGATTGACGAGCCGATGTTCACGCACCCGTTCATGTACACCAAAGTACGGGGTACGCCGGGAATCCTGCAGAAGTACTCTGAGAAACTGATAGAGGAGGGCGTGGTGACCGAGCGAGAGTTCAAGGTAGAGCACGGGAGGGGAGAGAGGAGGGTGGGGAGAGCATGAGGGGAGGCGCAGCTGATGATATTGGCTGAACGGGCAGCGTTTGACGACCCTTGCTTTTCCTTCGTCATCTTTCCGTAGATGGTATAGTTGAACTATGAAATTCCTAATAAATTATATGAACGCTAAGGTTTCAACTGGCAGAAGTGATATCGTGATGTTCTCCTTGTAGTTAATGCGCTCTAGCTCATTTGCGAGTGATCGGTACCTGAAAGTAAAAAATGCTTGCTTTTGCGTCTATAGATATTGAATAAGTTTTGCACTTCATGCTTTATTGGGACCGTCCAAGCTTTTTGTTTGTTTCGCATGCCTACGTACCTCTTTTGCTATCATTGTTTCGTCGTGGCAGTACCCAACTAATGACCGTGCCGAGGTCATTGAGCTCCGACCTGACTCGACAGTTCAATCAGTTCGCCAAGTATTTATTGATGGCATGCCAAGCAGGAGGGCTAACACGGGTTTACTGTATGCGCGATGCTCCAACTTACGCCTTGCATACGTACGTACATTGTGGCTGTTCTCCGTGTTTTCCCATAACCAAACGCCTGGTAGCTAGTGGGGTTAACATATTCGCAACTCGAACGTGCCGCGCACTGTGCCTGTGGGTGGACGCCCGGCCGGTAGATGTCTCTGTGGGTCGGCCGATAGATGGCAGCAGTGTAGCGCGCCGTTTGTTTCTTGTTTCAGGAGGTATGTGAGCGCCCGGCTCGACCGCCACCGGCCTGACCGATCAGTAACTATACATCCCGGCCAGTGAATGGGCTTACACTAACACTCCAATGTGCTCTTCTCACGCTGGTCACGCTTACCATGAAACAAGTGTTTCCATGTTTGCTGGGCTGTCGCTCAGATTCTGCGCTAGTCAGACAGTATTTCACCCTCCACGCTCTAAATGTCGTACTCTGGCTTTGGCTACTTCGTTAACGTCAGGCTTCCTGTCAACTACATGTATTTTTACATCTCTTTTGTTCGTTGCCAATTTATGGCTATTTTTCTGTAATTGCACGAACATTACCGCTAAGCTTTATGTCTATCCAGTTTTTTTTTATAATTGTTTTAAGTCATTTCATTCGTAGATAACACCACCTAAAGCTGCTAAATGTTTTTTTTAACAAAAAGACTATTATTAATATTATTTTTGCATCGTGTTTACAAACCCGTCAATGTTTCCCAGAATTGAGATATCGCCAATTATGGAACCATGTTCTCTTTCTTTTTTCAGTTCGAGCGAATTCATTTTTTTTTCACTGTATGACACTAGGATAGAATAGTTTTCAACCTTCACATCGCTCTTGCTCAATAATTCCATCAAATAATTTCAACATTCTATATATCAGCTCACTGCGTGGTATGTAATTAGCACATGGAACACCGCTCAACCATGCCATTAGGACGTGCCCACCCCACCCCAGTGGCTACACCCCACTATCACCCTCCTCCCCCTCTCTCCCCGCTCCCTCCCTCTGCCCAGGACGTGGTGAACCGGTACGAAAACATCTGCGAGACGGCGCTGGAGGCGTCCAAGAAGGAGACCCAGGTCTATAACAAGCACTGGATCGACTCGCCCTGGTCCGGCTTCTTCGAGGTACTGGCGGGGGCAGCAGCCCGTCTGTCTGTCTGTGTGTGTGGGTCTAGTCTGACTGTCTGTCTGGTCTGTCTGGTCTGTCTGTCTGTCTGTCTGTCTGTCTGTCTGTCTGTCTGTCTGTCTGTCTGTCTTTCTGTGTGGGTCACCATTGACTCGCCCTGGTCCGGCTTCTTCGAGGTATCGACTGCCACGTGGTCTCCTGTTGGCAGTTGTTGTGTTAGTTTCTCTCACGTATGCACATTTACCGCTCTGAAACCGCAATAGAAATATCCTGCCGAACGGATCAGATTGTCACCGGTTGTATGTGTATGTTTTGTCTGTTTCTATTTGTATGGCCTCTCAGGACAAGGACCTGCTGAAATTTGTGTGACTGTCTGTGTCCGTGTCTGTGTCTCTTACTGTGTCTGTGACTGTGTCTGTGTCTCCGACTGTGTCTGTGTGACTGTGTCTCTGACTGTGTCTGTGTCTCTGACTGTGACTGTGTCTCTGACTGTGACTGTGTCTCTGACTGTGTCTGTGTGACTGTGTCTCTGACTGTGACTGTGTCTCCGACTGTGTCTGTGTGACTGTGTCTCTGACTGTGTCTGTGTCTCTGACTGTGACTGTGTCTCTGACTGTGTCTGTGTCTCTGACTGTGACTGTGTCTCTGACTGTGACTGTGTCTCTGACTGTGTCTGTGTGACTGTGTCTCTGACTGTGTCTGTCTGTGTCTCTGTGACTGTGTCTGTCTGTGTGTCTGTCAGGGTAAGGACCCGCTGAAAATGTCCACCACCGGTGTCGGGGAGGAGACTCTGGCCCACATCGGTCGGAGGGTCTCCTCCGCCCCGCCCAACGCCGAGAACTTCGAGATCCACCGCGGACTCCAGGTAAACAACCGTCGAGGGGAGTGTTTGTACTACATATCACATCTGTTTCCCTTTTCAGGTACCAATGTTGATCATATGGGGGAGTCAGCCGCTCAGTCTGATCATCATTGATTCTTGTTTCAGTACTTCGGTGCTTGTTCGTGTAAGGCCGCTTTATTAATTCTCCCGTCGTCACACTCGTGCATGTCCTGTGGCGCTTGTTGATCGGTCGTATAGAGCTGATACTTCCACTCAAGCCCATCTAGTCCTCCCTTTTCTTACCGAAAGGCCTTCTCGTACTGACCTGGAGCTGCTAACACATCTAACCCTCCTCTCCCTCCCTCTCTTGAGGCTGCTGGAGTCCCTCTAACCCTCCCCTCCCCTGTCCCTCCGCAGCGCGTGCTGAACGGCCGTATGGAGCTGCTGGAGTCGCTTTAACCCTCCCCTCCCCTCCGCAGCGCGTGCTGAACGGCCGTATGGAGCTGCTGGAGTCCCTCTAACCCCTCCCCTCCCCTCCCCAGCGCGTGCTGAACGGTCGTATGGAGCTGCTGGAGTCCCTCTAACCCCTCCCCTGTCCCTCGGCAGCGCGTGCTGAACGGCCGTATGGAGTTGCTGGAGTCGCGCCAGGTGGACTGGGCCCTGGCTGAGGCCATGGCGTTTGGCTCCCTGCTGAAAGAGGGGGTGCACGTGCGACTGTCCGGACAGGACGTGGAGAGGGGTACCTTCAGGTGAGAGTGGGGGACAGGGAGGAGGCGCAAGGCTGGCATCATTGATTGATATTATATATTTTTGGACGTTGGTAGCTTGTTAGACGTAACTCTAAATATGTAGAAATTATGGGCTATTTTAAGGTGCTGGTACGTCCTGTTCCGCTATATTTCGCGACCTCCGTATTGGCACCTGTTCTCTGCTCTACGTAGAGTTGTGTTGCGTCAAATTGTGATGTGTTGAGCTGTCCCATCGTGACGTAACTGTGTCCAGCCGTGCTTCGGTTCACGGTTGTGTGTCCTGTTGTTCTGTAAATGTGTCCCATTGTGATGTAGCTGTGTTGTACCGTGTTGAACTGTTTGTGTCACCGTGTTACAGCCACAGACACCACGTGATGTAGCTGTGTTGTACCGTGTTGAACTGTTTGTGTCACCGTGTTACAGCCACAGACACCACGTGATGTAGCTGTGTTGTACCGCGTTGAACTGTTTCCCTCACCGCGTTACAGCCACAGACACCACGTGATGTAGCTGTGTTGTACCGTGTTGAACTGTTTCCCTCACCGTGTTACAGCCACAGACACCACGTGATGTAGCTGTGTTGTACCGTGTTGAACTGTTTGTGTCACCGTGTTACAGCCACAGACACCACGGGATGAGCTGTGTTGTACCGTGTTGAACTGTTTGTGTCACCGTGTTACAGCCACAGACACCACGTGATGTAGCTGTGTTGTACCGTGTTGAACTGTTTCCCTCACCGTGTTACAGCCACAGACATCACGTGATGTAGCTGTGTTGTACCGTGTTGAACTGTTTGTGTCACCGTGTTACAGCCACAGACACCACGTGATGTAGCTGTGTTGTACCGTGTTGAACTGTTTGTGTCACCGCGTTACAGCCACAGACATCACGTAATGTAGCTGTGTTTTACCGTGTTGAACTGTTTCCCTCACCGTGTTACAGCCACAGACACCACGTGATGTAGCTGTGTTGTACCGTGTTGAACTGTTTGTGTCACCGTGTTACAGCCACAGACACCACGTGATGTAGCTGTGTTGTACCGTGTTGAACTGTTTGTGTCACCGTGTTACAGCCACAGACATCACGTGATGTAGCTGTGTTGTACCGTGTTGAACTGTTTCCCTCACCGTGTTACAGCCACAGACACCACGTGATGTAGCTGTGTTGTACCGTGTTGAACTGTTTGTGTCACCGTGTTACAGCCACAGACAACACGTGATGTAGCTGTGTTGTACCGTGTTGAACTGTTTGTGTCACTGCGTTACAGCCACAGACATCACGTGATGTAGCTGTGTTGTACCGTGTTGAACTGTTTGTGTCACCGTGTTACAGTCACAGACAACACGTGATGTAGCTGTGTTGTACCGTGTTGAACTGTTTGTGTCACCGTGTTACAGCCACAGACATCACGTGATGTAGCTGTGTTGTACCGCGTTGAACTGTTTCCCTCACCGCGTTACAGCCACAGACACCACGTGATGTAGCTGTGTTGTACCGTGTTGAACTGTTTCCCTCACCGTGTTACAGCCACAGACACCACGTGATGTAGCTGTGTTGTACCGTGTTGAACTGTTTGTGTCACCGTGTTACAGCCACAGACACCACGGGATGAGCTGTGTTGTACCGTGTTGAACTGTTTGTGTCACCGTGTTACAGCCACAGACACCACGTGATGTAGCTGTGTTGTACCGTGTTGAACTGTTTCCCTCACCGTGTTACAGCCACAGACACCACGTGATGTAGCTGTGTTGTACCGTGTTGAACTGTTTGTGTCACCGTGTTACAGCCACAGACATCACGTGATGTAGCTGTGTTGTACCGTGTTGAACTGTTTGTGTCACCGCGTTACAGTCACAGACACCACGTGATGTAGCTGTGTTGTACCGTGTTGAACTGTTTGTGTCACCGTGTTACAGCCACAGACACCACGTGATGTAGCTGTGTTGTACCGTGTTGAACTGTTTCCCTCACCGCGTTACAGCCACAGACACCACGTGATGTAGCTGTGTTGTACCGTGTTGAACTGTTTGTGTCACCGTGTTACAGCCACAGACACCACGTGATGTAGCTGTGTTGTACCGTGTTGAACTGTTTCCCTCACCGTGTTACAGCCACAGACAACACGTGATGTAGCTGTGTTGTACCGTGTTGAACTGTTTGTGTCACCGTGTTACAGCCACAGACATCACGTGATTTAGCTGTGTTGTACCGTGTTGAACTGTTTGTGTCACCGCGTTACAGCCACAGACACCACGTGATGTAGCTGTGTTGTACCGTGTTGAACTGTTTGTGTCACCGCGTTACAGCCACAGACATCACGTGATGTAGCTGTGTTGTACCGTGTTGAACTGTTTGTGTCACCGTGTTACAGCCACAGACAACACGTGATGTAGCTGTGTTGTACCGTGTTGAACTGTTTGTGTCACCGTGTTACAGCCACAGACACCACGTGATGTAGCTGTGTTGTACCGTGTTGAACTGTTTGTGTCACCGTGTTACAGCCACAGACACCACGTGATGTAGCTGTGTTGTACCGTGTTGAACTGTTTGTGTCACCGCGTTACAGCCACAGACACCACGTGATGTAGCTGTGTTGTACCGTGTTGAACTGTTTGTGTCACCGTGTTACAGCCACAGACACCACGTGATGTAGCTGTGTTGTACCGTGTTGAACTGTTTCCCTCACCGTGTTACAGCCACAGACACCACGTGATGTAGCTGTGTTGTACCGTGTTGAACTGTTTGTGTCACCGTGTTACAGTCACAGACACCACGTGATGTAGCTGTGTTGTACCGTGTTGAACTGTTTGTGTCACCGTGTTACAGCCACAGACAACACGTGATGTAGCTGTGTTGTACCGTGTTGAACTGTTTCCCTCACCGTGTTACAGCCACAGACACCACGTGATGTAGCTGTGTTGTACCGTGTTGAACTGTTTGTGTCACCGCGTTACAGCCACAGACATCACGTGATGTAGCTGTGTTGTACCGTGTTGAACTGTTTCCCTCACCGTGTTACAGCCACAGACACCACGTGATGTAGCTGTGTTGTACCGTGTTGAACTGTTTGTGTCACCGCGTTACAGCCACAGACATCACGTGATGTAGCTGTGTTGTACCGTGTTGAACTGTTTGTGTCACCGTGTTACAGCCACAGACACCACGTGATGTAGCTGTGTTGTACCGTGTTGAACTGTTTGTGTCACCGTGTTACAGCCACAGACACCACGTGATGTAGCTGTGTTGTACCGTGTTGAACTGTTTGTCTCACCGCGTTACAGCCACAGACACCACGTGATGTAGCTGTGTTGTACCGTGTTGAACTGTTTGTGTCACCGCGTTACAGCCACAGACACCACGTGATGTAGCTGTGTTGTACCGTGTTGAACTGTTTGTGTCACCGTGTTACAGCCACAGACACCACGTGATGTAGCTGTGTTGTACCGTGTTGAACTGTTTGTGTCACGGTGTTACAGCCACAGACATCACGTGATGTAGCTGTGTTGTACCGTGTTGAACTGTTTGTGTCACCGTGTTACAGCCACAGACATCACGTGATGTAGCTGTGTTGTACCGTGTTGAACTGTTTGTGTCACCGTGTTACAGCCACAGACACCACGTGATGTAGCTGTGTTGTACCGTGTTGAACTGTTTGTGTCACCGTGTTACAGCCACAGACACCACGTGATGTAGCTGTGTTGTACCGTGTTGAACTGTTTGTCTCACCGCGTTACAGCCACAGACACCACGTGATGTAGCTGTGTTGTACCGTGTTGAACTGTTTGTGTCACCGCGTTACAGCCACAGACACCACGTGATGTAGCTGTGTTGTACCGTGTTGAACTGTTTGTGTCACCGTGTTACAGCCACAGACACCACGTGATGTAGCTGTGTTGTACCGTGTTGAACTGTTTGTGTCACGGTGTTACAGCCACAGACACCACGTGATGTAGCTGTGTTGTACCGTGTTGAACTGTTTCCCTCACCGCGTTACAGCCACAGACACCACGTGATGTAGCTGTGTTGTACCGTGTTGAACTGTTTGTGTCACCGTGTTACAGCCACAGACACCACGTGATGTAGCTGTGTTGTACCGTGTTGAACTGTTTCCCTCACCGTGTTACAGCCACAGACAACACGTGATGTAGCTGTGTTGTACCGTGTTGAACTGTTTGTGTCACCGTGTTACAGCCACAGACATCACGTGATTTAGCTGTGTTGTACCGTGTTGAACTGTTTGTGTCACCGCGTTACAGCCACAGACATCACGTGATGTAGCTGTGTTGTACCGTGTTGAACTGTTTGTGTCACCGCGTTACAGCCACAGACACCACGTGATGTAGCTGTGTTGTACCGTGTTGAACTGTTTCCCTCACCGTGTTACAGCCACAGACACCACGTGATGTAGCTGTGTTGTACCGTGTTGAACTGTTTGTCTCACCGCGTTACAGCCACAGACACCACGTGATGTAGCTGTGTTGTACCGTGTTGAACTGTTTCCCTCACCGTGTTACAGCCACAGACACCACGTGATGTAGCTGTGTTGTACCGTGTTGAACTGTTTGTGTCACCGCGTTACAGCCACAGACATCACGTGATGTAGCTGTGTTGTACCGTGTTGAACTGTTTGTGTCACCGTGTTACAGCCACAGACAACACGTGATGTAGCTGTGTTGTACCGTGTTGAACTGTTTGTGTCACCGTGTTACAGCCACAGACACCACGTGATGTAGCTGTGTTGTACCGTGTTGAACTGTTTGTGTCACCGTGTTACAGCCACAGACATCACGTAATGTAGCTGTGTTGTACCGTGTTGAACTGTTTCCCTCACCGTGTTACAGCCACAGACACCACGTGATGTAGCTGTGTTGTACCGTGTTGAACTGTTTGTGTCACCGTGTTACAGCCACAGACATCACGTGATGTAGCTGTGTTGTACCGTGTTGAACTGTTTCCCTCACCGCGTTACAGCCACAGACACCACGTGATGTAGCTGTGTTGTACCGTGTTGAACTGTTTGTGTCACCGTGTTACAGCCACAGACACCACGTGATGTAGCTGTGTTGTACCGTGTTGAACTGTTTCCCTCACCGTGTTACAGCCACAGACACCACGTGATGTAGCTGTGTTGTACCGTGTTGAACTGTTTGTGTCACCGCGTTACAGCCACAGACACCACATGATGTAGCTGTGTTGTACCGTGTTGAACTGTTTGTGTCACGGTGTTACAGCCACAGACACCACGTCGTGATGTAGCTGTGTTGTACCGTGTTGAACTGTTTGTGTCACTGCGTTACAGCCACAGACACCACGTGATGTAGCTGTGTTGTACCGTGTTGAACTGTTTCCCTCACCGTGTTACAGCCACAGACATCACGTGATGTAGCTGTGTTGTACCGTGTTGAACTGTTTGTGTCACCGTGTTACAGCCACAGACACCACGTGATGTAGCTGTGTTGTACCGTGTTGAACTGTTTGTGTTACCGCGTTACAGCCACAGACATCACGTGATGTAGCTGTGTTGTACCGTGTTGAACTGTTTCCCTCACCGCGTTACAGCCACAGACACCACGTGATGTAGCTGTGTTGTACCGTGTTGAACTGTTTGTGTCACCGTGTTACAGCCACAGACATCACGTGATGTAGCTGTGTTGTACCGTGTTGAACTGTTTCCCTCACCGTGTTACAGCCACAGACACCACGTGATGTAGCTGTGTTGTACCGTGTTGAACTGTTTGTGTCACCGCGTTACAGCCACAGACACCACGTGATGTAGCTGTGTTGTACCGTGTTGAACTGTTTGTGTCACCGCGTTACAGCCACAGACACCACGTGATGTAGCTGTGTTGTACCGTGTTGAACTGTTTCCCTCACCGCGTTACAGCCACAGACAACACGTGATGTAGCTGTGTTGTACCGTGTTGAACTGTTTCCCTCACCGTGTTACAGCCACAGACATCACGTGATGTAGCTGTGTTGTACCGTGTTGAACTGTTTGTGTCACCGCGTTACAGCCACAGACATCACGTGATGTAGCTGTGTTGTACCGTGTTGAACTGTTTCCCTCACCGCGTTACAGCCACAGACAACACGTGATGTAGCTGTGTTGTACCGTGTTGAACTGTTTCCCTCACCGCGTTACAGCCACAGACACCACGTGATGTAGCTGTGTTGTACCGTGTTGAACTGTTTCCCTCACCGCGTTACAGCCACAGACACCACGTGATGTAGCTGTGTTGTACCGTGTTGAACTGTTTGTGTCACCGTGTTACAGCCACAGACACCACGTGATGTAGCTGTGTTGTACCGTGTTGAACTGTTTCCCTCACCGTGTTACAGCCACAGACACCACGTGATGTAGCTGTGTTGTACCGTGTTGAACTGTTTGTGTCACCGCGTTACAGCCACAGACACCACGTGATGTAGCTGTGTTGTACCGTGTTGAACTGTTTGTGTCACCGTGTTACAGCCACAGACAACACGTGATGTAGCTGTGTTGTACCGTGTTGAACTGTTTGTGTCACCGTGTTACAGCCACAGACATCACGTGATGTAGCTGTGTTGTACCGTGTTGAACTGTTTGTGTCACCGCGTTACAGCCACAGACACCACGTGATGTAGCTGTGTTGTACCGTGTTGAACTGTTTCCCTCACCGCGTTACAGCCACAGACATCACGTGATGTAGCTGTGTTGTACCGTGTTGAACTGTTTCCCTCACCGTGTTACAGCCACAGACAACACGTGATGTAGCTGTGTTGTACCGTGTTGAACTGTTTGTGTCACCGCGTTACAGCCACAGACACCACATGATGTAGCTGTGTTGTACCGTGTTGAACTGTTTCCCTCACCGTGTTACAGCCACAGACATCACGTGATGTAGCTGTGTTGTACCGTGTTGAACTGTTTGTGTCACTGCGTTACAGCCACAGACAACACGTGATGTAGCTGTGTTGTACCGTGTTGAACTGTTTGTGTCACCGTGTTACAGCCACAGACACCACGTGATGTAGCTGTGTTGTACCGTGTTGAACTGTTTGTGTCACCGTGTTACAGCCACAGACATCACGTGATGTAGCTGTGTTGTACCGTGTTGAACTGTTTCCCTCACCGTGTTACAGCCACAGACACCACGTGATGTAGCTGTGTTGTACCGTGTTGAACTGTTTGTGTCACTGCGTTACAGCCACAGACATCACGTGATGTAGCTGTGTTGTACCGTGTTGAACTGTTTGTATCACCGCGTTACAGCCACAGACACCACGTGATGTAGCTGTGTTGTACCGTGTTGAACTGTTTCCCTCACCGCGTTACAGCCACAGACATCACGTGATGTAGCTGTGTTTTACCGTGTTGAACTGTTTCCCTCACCGTGTTACAGCCACAGACACCACGTGATGTAGCTGTGTTGTACCGTGTTGAACTGTTTGTGTCACCGCGTTACAGCCACAGACATCACGTGATGTAGCTGTGTTGTACCGTGTTGAACTGTTTCCCTCACCGTGTTACAGCCACAGACACCACGTGATGTAGCTGTGTTGTACCGTGTTGAACTGTTTGTGTCACCGTGTTACAGCCACAGACATCACGTGATGTAGCTGTGTTGTACCGTGTTGAACTGTTTCCCTCACCGTGTTACAGCCACAGACACCACGTGATGTAGCTGTGTTGTACCGTGTTGAACTGTTTGTGTCACTGCGTTACAGCCACAGACATCACGTGATGTAGCTGTGTTGTACCGTGTTGAACTGTTTGTATCACCGCGTTACAGCCACAGACAACACGTGATGTAGCTGTGTTGTACCGTGTTGAACTGTTTCCCTCACCGCGTTACAGCCACAGACAACACGTGATGTAGCTGTGTTGTACCGTGTTGAACTGTTTCCCTCACCGCGTTACAGCCACAGACAACACGTAATGTAGCTGTGTTGTACCGTGTTGAACTGTTTGTATCACCGCGTTACAGTCACAGACACCACGTCGTGATGTAGCTGTGTTGTACCGTGTTGAACTGTTTGTGTCACGGTGTTACAGCCACAGACAACACGTGATGTAGCTGTGTTGTACCGTGTTGAACTGTTTGTGTCACCGTGTTACAGCCACAGACATCACGTGATGTAGCTGTGTTGTACCGTGTTGAACTGTTTGTGTCACCGTGTTACAGCCACAGAAATCACGTGATGTAGCTGTGTTGTACCGTGTTGAACTGTTTGTGTCACCGCGTTACAGCCACAGACACCACGTGATGTAGCTGTGTTGTACCGTGTTGAACTGTTTGTGTCACCGTGTTACAGCCACAGACATCACGTGATGTAGCTGTGTTGTACCGTGTTGAACTGTTTCCCTCACCGTGTTACAGCCACAGACGTCACGTGATGTAGCTGTGTTGTACCGTGTTGAACTGTTTCCCTCACCGTGTTACAGCCACAGACACCACGTGATGTAGCTGTGTTGTACCGTGTTGAACTGTTTCCCTCACCGCGTTACAGCCACAGACACCACGTGATGTAGCTGTGTTGTACCGTGTTGAACTGTTTGTGTCACCGCGTTACAGCCACAGACATCACGTGATGTAGCTGTGTTGTACCGTGTTGAACTGTTTGTGTCACCGCGTTACAGCCACAGACACCACGTGATGTAGCTGTGTTGTACCGTGTTGAACTGTTTGTGTCACCGCGTTACAGCCACAGACATCACGTGATGTAGCTGTGTTGTACCGTGTTGAACTGTTTGTGTCACCGTGTTACAGCCACAGACACCACGTGATGTAGCTGTGTTGTACCGTGTTGAACTGTTTGTGTCACCGTGTTACAGCCACAGACACCACGTGATGTAGCTGTGTTGTACCGTGTTGAACTGTTTGTGTCACCGCGTTACAGCCACAGACATCACGTGATGTAGCTGTGTTGTACCGTGTTGAACTGTTTCCCTCACCGTGTTACAGCCACAGACACCACGTGATGTAGCTGTGTTGTACCGTGTTGAACTGTTTCCCTCACCGTGTTACAGCCACAGACACCACGTAATGCACCACCAGAAGGTGGACATGGCCACCTACTGCCCGCTGCAGCATCTGTACCCGGACCAGGCGCAGTACACCATCTGTAACTCGTCACTCTCAGAGTTCGGAGTGCTCGGTGAGTGAATAACTCTACCCGGACCAGGCCCAGTACACCCTCTGTAACTCGTCACTCTCAGAGTTCGGAGTGTTCGGTGAGTGTGCCGAGTGGCAGAGGGAGTTATTGATGAGTGATTAGTGACGGTAAGAAGAGTGAGCGGATCGGACTACCGATATGCTGCTTTTTGAGTTTGGTTTAGTAAGGAATTCAGCAGCAGCATGACTCAGTTATGATTCAGAGTGCACATTGAGTGAGTTACGGAGAACGAGGAGTCTAGGCGAGTGCTGGATTTTGGTATCTCTCTTCCAACAGGCCTGGCAGCCGCTAACCAGAAGAAAAATGGGGGCTGACCTAGAGAAAGTTGAACGGAAATAATGCCATCCATGATCGCATTCTGGTCTGATGGCGTGAATTATTTGCATTTCAATTTCACAAGCATCGCCAACAGGCATTGATAATTGAGAGTCCAAATGAACATGCACATACATACTCATGGATACAATTGATTTTAAGTTGACAGTCAAGTTGCGTTTTTTTTAAGCCAGTATCCTTTACTCCGATCAGTAAACGATGTTTACATTTTCCGGGGCAGAATATGACAAGCCGTGCGTCTTCTCCGCGTGCTTAAGGGCTTCAGCTGCTGGGGTTCAGCATTAGGTGTATTTGACGCGCTGGTCTGTTTGGGGAGAACTGGATTAGCGGTGTTGCGGCCCCGGCACTCCATACAGTATGTGACACACTGTGCTGTTTGGCAGGGTTTGAGCTCGGGTTCAGCCTGACCAATCCGAACGCGCTGGTCTGCTGGGAAGCCCAGTTCGGGGACTTCTGTAACACGGCCCAGGTGAGAGTACAGGAGCGGGAGCAAAGAGAGAGGGTGGGAGGGGAGAGAGGAGGGGAGGGATACTGAGAGGGAGGGAGAGCTGGGATAGCACTGCGGAGCGTTTGCTGGCAAAGGGTTTCTACAGTCATGAATGTAATGATAACTAAGCGTAAACGGCGCCACGATGAAAAAGTCATTATATGACGTTTATCGTAATTAGTAATTTTTGACTTGGAGAACGTTTGATGGCTTTCAAGACCCGCCTCATGATATCATGTTCATATGCACTCGAGCTGTAGCGTAGCAGAGTGATCCTCTCCCAGACAACTAGCCCAGTGTGTCTTTATCACCCCATTTTCGTCCATCGCACTCACTCCGTATGATCTGTGTGCTTCATTCAGGTGATAATCGACCAGTTCATCGCCTCCGGCCAGGCCAAGTGGGTCCGGCAGTCGGGTCTGACGCTGCTGCTGCCCCACGGCATGGAGGGAATGGTGAGTCATAACTCAGTCACAGACAGACAGACAGACAGACAGTCGGCAGTCGGGTCTGACGCTGCTGCTGCCGCATGGCATGGAGGGAATGGTGAGTCATAACTCAGACACACTCACACAGAGACAGACAGACAGACAGACAGACAGACAGACGGGACTGACGCTGCTGCTGCCCTACGGCATGGAGGGAATGGTGAGTTACAACTCAGACACACTCACACACAGACAGACAGACAGACAGACAACAGTCGGGTCTGACTCTGCTGCTGCCTCACGGCATGGAGGGAATGGTGAGTCATAACTCAGTCACAGACAGACAGACAGACAGACAGACAGACAAACAGACAGACAGACAGACAACAGTCGGGTCTGACTCTGCTGCTGCCGCACGGTATGGAGGGAATGGTGAGTCATAGGTAACTCAGACACACAGATACAGACACAGACAGACAGACAGCCAGACAGTCGGGTCTGACGCTGCTGCTGCCTCACGGCATGGAGGGAATGGTGAGTTATAACTCAGACACACAGACAGACAGACAGACAGACAGACAGACAGACAGACAGACAGACAGACAGACAGACAGACAGACAGACAGACAGACACAGACAGACAGACTGACACACAGACAGACAGACAGACATTTACAAACAGACAGACAGACAGACGGGTCTGACGCTGCTGCTGCCGCACGGCATGGAGGGAATGGTGAGTCATAACTCAGTCACAGACCTTTACAGACAGACAGACAGACAGACAGACAGTCGGGTCTGACACTGCTGCTACCCCACGGGATGGAGGGAATGGTGAGTTTTAACTCAGACACACAGATACAGATACAGACAGACAGACAGACAGTCGGGTCTGACGCTGCTGCTACCCCACGGCATGGAGGGAATGGTGAGTTTTAACTCAGACACACAGATACAGATACAGACAGACAGACAGACAGTCGGGTCTGACGCTGCTGCTACCCCACGGCATGGAGGGAATGGTGAGTCATAACTCAGACACAGACCTTTACAGACAGACAGACAGACTCACAGACAGACAGTCAGACAGACAGACAGACAGACAGACAGACAGACAGACAGACAGACAGACAGACAGACAGACAGACAGACAGTCGGGTCTGACTCTGCTGCTGCCGCACGGCATGGAGGGAATGGTGAGTCATAACTCAGACACACAGATACAGACAGACAGACAGACAGTCGGGTCTGACGCTGCTGCTGCCGCACGGCATGGAGGGAATGGTCAGTCCAGCTAGCCGATAGCTGGCTGCGTCTAAGTCTGTTTTAATCTGTGAAAGTCTCAGCCTGAGCTGACATAGTTCAAATAATTCATGTATGTGCTCGTGGCTGACAGAGTTGAGTTCTAAGAACTAACAGGACATTTACAAGACTGGTGATATGCAGTGCACGATCGGCGATTTTTATTTTATATTGGTTAGATTCGATGGTATTGGATGTTTGTTGCCAGTGATTTGACCCATGACCTGTGACCTCTGACCTGTGAATTGGCCTTAACCTGTGGCCTGTGACCTCTGACCTGACCTCTGTCTCCTGTGACCTCTGTGACAGGGCCCGGAGCACAGCTCGGCCCGCCTGGAGCGGTTTCTGCAGCTCTGTGACATGTGACCTGACCTCTGTGACCTCTGACAGGGCCCGGAGCACAGCTCGGCCCGCCTGGAGCGGTTCCTGTGACCTCTGACCTGACCTCTGTGACCTCTGACCTGACCTCTAACCTGATCTCTGTGACAGGGTCCGGAGCACAGCTCGGCCCGCCTGGAGCGGTTCCTGCAGCTCTGCTCGGAGGACCCGGAGTACTTCCCGCCCTTCGCCGCTGACGAGTTCGCCATCCGCCAGCTGCACGAATGCAACATGATCGTGAGTTATAGACGGGCGGCGTTGTCGGAGTTACTGGGGAGTTACTGGGGAGTTACTAGAGTTTGGCTGTGATTCTACTGAAGTACTCGAAGCTATTCAGAAGGTATCCTGATATCCTGTGCGACCTTGGATTATTGTAAACCATTGGTGGGTTATCAGACAAGAGTTATATCAAGAGTTATTGAGGGGAGTTACTTGAGGACTTCAGGAGATGTCATGAGCTGCCGCTTGCTAATGCTTACAGTGTTTATGAGTTGTTTGGTAGTTTAGGAATAGTGGTAACAGTGTTTATGAATAGTGGCAGACTTCTTTTGTATCATCGAATCGTTTAATTCCTGCTTGAGTTCTGTCACGTCCTTCTCACATTTTCACATGTGAGAATTTTCCGTTTCATTTCCGTCTCACGGCCGCAGTCTGCTCTAACCCCAGTTTTCCCTTTCTTTCCGCCAGGTGGCGAACGCCACGCTGCCGAGCAACTACCGGCGGTCGCTGTAACTTTAGTTTCCCGTTCTGTCCGCCAGGTGGCGAACGCCACGCTGCCGAGCAGCTACTTCCACCTGCTGCGGCGGCAGATTCTGCTGCCGTTCCGCAAGCCGCTGATCCTGATGGCGCCCAAACAGCTGCTGCGGCACCCGAGCGCGCGCAGCAGCTTCGACGACATGAGGGAGGGTACCCAGTTCAGGAGGTGAGGGGGAAGGAGGGGAGGGCACCCAGTTCAGGAGGTGAGGGAGGGCACCCAGTTCAGGAGGTGAGGGAGGGGAGGGCACGCAGTTCAGGAGGTGAGGGGAGGGCAACCAGTTCAGGAGGTGAGGGGCAGGAGGGGAGGGCAACCAGTTCAGGAGGTGAGGGGAGGGAGGGCACCCAGTTCAGGAGGTGAGGGGAGGGGAGGGCACCCAGTTCACGAGGTGAGGGGGAGGGCACCCAGTTCAGGAGGTGAGGGGGACATGGGGAGGGCACCCAGTTCAGGAGGTGAGGGGAGGGGATCCAGTTCAGGAGGTGAGCCCGGTGAGGGGAGGGGACACGGGAGGGCACCCAGTTCAGGAGGTGAGGGGGAGGAGGGGAAGGCACCCAGTTCAGGAGGTGAGCGGAGGGAGGGACACGGGGAGGGCACCCAGTTCAGGAGGTGAGCGGGAGGGCACCCAGTTCAGGAGGTGAGGGAAGGGCACCCAGTTCAGGAGGTGAGTCAGGGAGGGCACCCAGTTCAGGAGGTGAGGGGCGGGGAGGGGACTGTTTAGGAGGTGAGGGGAGGGGGAGGGCACCCAGTTCAGGAGGTGAGGGGCAGGGGGTGGGCACCCAGTTCAGGAGGTGAGGGGAGTGGGACACGCAGTTCAGGAGGGGAAGGGGAAGGAGGGGAGGGGACCCAGTTCAGGAGATGAGGGGAAGGGAGGGGACTATTTAGGAGGTGAGGGGAGGGGAAGGGAGGGACATGATAAGGGGCGCAGTCAAGTGGGATGACAAAATTGATGTAGATGACCATAATAGGAGTTGGTTAAAGAATGAAAGAGGTGGTCATTTGATCAATTCATTGGTTATGAATTAAGGAAGTTGTCTGACTCAACTGGAAACGGTTGTCATGCAGTTTTTTTTTTCGTTTGATCAACAGTTACTGACTGTGGCATCCTCATATCTTGTTTGTGATAATTGTGCTGCACCGCGCCATCACACCACCCACGTGTCACACTGACAGAGCTGACAGCGCACTCCCTCCCTCCCTCTGCCCCCTCTGTCTCTCCCCCCGCGGGCAGAGTGCTGCCCGACACGGGCCCGGCCGGCCGCTCCCCCGACTCTGTCCGTCGACTGGTCTTCTGCTCCGGGAAGGTATACTTCGAGCTGGAGCGGCGGCGACAGGAGCTCGGACTCGAGACAGACGTGGCCATCGTCAGACTGGAACAGGTCAGAGCGGGGAGAGAGAGAGCGGAGAGAGGGGGAGAGAGAGAGAGAGAGAGAGAGAGAGAGAGAGAGAGAGAGAGAGAGAGAGAGAGAGAGAGAGAGAGAGAGAGAGAGAGAGAGAGAGAGAGAGAGAGAGAGAGAGAGAGAGAGAGAGAGAGAGAGAGAGAGAGAGACGGAGACAGAGACAGAGACAGAGACAGAGACAGAGACAGAGACAGAGACAGAGACAGAGACAGAGACAGAGACAGAGACAGAGACAGAGACAGAGACAGAGACAGAGACAGAGACAGAGACAGAGACAGAGACAGAGACAGAGACAGAGACAGAGACGGAGAGACGGAGAGACGGAGAGACGGAGAGACGAGAGAGAGGGGGACGGAGAGGAGGAGGAGCTATGCTGGGGAGGTTTTCAATCGTACTGAGACTGCTAGTCTAGCATTGGATGCAGAAGAGACTGTGGAAAGGACTGTGGAATAGCTTCACCTTTACTGGATACTTTTTTCTGCTGTCAAGGCGGATGACATGGCATTCCCCTCTCCCCTCCCCGTTTGACGCTCCCCCTCCCCACCCTCTCCAGCTCTCTCCGTTCCCGTTTGACGCGGTGAAGCAGCAGCTCGACCTGTACCCCCCTCTGACCCCCCTCTGACCCCCTCTGACCCTCTCTCCAGCTGTCTCCGTTTCCGTTTGACGCGGTGAAGCAGCAGCTGGACCTGTACCCGTCGGTCGGTGACGTGGTCTGGGCCCAGGAGGAGGCCAAGAACAACGGCGCCTGGACGTTCGTCAAGCCGCGCTTCGAGACGGCCGCCGCCGCCGACAGCGTCATTCGGTGAGCCGAGCGGCTAATTTAATTTAATTTGGCCGCAAAGCTAGTTTGCTTGACTTTACGGACGGATTGAGAAAGCCAGAGCTCTTTCCTAGCACATTTTTTTGCGCAATCTATCAGAAGTTTCAAGAATTGGGGTCATGGGTGGGGGCTGCTCGGGTTGCGTATTACAGTGGAATCCGCTTAATAAATTCACCTTGGTGACAAGGTGTTTTGGATTTATTAAGCGGTGGCTTTATTAACCAGAGTCAGCTATTTTCATTAATAACATGTATCGCAGCTGCATGTTTCGTTCCCCTGCACTACAAGCGTACAGGCTGGCATTCCTCATTGTCTTACTTACCAGTAAAACGCCTTTTGGGCGAAGAACGAGCGAGCGAGATAGTGAGCCCTGCACGTGCGGAAGGGCGAGAGGGTACTTCCAACGGGCTTACGCAAAGCACCCTTCTAACCGGTCGCTAGCGGTGTGCCAAATTTGAACGCAATCGGCCCAGCCGTTCCTGAGATCTGGAAGCGGCATTCTGCACGTGCGCACGTGCAAACTGGGTCCAAAATGACTTTTGCACGGCACCCTACTAACCGGTCCCCAACCGTGTACCAAATTTGAGCGCAATCGGCCCAGCCGTTCTCGAGATCTGGAAACGCCCCCTGCATGTGCGCACGTGCAGTAGCACCCTAACCGCAACACATGGGAATGCATTGCCTGGTGGGTGCCTACTTGCATGCCAAGTTTCAGCGAAATCGCCCCAGTAATTACCGAGTTACTGAAATGGGAACAAATTTGGCACCTCTCCTTTTTGTATTTTGCACGTGCACTGGGGGTCACTCACATGCATCAAGAGTATCCGACCTTTGGTAGAAGGGATGCAGCTACCCTACAAAATTACCGCAAGACAATCGCCCAAGCGGCTGCTGAGATATGAGCCTATCAAAATCGCTACTTTTGCAAAACAGCTTGAACACCCTTGACTTTTCACGTGGCACGTGCCACGACGGTCACTGAGATGTGTCAAGAGTAGTCAATTACGGGGTAGAAGGGATGGGGCTACCCAGCAAAAAAGACCGCAGGCCAATCGGTCCAGCGGTTGCTGAGATATAAGCCTCTCAAAAGCGTTACAGGCCGGGCCGGGCCGGGCCGGGCCGGGCCGGGCCGCTCATACTGAGATTTTTCCGTTATATTGAAAAGACTCGCTTCGCTCGCTGCGCTCGCTCGCTCGTAATTACAATGAAAGTGACCTCGGGCTCCACCGCACCGGTGTGGTCACGAGGGGCCGGACCCCCAATAATTTGACTTTCGTAATGTAGCCTAATGTATAAAGGCGTACGTTTTAGGGTTGGGCAATCCCCCTCCCCCACCTGCGACCGCAGTGGAGCCCCTGAGAGTGACCAGCGCACGCTGCAAAGCTGTCACAGCGATTAAGTCGACATGCCCTTCCACGATCACTCCCCGTCATGCCTGCTATGCCAGCGAAACAGTTCAGGGTGCTTGTTTTGCCGGGAACATTTCTGAAGTCCAACTGCTGCAGATCACTGCTCCAGTGCTGTTGGCTTTTTGAGTGGGTTGGATGCCACATTTTGAATGGCGAGATGACACGGCGGACTTCGAAACTCCCAAGTGGCTTTCTTAAGCGGAGTACGTGGATTTATTAAGCGGATTTTTTAACTACGGATATCTATTGAGAAAATCCGTCAACACCTCAAGCGGACACAATAGGCGGCTGGATTTATTATCCGTGGATTTATTAAGCGGATTCCACTGTATTAGCACGGAAGCTTCAGCGCCTACTCTGCCCCCTCTGACTCACTCTTAAGTCTTACTCCCCTCTAACCCACTTTTGACTCCCTCTTACTCCCCTGTTGTTCCATCTGACTCTCCTATAACTCCCCTCTAACCCCCTTCTGACTCCTATAACTCCTCTCTAACCCCCTCTGACTCCCCTTTAGCTCCCTCTGTTTCTCAACTGACTCCCCTCTGACCCCTCCCCCAGGTACGTGGGCCGCAGCGGCAGTGCCTCCCCTCTGACTCCCCTCTGACTCCCCTCTGACCCCCCTCTGATCCCCCCCCCCCCAGATACGTTGGTCGCAGCTGCAGCGCCTCCCCGGCCACCGGCAGCAAGGCTTCCCACCAGAAGGAACTCGAGGCGCTGCTCACAGACACATTCGCCGGGCTGCACTGACCGGTGACGTCATCAGCGCCTGTGTGACGTCATAGACACGCTGAAATAGTGACGGCATGAGCTCGCTGGCCCGACGCGGTGTCACAAAACACCCGATGTGTTACGTCATCAGAGCACGCCATGCATGTATTATCACCAGAAGGCCGGACACGTCCATCAGAGGGCCGCCGCTGCGACTTGATTCCTGCTGGGAATGTGTAACTTGTGGTGTATATGCGCTATACCAAATTGTCTACAGAGTGATAGCGCAATGTTCGATGGCGTCAGAGGTGACGTCACGTGGGTGATGGACGTCATACGGGATGCTGAGTGAGGTCACAAACCAACGACTGATGCGGGTGTCTATTGTGTTTGTGACGGCGATCATGTATGTGATCATTTACACGTCAGTGTCAACGGCGATGATAATTACCATTATCATCGCCGATCATATAATACGATAGCATTATCATGTATTATAATAAGTGGTGGCGCGCTCAGCCATAGTGTCTGACGTCACAACGAGGAACGATGACGTCACAATCACAGGTGGTGACGTTACGAAACGAAGTGCCTTTACAGCGACCATCGGGCAACTACAGAGATCAGTCACGTGACCGGCCACGGTACACCTTATTTCCCTACGACCTTGGTCACGTGTTCTGCGGCGCTGCTGAACCTGAAGTCACTGTGATGCGGATTTTGTACACCAGCCATGATATTGACACGTGCACTGGTTGTCTGGAGATCCACTGCCCAAAAAACGCGCCGACCGACGCAGCAAACGCCGCGAACTGTTGGCCTACCAGCTGTCCGTTATTACCTTTATAGAAGTAGCATAGTAAATCACTCGAGATATTATTAGCTCTTGCACGTTTCGTAGGTGTATCTTCCTAGTTACTGCTGAAATGACCTAGGATTCTAGCCTTATCCAAAGTGGTGGCTCGCACAACTGTTCATAAAGAGATGTGCTATTCTTATACGAAATCGGCTCGTACAGGTGTTTTGAAAGAGATGTACTATTTTTAGACAAAATCAGCAGAGTGTTTCAAAATACAAATGAATGCCAGATATTACCAGTGAGTGTGTGGGGCCCGTTAAAAGTGAAGTGAGAATGCGGCGAGAAGTTGTGTGAGAATCTGTGTTTTTGATGGGTTGTTGCCGCTAGTTCTGAGCATGTGAGGCGTGTGTTCGGTAGTTTTTGATTTATGGAGGTGAAAATTGTACGGAGTTGTGCCCACTATGACAGTAGCAGACTGAGCGATTCAATACAAACGAGAATATGACGACCTGGTATGTGGCGTGAGTTGTTTTGAGTGCTCTCTACATATATCGAATAATGTGGATAATGTGGAACGAATTGATGGAGCATTTGGCATCTACAGCCTGAAAGATATGAGGGCGTCAAATTTGACAACCGCTTTCACGGTATCGCCATATTTGGATGTATATGTTTCATCCAAGGATATGTGCACTTGTATTATATAGCTTTCATGAACGGCAGAATTTTCCACCACTTTACTGATATTTGTATTATAACAAAGTTCAAAGACACAGACTATTTTCCAAACACAGCCGTTTAACCCGCCAACAAGTGCTAAAGGCTGTTTATTCACGTGCTAGGCCACTTTTGCTATTCCATCACACGGCCCATTTTTCGTGTCCACTACTGTGAGCTTTCTGCCTATGTGGCGAACTTGCTAAGTCTCTTTGCTAAGCTATTTGTCCCTCTATTACGAGACCGTCCGACGTCCACGTGTGTTTCAGTAAGCAGCTTATAGATATTACAATACAATGGATGTGACGGTAGCCTCGGCCAGCTACACTCGCCCCTGCTACTGACCTCGGTCCTCCCCGCACACAGCATCTACCCCTGACTGTGACCCGTGCGCCGTACTTGCCCCTGCTACTGTCCCCAGTCCTCTCCCGCACACAGCATCTACCCCTGACTGTGACCCGCGCGCCGTACTCGCCCCTGCTACTGCCCCCAGTCCTCTCCCTCACACAGCATCTACCCCTGACTGTGACCTGCGCGCCGTACTCGCCCCTGCTACTGCCCCCAGTCCTCTCCGAACACAGCATCTACCCCTGACTGTGACCTGCGCGCCGTACTCGCCCCTGCTACTGTCCCCGGTCCTCTCCCGAACACAGCATCTACCCCTGACTGTGACCCGCGCGCCGTACTCGCCCCTGCTACTGCCCCCAGTCCTCCCCGAACACAGCATCTACCCCTGACTGTGACCCGCGCGCCGTACTCGCCCCTGCTACTGTCCCCCAGTCCTCTCCCTCACACAGCATCTACCCCTGACTGCGACCCGCGCGCCGTACTCGCCCCTGCTACTGTCCCCGGTCCTCCCCGAACACAGCATCTACCCCTGACTGTGACCCGCGCGCCGTACTCGCCCCTGCTACTGTTCCCCGTCCTCTCCGAACACAGCATCTACCCCTGACTGTGACCCGCGCGCCGTACTCGCCCCTGCTACTGTCCTCGGTCCTCTCTCGCACACAGCATCTACCCCTGACTGTGACCCGCGCGCCGTACTCGCCCCTGCTACTGTCCTCGGTCCTCTCTCGCACACAGCATCTACCCCTGACTGTGACCCGCGCGCCGTACTCGCCCCTGCTACTGTCCCCAGTCCTCCCCGCACACAGCATCTACCCCTGACAGTGACCCACGCGCCGTACTCGCCCCTGCTACTGCCCTGGGTCCTCTCCCGCACACAGCATCTACCCCTGACTGTGACCCGCGCGCCGTACTTCACCTGACGGTGCCCATCCATCCCCCGAGTGCCCACTACCCTGTGGATATCTGCGCCAGTTGTGCCGCAGACCGCCCAGCTGCCCTGCCCGTCTCGGCCGTGTGTGCAGTTTTCCGACCGCCCGAGTCACTGTGCAGTTTTTCGACCGCCCGGGTAACTGTCGGTACGTACAGGCAGACGGCAGATCGATTTTAGAGACGATCGATCGATAGAGATGTCAGGGGCGACCGGGACAGGGCGGCAGTGCACCTGGTGGGAAGGTTACAGAGGGTACTACGGAGTTTTAGAGAGCGGGGAGGTATAGAACGGGAGAAAAGCTGCTTAGGGAGAGAGGAAATGGTCTGAGGGCCGTGGATAGGCTTGAGGTTGGGTTGTGTTGTTGAGTGTGAGGGATGTGAATTCTAAGATCGGGAAAATTACAAAGAGGGGAAATGCGATGGAGGCTCTGACAGGAGTTGAAGTGATATTGATAATTGAAGGCTTGAAAATGGTTATTGAAGCGGGGAACGTTACGGAGGCGAGAGACCTACCTAGGCATTATTACAAATGAAGACAGCAGTTGTTGGGTATAGCGAGCATACGTCACTAGCCGTCGGTCCACCATCTCTCCACCGCTATCCATCCGCTGGCTTCAGCCTTCAGTGGTGTCACCTGAAACTGTCTAAATTCCACCTGACACCTCACATCCAGCTGACACCACCCACCATGGATCCCTTATCTGACAGTGTTCGGCACCTCCTAGACACCTGTTACCCAATTCCGCCCCGTGTCAACCAGTGCCCCCTGCGGTTTACACAGCTCCGGCCGACACGAAACGATGTATTGTCGACTACCGAATGATGTTCCACTTTTCACAGGCAATTATTTGCATGGAGTGGTAGGCTGTGCCGCATCACACGGGCTGAGCTCACAAATTATAGCTGTTACAGGGAGTATGCGATTTCAGTTAGTTTGCAACGACCCTAGGGTGGTTGTAACCTCCCTGAACGATCAGTTTGTTTGCAACGACCCTAGGGACGTTACAAAATAACTGCTCGTTCCGGGACGTTGTAACGAAACTAGGGTCGTTGCAACCTCCCTAGTTAGTATGCAACGAACCTAGGGTTGTTACAAAATAACTAGGGAGTTTAAGAAATCATCGAGTCTCGTTTCACAGGGGGCACATGGGGGGGGGGGGTGGTTACTGGTTGCCACTCCCCCAGGTAGTCTTTCTGCTCTGCACTCAACATTTTTAGAGCTAGAAGCCTGATTTTTGGTATAGCTGCTCCTCTATCCTTTCTAGATGTTCACTAAAAAATTCAAGTTTTTGTGGTTTTTGGTTTCGGAGATATGACCTTGTTTTTCAGGTCATGTCATGACCCAAATGGCCAATTATCAACATCTTGCGTTGGCTATGGGCCTTGTGAGCTTATGACACCTTGATTTCGGCCTTTTTTGCCAGTCTTACCTCCCACCTATCATGGAACATGTTGTTTGACGATGTACAGATGTCAAGGTCAGGGCATTTTAGGCCAGCTGAATTTACTTTTCGTGAAGTTTTTTGACTGCATTCTTGGTGAAAGCTTCTCAGATCATGATTTCATGTAATAGGAACACAAACAATCGGTGCACACATCATTATACACACAGACACACACAGACATACAAACACATATCATTGACCTCGACCTAACTTGACCTGAAATGACCTCAGCAGCAAAAATCTGGTCGGGTAGTGTGACAAAGAGATTCTAGCTAGCTGGGCACCAGAAAACGGCATCGTCATCGCTATATGATAAGCAGCGCACTTGATATCCAACGGTGACCCAAAACAGCAACATTTTTTAGTTTGACCTGACCTGGAAGGTCAATGACTGACCTGAGAAGGTAAAACTGGGTATCATTGGATTCGTTTCTACCCAAAGAATCTTTTTGGTGTTTACCGCGAAGCTCTATCTCCAACAGGAACGAAATGGCGCGGGGGGGGTGGCACCCCCCCCATGTGCGTTCTAGGATGGGAAAATGGCATGTGCGGGCAAGGGTTAACTCTCGCCCTTATTGGTGTTTTGCTAGCTGCAAACGCACATGGCGGGGCTAGGTTATTGGTTGACTTTCCAGGTCAGGTCAGTGACTCAGAAGTCGGGAAAATCGGGACCTGTTCAAACTTTGGAGAGTTAGCTTGTTACGAGGTTTTTCGGTGCGCTGATCACGACTTTCATGTTAGCTTTGATCACCGATGATGTCTTGATGTTTTTGGGTCAGGTCGGGTCAGGTCAGGTCAGGTCAACCAGTAGGCGTCTTGCTAGCTGTCCATAGTAGGTGTCAACCACCACTGACAGCCTCGTGACATGGTACGAAGGCGCCAAAATTACTTCTTAAATGTTCAAATGGGTGCTAAATTCGAAATCAGGTCCAAAAACTAGCCTAAAGAATATATGAACCCAGAAGAAGTGAACTAAGGTCATCAAAGGTCAATGACCTTGACCTGACCTTCACGTGACCTTGACACCCACTATAATGCATGGGACCATCATCATTTCACATGTTTGAACGTTAACAATCACAAAAAGACTGGAAACGAGCGGATAATAACCGTTTTTACGAAGGGTTTCCTGGCAAATGCCCATCTAATTTGAACAAATCTGCACCAAATGTGCACCTAATCTGCACAAAATGTGTACTAGATGGCCGTCGTGAAATACTCCTGAGCTGAATGTTCAAATTTTGTTCTTCTTTTCTTTTTAAATGAACTAGATTGAACAAGATTTTCAGTGGACAAGATTGCTGACGGCCCTCATGTGAAATGAGACTCGATGAATTCTTAAACTCCCTAGTTATTTTGTAACAACCCTAGGTTCGTTGCATACTAACTAGGGAGGTTGCAACGACCCTAGTTTCGTTACAACGTCCCGGAACGAGCAGTTATTTTGTAACGTCCCTAGGGTCGTTGCAAACAAACTGATCGTTCAGGGAGGTTACAACCACCCTAGGGTCGTTGCAAACTAACTGAAATCGCATACTCCCTGTAACATAGCTTTGTCCCAATGCTCACAATCGACACGCTTAATTGCGTGGTAAACGGCACAACTTAGCGCTCCGGTCAACTGATAGCTTCTGAGGAGTGGAACATCATTCTGTAATCGACTATACGTCAAGACAGCCCATGTTCAACGAAGACAGGATCGGGCATGTCAGGCCTGCATTGTGTGCGAGTATCATCTCGATCTGAGGTGCTCCGAATCTGGGCTGAATCCGGGCTGCGACCTAGGAGGTGTCGGAGAATCGTACCTTTTTATCTGCTCAGGTCAAATGGGGTCACATAGCGAGAAGCGGTTTCAAGGAAAGTTACTACGTCTTATGAGTCATGGGCTACCCGAAATTATGCTTTAATTTATAATTCTGTCGATCCTTATACTCGAGAACCGCTGTGCACGTATATTTTCGACATAGCCCGCAAATGACCTTAGGTCAACGCATGACTGCGGGAGGTCAAATTGCTAGTGGGAAAGTAAGATAAGATGACTGCGAGTTGTTTGGTGCCGTTTTTAGCGTTCTAGCTGCACTTGGAAGGGCCATAAACTGCTGTGCAAATTTTGGCGACGTGACCTTTGCTGACCTCTGTAGGTCAAACGGCTGGGAGTGCCACCGAATGACTCGGACTGTGGATTGTGCATGTCACGGCCTACATTGTGTGCGAGTTTCAGCTCGATCTGAGGTGTCCCGAATCTGGGCTGAATCTGGGCTGAGCTTATGGGCTGTCTTGGTGAACGTCACGAAACGGGACAGATCCAACTCCAAGAGCTACTCCCCGCCTTCACCGCCAGTTATGTTCCAACCAACAGCCTATGTGCTGTTACAATAATACATGAACGATGTTATATATTCAAATACATTGATATTGATACACTTCGTAGACGTGCCAATACAACGAAACCAGCTTCGATCAATGTGTTATCTCGCGCTGCGCTGGGCTTTTCAGCCCTTCGAGTTCCGCTGTCGATTCCATGACAAAATATCGAAACATTAAATATCGAACTCAAGTCATCGGAAGCAAAATATCAAACAGAAACTATCGAAAGCAAAATATCGAAATCGCAAAATGTCGAGTCACATACCTACCTAACGAAGTGACAAAATATCGAAACACAGAATATCAAAACACAAAGCATCGAAAGACAAAATATCGGAAGGCAAAATATCGAAAAGACAAAACATCGAATGCGGAATATCGCAACGACATCAATTGGCATGATATTGAAAAGATGAAAATCGAATCAAGGATGCCTATCATCTTGACCAATTACGGAAAAGACGAAATTAAAAAAAAAAAAACACCAGTAAGGTAATACCTTCTAGGTACAGAAGTTTTTTGGGGGTCAGGTCACCAAAGATCATCGAATTCCGCCTGTTTCGACAATTTTCGACGGGTCGGCACATTTGAATCGCACATATCGGCGAGAGCGCGCTGGACATTAGGTGATCTCTGGACATTCCAGTATAAGATCTGGGTCTGAAATCCTCTCGACATGTGCAGAAAATATAAATAATTTGGTAAGTATACAAATCGGTAGCGCTACACGCCGCCACTGCTCGATATCTTTTTCTTTTAGATAAGCATTCTGCGTTCGATATTTTGAATTTTCGATATTTCGCTTTCGCTATTTTGCTATTCGATGTTCTGTCTTCGATATTGTTTTTTTTTGTATGCCTACTACTTTCGCTATTTATTCTTTTCGATATTTTGTCTCGTTTTTGTGTCTTTTCGAATTTTTGTCCTTGATAGTCCTTGATATCTCCGAACCTGATATTTTTCTTTATAAGCACGGTACTCGTAAAACGAAACTGGTAGCTACAAACTGCATATCAAAGTTATTGCAAATGAAAAAATATATGCATAACCTCAGCTTTACCGGTTTCTGCCAACTGGAGGCAAATTTAAGAAGGTGAATTTAACCGTGATGACCATCGGTGAGCTGATCAATGATAATTGCCCTCAGTGATAATTACCCCGACCTTAGAAAATGATCAGTGCTTTTTCAGTGACGATTTACGTTCTTTCGACCGTTTCTTCTTACTGCTTGTTCCACATTGCCCAGAAGTCGTTCAAGAGGTTATGAGGGTGTGCGTAAAAACACACCGCTACTGAAGTGCCTCACTCTGTAGAACCCATCAGATCACCGCACCCTGCATGGCAGGTTGCTAAATGATAATCTTGCGTACCGTAATGTAATTAAAGCAGGCGTAACTACATATCTACACTACAGCTTGCTGATAACCCATGTTACCACGCTGCCAAGCCGAGGCACGGGAACTAATAAGAGCATGGTCCTACCGAGTTGCTATGAATTTTACGTCCAAGCACACTCCAATCAGGCCCACTCTTATGTATACCGTTATTTCTCGCACCCCACTCGGCCACCGCGCCCTCCCCATTTCGCTGTCCTGGCGCCGCCCCTGCTCACACCTGACTCCGAGTGTGGGGGCGGGGGAGGGAGGGGGAGGTATGTGTGCAGGTGTCGCGCCCCGCCCCTCCCCTCCCCGCCCCGCTGTTACAGCTTCTGCGGCCGTCCCGACACCGCCTATCGGAGGCGGGCCGCCGTGGCTTATACCGAGTCTGTATAGCCAGGGCGAGATAGCCGCGTGCGGTGTGTGAAATTGTCAGAGATGTGAGTGGTCGGTGAGTGGCGGTGTGAGAGCATCAGACAGGGAGTGAGAGCAGCCACGTGCGTCTGTGACCTTGTGAGAGTGTTGGAGGAGGTTTTGTGACTTGTGAGCGGCAGTGGGCGGCGTTGAAGTTATTGGTGGCTGCGGTTCATGTGCTGTCCTCTCACGTCGACAAATTACTATGTAGCCCGTGTTGCCGAGAGCTACGAGCTGGACCACTGAGAGCATCAAGTGAGCCACAGAGAGCTACTCCGCTGGACACCGTGGATACTCAGGTGAGCTATCGTGAGTAGAGCTACCGAGTGAGCTATCGATACACCTACTAATAGCACGGCAGATAACAACTGAACAACTGAACACTTATGTGAGGCTTTACCGGAAGCAGCGTGAAAAAACAGCATCGGTGGTTCATATTCATATATAGGTGGTTCATGTATGTAGAGCCATGAGCTAAGTAATCGTGGGATAACTAAAACTACCATTACCAATTAGTTAAACTAGAATACATAACGCGGGAGTTTAAAGTTTTCACATCAGCTACAGTGAAGCATCAAAAGAGGTTGTAGATAAAGCGCTGAAGAAGTCTTTGATAGACGAAACCGGTCCGCTTATTTATATCTGATTGTTTCTTGAATATATTAGTAGGCTACTGGCTCTTCACTACAAAAGAGGTTGTGCGAGCTCAACACACTTCTTATCAGCTGCTTATCCCGGTCATATCACTAATCCACCCCCGATTATCAGGTGACCTCGTCGACCGCTACCAACGGCGGTAATCCGGCCATCAGCTCTTCAGAAAGACGGAGCAGATTTCTATATCTAGATCGGATCCTCTCTTATTTGAGAGGATCCTGGCGAGCTGTATGTGAGATCGAGAGGATTAACCCTCGCCGGCCGAGGGGGGACGGGTTCCGCCCCCATTTTTTTCTTGATAGCTTCGAACACGCCGGCGATAGAGAGCTGAAATTTGGCATACCCGACCTCTGATTAAAACCACATCTAGTGACACCAGCCGAATTTTCAAGGCTGGTCAGCTCACTAACCTATGACGTCATAAGTGGACCTCTGCATGGTCCTCAGATGTCGCAACTTCACAACGCCCTCAGTGCCAGAGGCACTTTCACAAGGAGATGAAACTTACAGGATGTAGTGCACTCCTAAGGTCTCATGACATGTAGTAGGTATATCTCGGATTTTTCCTAAAGGTCACATGAGGTCAGGTCGATCACGTGACCTCACGAATTAAAGGCCTAGGTACACTATGCGTTTTCTGCTTGCGTTTTTTTGTGGGTTTGCGTTTTTTGCGTAATATCGTTCTAGAAAAATTATAGATGATGTACGTTTTAAATTAGTTATATACAAAAGCTAATATAAATCTTATATTAACTAAAATTTTATATAACAAACATATCAACGACGTAATATCGTTATTTTTTCTAAAACGATATTACGCAAAACCCGTAAACCCGCAAAAAAAAGCACGCAGAAAACGCATAGTGTAGCCAGGCCTTAAGTCAATGGGGAAAATGAAAACTACTATTTTAGCACCAGGAACGATCTCCAACTATCTAAAGCACACAGATTCGTGATTTATTGCACTCCTTGCCAGGCCCGAAGCTTCACTTTTGCATTGTTGACCTTGCGTGAAGACCTCAGGAAGAGCTGCCGAATCGAATGCTATGCGACGTGACCTGCTTTGCTTTGCCAGCTTCGTGAGCTGGGGGGCGCTGATATGACCTTGACCCGAAGTGAACACCTTAAGTTTACCTCAGCGAACAAAAAGTATACTATTCGATGCACATGAGTGAGGCAAACACGATGAGGCTCTGCGCCCATTTTTTTTTTTGGCCAAGTTCTTGATGAAAAACTGAACCTGTGCCGTGGGTCACTTGACCTGACTTCAGAAGTCACCGGTTAACCTGAGGCCTTAAAATCGGATGCCAGTCGCTGCGTCTCGTAACGGCGCACAGGCGCTGTTTTTTTTTCCGCGCCGCTCTAGCTCCATCAGGGGCGAAATGGCGAGGGGAGGGGTGTACCTAGTACCTACCAACCGGCGCGTATGTAGAAAACCAATAGGTCCTTGGGGCTTAACCCTCGCCCGCACATGCCATTTTCCCATCCTAGAACGCACATAGGGGGGGTGGTTGCCACCCCCCCCCCGCGCCATTTCGTTCCTGTTGGAGATAGAGCTTAGCAGTAAAGACCAAAAAGATTCTTTGGGAAGAGACGAATCCAATGATACCCAGTTTTACCTTCTCAGGTCAGTCATTGACCTTCCAGGTCAGGTCAAACTAAAAAATGTTGCTGTTTTGGGTCACCGTTGGATATCAAGTGCGCTGCTTATCAAATACCGATGACGATGCTGTTTTCTGGTGCCAAGCCAGCTAGAACCTCTTTGTCACACTATCCGACCAGAATTTTGCTGCTGAGGTCATTTCAGGTCAAGTTAGGTCAAGGTCAATTATATGTATTTGTATGTCTGTGTGTGTCTGTGTGTATACTGATGTGTGCACCGATTGTTTTTGGGTCCATATCACATGAAATCATGATCTGAGAAGCTTTTACCAAAAATGCAGTCAAAAAACTTCACAAAAAGTAAATTCAGCTTGCCTAAAACGCAATTATCTTAGATGACCTAGGTTGACCTTGACCCTGACCTTGACCCCTGTACATCGTCGAACAACATGTTCCATGATAGGTGGGAGGTAAGACTGGCAAAAAAGGCCGAAATCAGGGTGTCAAAAGCTCACAAGGCCCATGGCAAACGCAAGATGTTGAGAATTGGCCATTTGGGTCATGACATGACCTGAAAAACAAGGTCATATATCCGAAACCAAAAATCACAGAAACTTGAAATTTTCAGTGGACATCAAGAAAGGATAGACGAGCAGCTATACGAAAAATCAGCCTTCTAGCTCTAAAAATGTTGAGTGCAGAGCAGAAAGACTGCCTGGGGGGGGGGGGTGGCAACCACCCCCCCCCCCATGTGCGGGCGAGGGTTAACTCGCGATAAATCCACTTTGAACGATAGGATTAACCCTCGCCGAACCAACTGGTTTTCTATACGTGGCACCGGACCTATTGGTTTTCTACATTCGCGCCGGCCGAGGGGGGGGGTGGGTACGACCCCCTCCTCGCCGTTTCGCCCCTGATGCGGCTAGAGCGTCGCGGAAAAAAGAGCGTGTGCGTCGCTACGAGACGCATCGACTGCTACACGATTTTAAGGTCTCAGGTCAACCGGTGACCTCTGGGGTCAGGTCAAGTGACCCAAAGCACAGGTTTAGTTTTTCATCAATAACTTCGCAAAAACGGCCGCAGAGCCGCGATTTTGCCATCATCGTGTTCGACTCAAACAGGCGCGTCGAATGGTATACTTTTTGTTCGGGTGAGGTCAACTTGAGGTGTAAACACCGTGTCAAGGTCAGATGGGCGCCCCCTTACTGGTCACGAAGTTGATCGAAGGAGGTCATGTGTGGTTGCGGAGATATAAGCTTCGCAAAAGCGTGACTACGCTCATACTCAGAAATTTCTGTTAACCTACGAAAGACTACGCTCGCTTCGCTCGCTCCGTAACAATTGCTATCTGATTTTTTTTCTATAGATGACCTAGGTTCAGGTCTATTTCTGATTCTACCAATTCTATCATGATTCGTAAATGACATCATCGATGACCGACATTGCTATCCTGATGACCTCACAGTTGGTTGACAACTGCAAGGTCATGTGACGTCATCAAAGGTCACCAAAACGTTTTTGCTAATAACTTCTTACAGCGAAAAAGTACAGTCGCGTGCATTGCGCATGTTCTCATTGGTTTCGGCTCCCATATTCTCATGTGAAATTCAATTTTAGGTGATCTGTGATAATTAAACATTTATTGGGACTCCATACAGCCCCTCATCTGAAGACGATCCGATCTTGCTAAAGAAACGGCTATGCTACACCCTTAGGAGCATGGTGACCTTTGACCTTTGGCGTGACAAATACTTGATCTGCGACCAGTTTCATACATTTTCCCTAAATTCTCTCACAAGAGCTTTTTTTGGCGTTTCTTTTTTCATCTCTCAGACATCATCTCTGCGTAAATTTCTGCTAAGACTGATGTCCGATACGAAATGTTACCGTTTTCTTTTTTTTATAAAAAAGCTGCGGATGATAGATACTCGTGTGACAGGCACGTCAAAATTTCCTAGTCCCTTATGGCTCCATCTAGTAGATTCTTTGGCTTCTTTATTTATTTGTTTGTTTGTTTGTTTGTTTGTTTATTTGTTTGTCTGATTGATTGTTTTTAGGTAGTTTCTAAAGAAGTTTTTCTTATTATTCTTAACAATGAGTTTGTTTGTTTGTCTGATTGATTGTTTTTAGGTAGTTTCTAAAGAAGTTGTTCTAATTATTCTTAACCATGAGTTTGTTTGTTTGTTTGTTTGTTTGTTTGTTTGTTTGTTTGTTTGTTTGTTTGTTTGTTTGTTTGTTTGTTTGTTTGTTTGTTTGTTTGTTTGTTTGTTTGTTTGTTTGTTTGTTTGTTTGTTTGTTTGTTTGTTTGTTTGTTTGTTTGTTTGTTTGTTTGTTTGTTTGTTTGTTTGTTTGTTTGTTTGTTTGTTTGTTTGTTTGTTTGTTCGATTGCTTGTTTCATTGCTTGTTTGCTCAGTTGTTTTGTTGTTTGTTTGGTTGGTTTATTGTTTCTATTTTTTTTTTTTAGTTTATCATTGCTTGTTTTTGCGTTGTTTCTTTGTTTTTAGACGCTCATGGGCCATGAGTGAAGGCAGTGTGACAATTGCAGTGTGCCATTGTAAGCAGCACCCTGTGGTTGTTCAGCGACTTTGTCTCTATTTCAGCCACACGGTACTGCGCTGATTCAAAATGGCCGCCACCGAGGGCAGTATGAAGGAAGTGCTCACTCAGAAGGCGCACGAACTGTTTGCGCTCTGCGACAGAGAAAACAAGGGCTTCATCGGAAAACGCGATATGCAGGTAAGAAAACCATGGTTTTCATGGGTAGGAATATTTCAAAGGGACCCTCCCACCTTCAAAAAAGTTAACCCGCGCCCCACTGGGGTCTGCGTATAACGCGCCCTACTGGGGGGGGGGGGGCTCTTCCTAGCCCCCCCCCCCCTGCTAACTCCGAAACTACTTGGCCGATCGTCAAAATTCAAACGGCGTCTGATAGCCCCGGAAAACTGTCAAGCGAAACCTAATTTCATTGACCTCGAGGTCACCGATGACGTCACAGGTCAGGCCAAATTAAAAACTATTAGCGTTTTGGCTTGTTCACCTTTTGGGCTCTGGCCGTCGTCTTACAAGTCAGATCAGGCTCATTTTTGGTTTCCACACTCGTGAACAGATGCTTTAGATACCCTGAGGGTACCAAACCTGTACTTTGATTTTCAGGTCAGGGTCTGGTCATCACAGGTCACGGAAATGTTATATCAAGCGTCGGTTACGTTACACATGTTTTATGGTCCAATTAGGCCATATATTTCGAATTTTATGTCGTTTGTGTCATTCGAGGTCATTTTGAGTTGAATTTAGGTCAGGTCACTTTCAGGTCAAAAAGGTCAAATTTTGAAATTAAAATTTTGCAACAAAAAGGTGTCTACTGGATGCAGTTTGAGCTCAGGAACACGATGGTGCTATTTATATTGGTGTGCGATGTCATATACGTACTGAAAAAAAAATGATTTGAAAAAATTTATAATTGTGAATTTTTTGGAATAATGCGTATAGCTTGGCCATTTTTAAAGATGCTTAGCTAAAACTTACAGCCGGACCAGCTGTACACGTATGTACCGTGTACTGTGTACAGCTCCCTGACTGTGTTCCAGTGGATGATCCAGGAGCTGCCGCTGGAGCCGGACCAGCTGTATGTACCATGTACTGTGTACAGCTCCCTGACTGTGTTCCAGTGGATGATCCAGGAGCTGCCGCTGGAGCCGGACCAGCTGTATGTACCGTGTACTGTGTACAGCTCCCTGACCGTGTTCCAGCGGATGATCCAGGAGCTGCCGCTGGAGCCGGATCAGCTGCATGTACCGTGTACTGTGTACAGCTCCCTGACCGTGTTCCAGCGGATGATCCAGGAGCTGCCGCTGGAGCCGGACCAGCTGTATGTACAGTGTACTGTGTACAGCTCCCTGACCGTGTTCCAGCGGATGATCCAGGAGCTGCCGCTGGAGCCGGACCAGCTGTATGTACCGTGTACTGTGTACAGCTCCCTGACCGTGTTCCAGTGGATGATCCAGGAGCTGCCGCTGGAGCCGGACCAGCTGTATGTACCGTGTACTGTGTACAGCTCCCTGACCGTGTTCCAGCGGATGATCCAGGAGCTGCCGCTGGAGCCGGACCAGCTGTATGTACCATGTACTGTGTACAGCTCCCTGACTGTGTTCCAGTGGATGATCCAGGAGCTGCCGCTGGAGCCGGACCAGCTGTATGTACCGTGTACTGTGTACAGCTCCCTGACCGTGTTCCAGCGGATGATCCAGGAGCTGCCGCTGGAGCCGGACCAGCTGTATGTACCATGTACTGTGTACAGCTCCCTGACCGTGTTCCAGCGGATGATCCAGGAGCTGCCGCTGGAGCCGGACCAGCTGTACACGTATGTACCGTGTACTGTGTACAGCTCCCTGACTGTGTTCCAGTGGATGATCCAGGAGCTGCCGCTGGAGCCGGACCAGCTGTATGTACCGTGTACTGTGTACAGCTCCCTGACCGTGTTCCAGCGGATGATCCAGGAGCTGCCGCTGGAGCCGGATCAGCTGCATGTACCGTGTACTGTGTACAGCTCCCTGACCGTGTTCCAGCGGATGATCCAGGAGCTACCGCTGGAGCCGGACCAGCTGTATGTACAGTGTACTGTGTACAGCTCCCTGACCGTGTTCCAGCGGATGATCCAGGAGCTGCCGCTGGAGCCGGACCAGCTGTATGTACCGTGTACTGTGTACAGCTCCCTGACCGTGTTCCAGCGGATGATCCAGGAGCTGCCGCTGGAGCCGGACCAGCTGTATGTACCGTGTACTGTGTACAGCTCCCTGACCGTGTTCCAGCGGATGATCCAGGAGCTGCCGCTGGAGCCGGACCAGCTGTATGTACCGTGTACTGTGTACAGCTCCCTGACCGTGTTCCAGCGGATGATCCAGGAGCTGCCGCTGGAGCCGGACCAGCTGTATGTACCGTGTACTGTGTACAGCTCCCTGACCGTGTTCCAGCGGATGATCCAGGAGCTGCCGCTGGAGCCGGACCAGCTGTATGTACCGTGTACTGTGTACAGCTCCCTGGCCGTGTTCCAGCGGATGATCCAGGAGCTGCCGCTGGAGCCGGACCAGCTGTATGTACCGTGTACTGTGTACAGCTCCCTGACCGTGTTCCAGCGGATGATCCAGGAGCTGCCGCTGGAGCCGGACCAGCTGTATGTACCATGTACTGTGTACAGCTCCCTGACCGTGTTCCAGCGGATGATCCAGGAGCTGCCGCTGGAGCCGGACCAGCTGTATGTACCGTGTACTGTGTACAGCTCCCTGACCGTGTTCCAGCGGATGATCCAGGAGCTGCCACTGGAGCCGGACCAGCTGTATGTACCGTGTACTGTGCACAGCTCCCTGACCGTGTTCCAGCGGATGATCCAGGAGCTGCCGCTGGAGCCAGACCAGCTGGAGGATGTGTTCGACTCTCTGGATGTGGACGGCAACGGCTTCCTCACACTGGAGGAGTTCACGGCGGGCTTCGGTACGGCTAGCGACTGAGTTTAGTTGGCTCAGTAGATCGAGATGTGAAGGCTTGGGTGCACAATACGAGACTTAACAATTTGAGATCAGGGATTAGAACAGTGTGACACATGATGCGTAATAACTAATTAGGATGACGATGTCACGATAAAACAGTGTTCAGTGAGCAAATAATCGGGCATTTTTTAATTACATCCCCATCTACGACTCTCAGACCCACAGAAATGGAACGGCTTGCATCTGGTATGGTCGGCATTGAATGCTTTGCCAGTTTACATTTATTATTGGCTTCGAGATTTTGTATTTCCTTCCTTTTTCTTCACAAAAATGCTGCATGACTCATGGTTTTATTTATCAATATCCGCCCGCTCACGATAACTACGGTGCATGTCACACGGTATGGGTGTAATCAGCTTCAGAACACTCTTAATAGTTATGATACCTAAGTATGCTATTTATTCATGATATGATTTATTCCTCACATACCTAGAGGCTATATGAGTGGGCGATTGCAGCAGCATTAGCAATACATCCGACCTGCAATCTAATCGGAATAGGGCGTGTCAGCATTGTTTCAACATGAACAGTCGCAGCGGGTCGTAAGCTCGCTCATATAAAATGATATGGCCTTGGCACATTTATTTCTGAATGTTCATGTTTTTGGTATCTGTTGAAAAAATAGATCCGCTTTAGTACAGTTTTAGTGCAGTTCCAGTGTGGGTGATTCAATGATAAACTATCGCCCACAAACACGTTATTTACATACTACATATAGCCATGCAGGTAAATCTGAAAGTGACACCGCACGGACCTTTGACTTCGTCACAGCTCTGTTAGGTAAGGCTCTGTTTACACAGCTCACAGCTCTGTTACGCACACACACAAAGTTAAGGTGAAACACTCCACCAAAAGCGGCCTCGGCCTGATCAGAACTCCACAGGCCTACTGAGCGTGAGCACCGGACGAGGCGCGGCCGGTCCGTCGGCGCTCCAGCGGCCTGTACTGGCAGACTGTACCGCATCACACCGCTGTAGTGCGGGTTGCCTACCTGGCAGTGCACTGGACGCCGCAGCCGGCGGGCGACCCGAGACGCAGCTTCTGATCGAATGCCGGAATATAAAACGCTACCATGACGCTACTTTATTTGTATTTACACGAAACATGTTCGAAAATACATACTTTTCTAGCTCAGCATGTATTGCTTTTTTTAGGTAGTACTTTTGAAGCGAATATTAACAATGCAGTGCAATCGCAGTATTATATAATACTGAACGAGGCCGGTGTAAATAAATTTTCAAGACCGAGGTCCTTACTGAATTTTTGAACGAGGCCGAAGGCCGAGTTCAAAAATCAGTAAGGACTGAGGTCTTGAAAATTTATCACCGGCCGAGTTTGGTATGTATTTTACTGTATGCCAACGATAAATTTATTTTCTGGACCGAAGCTCTTAGCCGACTTAGGAACGAGACCATCCCAAAATGTTGGCTTAAGTGCATTCTGGTAATGCATTTTTGACCGTGGTCAATTTGCTTACACCAGTTATTACCACACCCCTCTAGCTAATGTATTTGAATAGGCCAGGCATACAGTAAAATGATTCGTCGGCACGTAATCAGCCTTTTCATTTGGGCGTCCCTTTCAAAAGTTAAAGATAGACACACTTTGAATTGAAATACCTTATCATTTGGATTTCACCAATTCCATATGTGACAATCCAAGTAACGCCACCTCTCTCTCCATTGTCCTCGCTGTGCCGCAGGCTCGTTTCTGGGTCTCGACGAGGCGGACGGAGAGGAGCCGTCCTCCGAGGACCCCGGGAGGACCTCGGAGGACCGCGGGAGGAGGACGGCAGAGGAGGAGGAGGAGGACGAGGAGGAGAGGTTCACGGACTTCTTGGTGCAGGCCGGAGCCACCGAGCTGCTGGAGGAGAGGTGGGAGTGGGAGAGAGGGAGAGGGAGAGGGAGAGGGAGAGGGAGAGGGAGAGATAGAGAGGGAGAGGGAGAGAGAGGGAGGTGCAGGCACACACAGAGTGAGAGAGAGAGAGAGAGAGAGAGAGAGAGAGAGAGAGAGAGAGAGAGAGAGAGAGAGAGAGAGAGAGAGAGAGAGAGAGAGAGAGAGAGAGAGGGAGAGAGAGAGAGAGAGGAGTGGGAGAGGCAGCGAACCTACTCAATATGTTCTTATCACTTTTCCTTCTTCTAATCAACCTTCTTTTTGTGTCTGGCCGTTTCATAAAGACAAGTTCTTTTTGTCTCATTTTCTGTGATTTTTTCAACGTCTGAAAGTAAAATATTTACACAATGCTTATTGCTCGTACTTTCCAAGTCACACATACTTTGATCATACGTTTGTCATCTTACCGTCGGCGCTCAAAACTATGTTACTTTTATATTCGCAAAACTATAGTCTGGCAAACCTAAGAAAGAGCGGAGTTAAAGTGCCTGAATCACTTTGCACGTGTTTTGTTCACTTGAAATGTATGGCTCGGAGAAAATTGCGTGACAAATTGTGACAGAAAATATGCTCTCACAATATAAATGCACATGCATCATCGGCCGCAGCACTTTAAATCCATTTTTTTTTTCTTAGGTTTGCCAGACTATAATTACCCTACATCACATCGCATCCAGCAATTAGCACCACCTCCACCGCCGCCGTTTCAGCGAGGCTGCGCTCCGCCAGATGTGGCGCCGTCTCCAGCAGGAGGAGACACACCGCCAGCAGGAGGAGACACACCACCAGCAGCAGGAGACACACCGCCATCAGCACGCCGACCAGCAGGGGCCGGCGCTGACAGAGACGTTCGGGAGACTGCTGGGGGAGATCGCAGCCCGCGAGAGACGCGCCCGGTCCGAGCAGGAGACGCTGGAGACGGCGCTGAAACACCAGCAGGAGACCATGCAGAGCCAGGTGAGACACCAGCAGGAGACCATGCAGAGCCAGGTGAGACACCAGCAGGAGACCATGCAGAGCCAGGTGAGACACCAGCAGGAGACCATGCAGAGCCAGGTGAGACACCAGCAGGAGACCATGCAGAGCCAGGTGAGACACCAGCAGGAGACCATGCAGAGCCAGGTGAGACACCAGCAGGAGACCATGCAGAGCCAGGTGAGACACCAGCAGGAGACCATGCAGAGCCAGCTGAGACACCAGCAGGAGACCATGCAGAGCCAGGTGAGACACCAGCAGGAGACCATGCAGAGCCAGGTGAGACACCAGCAGGAGACCATGCAGAGCCAGGTGAGACACCAGCAGGAGACCATGCAGAGCCAGGTGAGACACCAGCAGGAGACCATACAGAGCCAGGTGAGACACCAGCAGGAGACCATGCAGAGCCAGGTGAGACACCAGCAGGAGACCATGTAGAGCCAGGTGAGACACCAGCAGGAGACCATGCAGAGCCAGGTGAGACAAACAGAACCGAGGCATACGAGACGTAACAGAGCCATTTGGAGAAATCTATACAGAGAAAGCTGGGACGTAGCAGACTAGCAGGTTCAGGTGAGACAACAGAGAGTCAGGTGAGACAACACAGGTGAGACAGTACAGGGTCAACAGGAGGTGAAGGTATGCTAAACATTTCCTTTTATGAGCTTTACTTTTTACGTTCCGGTCATTGGAGGTAAAAAAAAAAAAAAAACTCTGGAAAACGCCTTTCTTCAATTCATCTATAAAATATTTGATTATTTGTCGTAGTAAAGAAGTGTCTCATACGTCATGGCGATGCGTCAGTGTAACGGCGATAAGCCTGCGTCTTATAGTTCGTAACCAGTGTCACTAACTCTGAGACACAGACCAGACTGACGCGTGCTATCGTCTGTACTGACGGGCGTTATGGTCCGGTACTGACGGGCGTAGTTGTCTGTATTTACGGGCGCTTTGGTCTGTAGTTGTACTGACGGGCGTTATGGCCTGTACTGACGGGCGTTATGGTCTGTACTGACGGGCGTTATGGTCTGTACTGACGGGCGTTATGGCCTGTACTGACGGGCGTTATGGTCTGTACTGACGGGCGTTATGGTCTGTACTGACGGGCGTTATGGTCTGTACTGACGGGCGTTATGGTCTGTATGTACTGACGGGCGCTATGGCCGGTACTGACGGGCGCTATGGCCGGTACTGACGGGCGTTATGGTCTGTACTGACGGGCGTTATGGCCTGCACTGACGGGCGTTATGGTCTGTACTGACGGGCGTTATGGTCTGTACTGACGGGCGTTATGGTCTGTACTGACGGGCTTTATGGTCTGTATTGACGGGCGTTATGGTCTGTACTGACGGACGTTATGGTCTGTTTCAGATGAAGAGTATGTTTGAGGAGATGGAGGCGCAGATCGCCTCTGAGAGGGGCAAAAGTGACCTACAGGTACGGGACTGTCGACAGCACGTCTGCCTTTGTTAAACGTCAGCACAAAGAGAGGGTTTGTCAACAAAATAGGTGTCCACTTTCACAACACATTCACATTGCGACTGCTCACGCCGGAATTCAACAATGGCGCAGGCTGTTGAGTGTTTGCCGATGGATACTTGTACCGTAGCACAATGGATATCTGTTACCCTGATTGTGAATCTGTCTCATAACTAACTCATGGCAATGTGACCAATATGGCGTCTAATGGACTTGATCCGGGCTGAGCAGCAAATATTTCGACAAACTATTTACCCAAAACAAGAGAAAAAGTTCAATGTCTTGGCATTTCCCGTCAGCCGCGACAACTAGCGCCCTAATCACAATATCCAGCTCTCATAGTCATAGTGACAAGCGATCTAAGATATGTTGTCTTAAGGTCATCTTCCCCAGGAAATCAGCTATGAATGGTTACTTTTCGGATTATTCTCTGGGATTATAACATCTAACTCAGAGGTCCACTGAGTTAGATATTTTATCCCAGATAATAATACGAAAAGTAACCATCCAGATCTAAGATATGTTGTAATAACCCCACAATAGCTCCACAATAACCCCACAATAGCTCCACAATAACTCCACAGGAGGAGCAGCGACAGGCCAAAATCCGTGAGGACCTGGAGGCGCAGGTGGCAATCAAAGAACTGGAGGCGCAAATGGCCAGGCAGAGGTAGGTTCTGACTTCTGAGTGTTTGTTGTATACCAAACACTATATTTTGACTGTGCTATGACAGAATTTGGATATAATGCAGCTGCCTCACACAAGGATCAGCTTATGAAAAGCTATTAGGTCTCGATGCAGGTTTCGAGAGTAATCTTTGAATCGCATCATTGAAAGCACTCTTGCAAGGAGCCGAATTATGATGACAAAACGCCCGCAGTCCATGTGCCATCAATTAAGTTTTGTTTCTGAACATTGTGACTTATCTCTGTCGCTGCTCCATAACCGACAAGCTGAATACGTTCCTGTTCTCGCTGTTTGAATGTCGGGGCAGACTGACAGAACTGACGGAGCAGCTGGCTAAAGTGACGTCATCAGACGCCCAGCAGCGCCAGGAGATCGCCCAGCTGCAGAAACAAAAGGTAAACACTCCAACTCCTGCTTTATTTACACCGGCGTTTTATTTTTTCCGCCTCCATATTTCCTCAATCATCACGTGTAGGGGAGAGTGGGGCAAAGCGGCCACCCGGGGCAAAGCGGCCATCCATCGTTTTAGCCCTCCACAGCTGGCGTCAGTTCCAATTTATGATTTCCAATTATACTTCTCTTTGCGGTCGTTCGAATGAGCCAGACCGGGGTTTCAGGCCCATCGCCATTGTTCTGTGAAACACGGAAAGGCATTTCTTGCCAGGTTACCAATTATGTTTGCAATTTTTAAATGTTATTTAATTCCATAACCGTTTGGAATTTTTATAAGCGTTTTTGTCCATGCATTGCGTGGTTATCGTACATGCCTTCTACCAATTTTAATGCTTTTTACCCCACTAATAGCTGAGCTGGAATATTTTTGTCTCGGACGGTATGCGCGGGGCAAAGCGGCCGGGGCAAAGTGGCCAGCCCCCAATTGGCCATAAGTTGTTTCCATCTGGATAAAAACATTATCTATATTCAAATGTGTCGTCATGCATTCATCTTGGCCACTTTTCGGTTACATGAGTTACCAAATTATGCAATTAAATGTTTTTCCAAGAAAATTCTTTCTTGGTTTAGCAATAGGTGGGAAGATAACAAAGTAAACATCCATCTTCCTTTAAACCTTGTCACCATCAAATACCCTAGTCGTGCATGAGGCAACTATTCTGTTTCTCATATCGGGACTTGAGAAGTCGCCAGTGGCCGCTTTGCCTCAGGGATGGGGCAAAGTGGCCAATATGCTATAGGTTTAAAGTTTTGTCAATATCTCCCATATGTGAACGCCTTTGGAAATGAAACGCAGTTGGAATAAAAGACAATTTAATAGGGATCACATTGGTATAGAAAGAATCTTTCCAAGTTTAAAAATCAAGCGTCGGCATCGTTAGAAACGTTAGGGTGGCCGCTTTGCCCCACTCTCCCCTATTCGTTTTTTTCTGAATCAATCACGTCTTATCAGCAGCAAGTTGAGCCCTGATAGAACACTGCCCTTATATGAGGTCTAAATAGGTTGCATCACACCACATTTCTACAGATATTTTATTTAACCCAGTCACAAGTGGACTGGCGGCCTGTGGTTGCCGTGCTAAATAATCACAATAGGCGAACAGCAAGCCAAAGTCCTCTGTCCAGCCGAGCATTTTTCCCTCTCCGGGATTCGAACCCACGCCGGACCGGAAACTGGTTCTCTGCCGCCAGGACAGTTACGAGTCGGAGGTGGTGCGTCAGCAGCAGCTGATTGCCGATCTGCAGGCGGCAGCTGAACAGAGCAGGGCGCTGACGAGGGAGGAGAGGAGAAAACGAGCCATGGCGGCGTTCAACGTCACAGAGAACATAGCCACCGAGAGAGAGGGTGCGGGAAGGGAGGGGGCGGGAAGGGAGGGGCGGGAAGGGAGGGGTGGGAAGGGAGGGTGCGAGAAGGGACGGGGGCGGCGCTTTGGAGCGTGTTCTGAACCGCTAGATAGACGGGAGTTTCACTGTCAGTGAGAATTTAACCTCGATAGGAGAGAACTGTTCGTCTTGCTACATGATAATGATCAATGCCTATATTTCTTGCATTTCTTCCTGTTTTTTTTTTTTTTTTTTTTTATAACGGCAGTGTGTTCTGATTTCTGTCAACTGGGTCTTGTTATTTGATTCTCAGTTTCTATTTGTGCTCTTTTCTTTCTTTCCGCGGCACCTTTCTACCTGTTTTCTTCTTTTTCTTCCTCGATCTTCAATTTTCTTCTGCCATTTGTTTTGCTTTTCTTAGCTTAGAATAATTTAACGCGCTTATTTGTACAGTTTGATGGTCTTTTCCTCCCCAGTCACAGAAACCCCTTTTTGTCGTTGGCCAGTTCGCCAGTCAGTTACCAACGCACTCCTGTGTCTCAGACCTGTGTCTCCTGACGCACTCCTGTGTCTCAGATTTGGTGAAGCAGTTGGACCTGCTGCGGACGATCAACACAAAACTGATGGACGAACGGGACTCGGGGATGGAGACCGGGAAAACCCAGAGCAGACAGGAGCGGGGAGACAGGTGGGTCAGTTAAATACACAGGACAGACGGTGTAAATACACAGGGAAAACACAGAGCAGGCCGGAACGAGGAGACAGGTGGGTCAGTTAAATACACAGGACAGACGGTGTAAATACACAGGGAAAACACAGGGCAGGCAGGAGCGGGGAGACAGGCGGGTCAGTTAAATACACAGGACAGACGGTGTAAGTATATAGGGAAAACACAGGGCAGGCAGGAGCGGGGAGACAGGTGGGTCAGTTAAATACACAGGACAGACGGTGTAAATACACAGGGAAAACACAGGGCAGGCAGGAGCGGGGAGACAGGTGGGTCAGTTAAATACACAGGACAGACGGTGTAAATACACAGGGAAAACACAGGGCAGACAGGAGCGGGGAGACAGGTGGGTCGGTTAAATACACAGGACAGACGGTGTAAATACACAGGGAAAACACAGAGCAGGCAGGGGCGGGGAGACAGGTGGGTCAGTTAAATACACAGGACAGACGGTGTAAATACACAGGGAAAACACAGAGCAGGCAGGGGCGGGGAGACAGGTGGGTCGGTGAAATATGATCTGTAAGCCGCACGAGTTTGGTATTTTGGAGCTTCACATTGTTGAGTGCGGCCTTGTACGGCCTTGGTTGAGTGTAATTTCCTGATAGAGCAAACGTATCGTACGCACCGTACGGCTTTGGTTCACTTTTCTAATTCACCATTCATATAAAATTGTTCATCAGAATGACGATTGCAAACTGAAATAAAACCTTAGCATATTAGAAAGTCGTTTAGAGGCAATATTGATAAGGTAGACATCTACCTTTTTTTGTTCACCGTTACATGGTGATCGTGTGCCGTTTCAGCCTGGCCAATATCAAAGATCTGATGGGTATCGACGTTCGTCATAATGACCAACAGCGAAACGGCCCCGCTAGATCGCCAGAGAGAAGTCCAGTTGGGTAAGTACCGCACTTGGCAAATAACTACAGATAGGGCGCCGCCAAAGAGCTTAGCCAGCGCTTCTAGTGCTGTCGTTAGCGGCAGTGCTATGAAGTGCTATGCTTTGCCAAATGCTTGGTTTAGCGATATCAGTCTTGAGTAGTACATTTTAGGGATAGGGTATGGACTTACGAATGGACTAACGACTTACGAAGATGTGCACTATTGATAGATGATATGATACTAGCAAACCATCACGTTTAGTTTAGTGGTCAGTAAATAATAAAACCAGAGTGAGCAATAGGCGATTTTTACCGGTGCACTGGCAGGAAAATTTGGAAAACAAAAACAAAACCAGCTCACCAATCCTAGTCTTACATCAATTCCCATAAAATACGTCGTTAAAAGTACATACTTTTGGTCTCAAGATAAGGGTCCAGGCGACCTGTAGGTTTGATGCGGTGAATACCCCCACCTTCGCCACACTCGCTCGGTGCTACGGAGCTCCGATCTCGCGACCGGTCACCTGTACTTGTAGACTGTGCCGCATGACATAGCAGTTGAGCGGGCCAGCGGAGCTTAGGCGGAAACTAGCGCCGCGTTTGACAGAGAAGGGCGCTTACCATTCCGCCGGGAGGGCTGCTCGCCATTTTAACTCCAGGTAGCGTCTCGCTGACAATGAAAGACGCTACTGGACGACACTACATGGCTCGGCAAAAATTATGTCCACTACCTATGACAACACTTTCCGGTTCCTAATCGTGTCTACATCTGAGAAGTGACGATTCAGGCTGCACTCCTGCATTGCACGGTCCTTGGCCGCAGAACATGAGGTGACGAACGGACCTCGGGTCACGGCTCACCGAGCTACGGCCATTTTCACAGATTGTCCACCTGAAAGGCTGCGTCGCTACATGAAGATCTGACATTTCTATCAAGGGAGCTGAACCAGACAGTCGGCATGCTCCAGGCCGAAATGACGTCATTGCTGATTGGTTGGGACATCTGCCTGTTGTTTTTGTTTGCAAGTCTTAATTATAGACGAACTGTCTGCACAGCCCGGTGTTGGTGGGATAAGCATACGGCTGCTGGCAGTGTTGCTGATCGTTCCAGTTTGCAGAGTGCGCCTACCATTTCAAACGTTACAGAAATCGCATTGAAAAAGGCGGCCGGGAAGAGGGGCCAGTAGTTGGCGACAAAATTGGCCAAGCGGCTCGCGCTGAAGCGCTATCACATCTCCAAACAGGACCGTGAGACGCTATTGGGAGAGCTCTCCGAGGCTCATTACCTACCTTCGGTCGGCCCAATGCTATGCCAACGCATGGTCAATGACATGTTGACATGCATTTTCAATCAGGACGGCGCGCCAGCTCATCTCTCTGGCAAGGCCTAGCGGTGGTGCGAATTGAACGTGCCAGACTTCTGAAGGAAAGACATGCTAGCCGGCTGCCATCCGGACCTCATCCTGATCGACGAACTTCGGGCTATCGTCCAGCAGGACCTGGACAAACAAAAGCCGGCTGCCAGCCTCGGCGCCTTGTCGTTACAGCTCAAACGGGCATGATAAAAAATCCAGCCGTATTTCCTGCACAACCTAGTTACCAGCATGCAAATTTGCGTTCGTATGTTAATCAATGTTCGTGGGGAATAAACTGAACGCAAGAGAATCGCTGTCGGCTGTCCACTATGTAGCAACTTAGAGAGAACATTTTTTTAGAGGATAAAACTTATGCCGGACCATGTAGCTCACGCATCATTCATTGCAGTTTCAACTTAGGCTGCAATACGTGGCAATTTGTTTATGACGTAGCAATTAATGTTGTCATGATCGGCATACCGCCGCCAACGTCACTATTTATATCATTATCTTAACCCTCGCCGGCCGAGGGGGGGGGCGGGTGCCGCCCCCCCCCCCTAGGGTTTTTTCGCGATAGCTCCGAACACGCTGGCGATAGAGAGCTGAAACTTGGTATACCTGACCTTTGATCCAAGCCAGATCTTTTGACACCAACCGCATTTTTTGGGTCAGGTCAGGTCACTGACCTATGACGTCATAAGTGAACCTCTGCACGGTCTTCAGATGTCGCAACTTCGCAACGCCCTCACTGCCAGAGGAGATGTCACAGGGAAATGAAACTTGCAGGATCTAGTATCCATTATGAGTCCCACAACTTGTATATCTCGGATTTTTTCCTAAAGGTCATATGAGGTCAGGTCATTTTCGTGACCTCACCATTATAAGTCAATTGGGAAAAATGAAAACTGCTATTCTGGCGCCGGGAACGATCTCCAACTATCTCAAGCACACAGAATCGTGATTTGATGCACTCCTTGCAAGGTTAGATGCGTCACTTTTGCAATGTTGACCTTGCGTGACGTCATTTATGACGTCATCAAGGTCATATTAGTTTTTCGTCAATAACTCTTGATCAAATTGAGCTAGCGAGTCGGGAAAGCCACCAATGGACTCAGGAAGACCTGCCGAATCGAATGATATGCGACATGACCTCTTTCGACCAACTTCGTGACCTGGGGGTGCTGACCTGACCTTGACCTGAGGTCAACACCCCAAGTTGACCTGACCCGGACAAAAAGTATATCATTCGACGCGCCTGAGCGAGACGAACACGATGCTGCCAAAATCGGCGCTCTGCGGCCGTTTTTTGCGAAGTTATTCACCAAAAAACTGAACCGTACCTTGGGGCACTTGACCTGACCTCAGAGGTCACCGGTTGACCTAGGACCTTAAAATCGGGTACCAATCTCTGCGTCTCGTAACGGCGCACACGCTCGTTTTTTTCCGCGACGCGCTAGCTCCACCAGGGGCGAAACGGCGAGGGGGGTCGTACCCGCCCCCCCCCCTCGGCCGGCGCGTATGTAGAAAACCAATAGGTCCGGCGAGGGTTAACGGTTGCATATTTCAACCTTCATAACTTTTAATTTCCTATTGTTTCATATAATCTCATTTATTGTGCTGAACAACTGTTGAACAGTTCATTTCAATAACTGCATTGTTAAACCTTCGGTAGGGTTGACCATTAACCCTCGCCCGCACATGGGGGGGGGGGGGTGGTTGCCACCCCCCCAGGCAGTCTTTCTGCTCTGCACTCAACATTTTTAGAGCTAGAAGGCTGATTTTTCGTATAGTTGCTCCTCTCTCCTTTCTTGATGTCCACTGAAAATTTCAAGTTTCTGTGACTTTTGGTTTCGGAGATATGACCTTGTTTTTCAGGTCATGTCATGACCCAAATGGCCAATTCTCAACATCTTGCGTTTGCCATGGGCCTTGTGAGCTTTTGACACCCTGATTTCGGCCTTTTTTGCCAGTTTTACCTCCCACCTATCATGGAACATGTTGTTCGACGATGCACAGGGGTCAAGGTCAGGGTCAAGGTCAACCTAGGTCATCTGAGATAATTGCGTTTTAGGCAAGCTGAATTTACTTTTTGTGAAGTTTTTTGACTGCATTTTTGGTAAAAGCTTCTCAGATCATGATTTCATGTGATATGGACCCAAAAACAATCGGTGCACACATCAGTATACACACAGACACACACAGACATACAAACACATATAATTGACCTTGACCTAACTGGACCTGAAATGACCTCAGCAGCAAAATTCTGGTCGGATAGTGTGACAAAGAGGTTCTAGCTGGCTTGGCACCAGAAAACAGCATCGTCATCGGTATTTGATAAGCAGCGCACTTGATATCCAACGGTGACCCAAAACAGCAACATTTTTTAGTTTGACCTGACCTGGGAGGTCAATGACTGACCTGAGAAGGTAAAACTGGGTATCATTGGATTTGTCTCTTCCCAAAGAATCTTTTTGGTCTTTACTGCTAAGCTCTATCTCCAACAGGAACGAAATGGCGCGGGGGGGGGTGGCAACCCCCCCCCCATGTGCGTTCTAGGATGGGAAAATGGCATGTGCGGGCGAGGGTTAAGCAATATGTTAATATCGCCCCGTTCGTTATGTGTTCGCTTTATGCTTCTATCGAACGTGATATCATTCCAAGAAAGCACTAAAAGTGTAGAGTGTAGAGGCCATTCCCACTGATGGGACTCGAAGCGATGCAGCTAGGTAATGCATAAGACTGATTGGCGAATTTCAGCTTATAGACAAGACAAGGAAACGTTCTCAAAAATCAAATCCACACGGAACAAACATATTTCAAGAGTGCACGTGTCTCCTTGTCGTTGTATCCGTTATTCCTCGTCGGACCTATCGACTTTCTGAATACCGAGAGGGGTCTAGAGTGTGTGTGTATGGGGGGGGGGGGAGTGCTGGACCCTCGCCGCCGTTTCGCCCATACTTAAGCTAAAAGCCTTGCAAACAAAAACAACACCCAGCGATTCACAATCAAGTTAAAAGCGTTAGGTCAACATGTGACCTCTGAGGTCAGGTCACGTGCACAAGTGCAGGATGTTCATTAGCGAATGACAAAGTAAGCCCCCGCTGGAGCCCCTAATGATCGCCGGCTATCGTGCATACGAAGCCTTCGACGACTCACGGCAGCGTTCATTTCATGAAGGGTCTTGGGCTCTTGAGTTCGCTCCGCAACTTGAGTTGCTTGAGGTTAAACGGTGAAGTCCAAGCACGAAAAATCCAGACTGCAGAGTGACCAGGGGTGCTGGGATCTTGTTCAGTTGCTCGAAGATGAAGAGAGTCTAGCAATTCTTCAGTAATCTGTCCAGTATTCACGTTCGCAATGGATAGAAACCTGGGAAGGCATTTTTTAATATATGGACTAGTGCTGTCAATTACAGAAAGTCGTGATACCGATACCAAACCAAATACCAACAGGAACCGTGGGAAAATACCGAAACCGAACCGACTTGGGAATATCAGGGAAATGCCAACTTTTTACCGAAGTCACAGTCTCTTTTACATTAACGAGGATTCACAATACCAACAAAATACCAAATGTGTTAGCCTCGAAACGCCAAATAGCAAGTTGGTATCGGTTTGGTATCGGTATGCCAAAAAGTTGGTATTCGATTGACATCTCGTCATCATCATCGCCCGGCGCCACGCAGACGGCACCTAGCCTGCGTGGTGCCGTCTGCGTGGCGCCGGGCGACCATCAGGATTCAGGAGTAAACTTCGATTGTAAATACGACCACAAAAATAACCCGTTACCCGTTACTCCTACCCTACTGTGAATACGGCCACTGAAGACATCGAAGTGTCACAACTGATTTCTGTTTGTGCGATGTAAAATGTCTAAGATTTATCATTCCAACGGTGAGCTGTTTATGCAATACATTGTCTTACGCCTCTGGCGAGGGCTCACTTTATGTCATCTTTTATTGATTACCCTGTAATTTAGAGGATAGCGTGTGGATGTTTAAATGCGTTTATCCCGCACCATAGACAGTGTTTATAATTGCTTCACGTGCAAAGAGAGAAAATTATCAGATATTGTGTAACTTTGTTTATATTGTGTAATATTGTGTATTGGTTTGTAAAACGTCTAGGTGAGTAACAAACTGTTAAACGTCTAGTAGACATTTCGTCTAGTATGATATCTGTCGCATTTTTTATATAAAATGTATTCTTTATCATTAAGCGCTCGAAAGATATCGGCGGTACGGGATAAAATTATTAAACCGCTTGTTGGTAGAAAAATCATTTAAACGTCGAGCCGTTAGGCGAGACGTTTAAACGATTTGTTCTGCCTACTCCCGGTTTAATATATACCTAATCACCCTGTATTTCAGTTGGAACGGTAGTTAATGACAAAAAAACACCGATATCTATGTAACATCGTTTATGACGTTGCACATGGTTCAAAACGCAATAGTTGAGCATCGTACTTGCAAGGAGTGAAGCGATACGAGCACGACTCACTGTGCAAACGATAGTCTTAAATCATTTTTGTCAGCAAAATAAATTTTAATATTTCCCTTGTTGAATTACGATGGTGAGGTCACGTCATTGACCTAGCTTTACGTGACTGCTTTATAGAAAATTACGAGACATAAAAGTTGCAAGGTCTCGGAAGAATATGAAGTCCTGTGAATTTTATTTACCTGCAGAAGTTGACCTAGCATGGACGGAGTTGCCAAGCCTCAATATTTTAGGACCGAGTGAAGTCTTTTATGACGTCATAGGTCAGTGACTCGACAAGAATTGAAAATGTAATTGGTCGTTGGTGTCACCAGAGAATCGGCTTGAATCAAGCCAGGTTGAGGTGTGCTATTTTTCAGCTTTCTATGATTGCCTTGTTGAGAGTAATCGCAAGAAGTCTGCGGTAGGTAACACCCATCACCCTCAACCATGGAAGGTTATGCTTTTGCGGAGTGACCTTCTGGACACCACACTGGCGAGCGACCCCGCTGTCAGACTCGGGCCGAATGCACCCCCTCCCCTACCCCCACTCGAGCTGTGGCGAGGGTGAGGATATTCAGTATTCACCGCATCAAACCTACAGGCCGCCTGGACCCTTATCTTGAGACCAATAGTACATGTCCTTACTGAAAGTATAGCACTACCATCCGTCCGGTACCGTTCAGTGTCCCGGTGTGCTGAGCGGTGGCAGTTTCCGCGGGAGGGCAGTTTCCGCGGCGGTGGCAGTTTCCGCGGGAGGGCAATTTCCGCGGCGGTGGCAGTTTCCGCGGGAGGGCAGTTTCCGCGGCGGGCAGTTTCCGCGGCGGTGGCAGTTTCCGCGGCGGTGGCAGTTTCCGCGGCGGTGGCAGTTTCCGCGGCGATGGCAGTTTCCGCGGGAGGCTGTCACAGGCGGTATTCAGGGGTCGGACTGTGTTCTGTTCAGTTCAGTTCAGTTCTGCTCTGTTCTGTCCTGTTCTGTCCTGTTCTGTTCTGTTCTGTCCTGTTCTGTTCAGTTCTGTTCTGTTCTGTTCAGTTCTGTTCTGTTCTGTTCTGTTCAGTTCAGTTCAGTTCAGTTCAGTTCTGTTCAGTTCTGCTCTGTTCTGTTCTGTTCTGTTCTGTTATATGTTCTGTTCTGTTCTGTTCTGTTCAGTTCAGTTCTGTTCTGTTCTATTCTGCTCAGTTCAGTTCTGCTCTGTTCTGCTCTGTTCTGCTCTGTTCTATTCTGTTCTGTTCTGTTCTGTTCTGTTTTGTTCAGTTCTGTTCTGTTCTGTACTGTTCAGTTCAGTTCAGTTCAGTTCTGTTCAGTTCTGCTCTGTTCTGTTCTGTCCTGTCCTCTTCTGCTCTGTTCTGTTCTGTCCTGTCCTGTTCTGTTCAGTTATGTTCTGTCCTGTTCCAGGGGCGGTCTCCTAGTCCCAGACGGTGTAGACGGAATTCAGGAGTCGGATTGTGAGGTGGACGAGGTCTACTTTGAGGTGAGATCTGTCAGTCAAATAACTGATCGGCTAAATATTGACGCATTTGATGCCATTTTTGTCACCGAGTAGCCCGTTTCAATAACATCTTTGTTCCTTTCACGATCATAACTACATAATCGCCATCGGTAAATCGCCATCTACCGATGAAGATCATTACGGTAAATCGTCATAAATTCGTAGTATCGAACTCTACTATAACCGTACCAGTATTTCACTCAATGCACCCCCTCTCTCTCTCTCCCTCTCTCTCTCTCTCTCTCCCCCTCTCTCTCCCTCTCCCCGGTTACAGAATAACCCGGACGTGGTCCAGCGTGTGCCGGTCATCCCGCTCTCGCCGGCCTACAAGGGCCCTCTGCCGCTGCGCGGAGACCCGGCCTCCCTGCTGGACGAACTGCTGGAGGAGCAGGACATGCTGCTGCTGGAGGAGCAGGACATGCTGCAGCCGCTGCCGTCAGCGGCAGCCGCCCCCGGGGCAGGGTCGGAGACGGACGACACGCACACACTGCAGCGACACCGGCGCAGGTGGGGGACCGGGGACCGGGGGGGGGGGGGTCCGGACTGGACCGGGGGACCGGACTGTACCGCAGCGAGGGACCGGTGGGCACTCAGAGGGACCTTGATGGGACCCATTTTGGGGCTCCTTATAGTACTGGAAACGTACGTAGATTCTTGCACCACGGTAACCTTTATTTCGTGTGCGACAGAAACCGTAGTCCCCCGTTAATGTTTGCTTCGTTTTTGTACAAATCGCAGTCCCAAGTTGATGGCTGTTTCGTTTTCAACAAGAACCGTAGCCACCCCGGCCCAGTGACGTTGATTTCGTTTGCGGCAGGGACCGTAGTCACAACACTGACGTTTATTTCGTTTTCGCCAGGAACCGTAGCCCCCAAGGTGACGTTTATTTCGTTTTCGACAGGAACCGTAGCCACCACGGTGACGTTTATTTCTTTTTCGACAGGAATCGTAACAACCGCGGTGACGTTTATTTCTTTTTCGACAGGAACCGTAGCCACCACGGTGATCGGCATCACTCGTCGACGCTGCTCATCTACCACCAGGGCCAGATGGCGCGCGAGGCGGCTGACCACCCCTCTCCGGAGACACCCGGCAACTCGCTGACACGGACACACAGAGAGGTTAGGCACCGGAGTCAGAACGAACCTACACAGGAGTATTTGGTGACACTTTGCTCGGTATGCTTACCTACCTATCAAGCTTTGATAATTTACCGAAATGACATGTGTTTTTTATAATTAAGCGTAGAAGTTTTCCACTTCATGGTGTATTCGCCTGAATGGGCGTAGCACTTATTACTCAAACAGAATTTGTAGCGTCGATAAAAAGACATACCTATGCACACAGACAGACACACAGAAAACAGACATTCGTCCGAACAATCACCGACTTCACCTGAAACGGTTTATGGATGGTCGGTCCTGTACGAGTACCTACAGATCGACGCGAAGGAGCGATGAATCACGACGCTGATCCCATTTGTCCTGCATTGTTTGGTACGGTGTCTGACATTGTTTCAGAACTCCCCGACGCCCTCTGCGGCCTCCACTGTAATCCAGCCGCAGAGAGTGTACAAAGTCGTCATCATCGGAGACGCCGGCGTCGGCAAGTCCAGCTTCGTGCAACGGTGGGAAATGCTTACCAGTACTAACTAACTCTTGATCATCTAAAAATGAGTAAAAAAGAGTTACTAACCCAGCATAATAGTTTTATTAGCAACATATTTCGAAACCACAAAAGTGTCTAAACTCTAAACTGCATATGCCTACCAAAAACCCGAGATGCTCAAATATTTGAAGTCGATATGTAGCTGTGTCAAAGAAAGTGTTACAGAGACGACCAAGGCGATACATACCAGGTGGCGTCACGAGAGAATGCTGACGTCATGGTGTGAACTTTTCGGGAGTAAAAAGAAGCATTTAAAGGTAGTGTGCCAGCTTTCCTGAACCGTATGGAGTTAATGGCCCAGATAAGGAGAACCGGATTTTTAGAACTTATCCATACCTTCAAAACTCATGGAAACGTCTTAAATTCTTCAAATTTTGAGTACCCCAGTGCGAAATTCGCCCCGACGGGTTGTCGGTCGTACCCCAACCACATTTCACACCACTATGAACAATAAATGCACACACTGAAATCGCTATTACCGATATGCTCATCCAATCAAGTTTCGATAAACCCGTTCATCATCATCTCCTGCGGTTTCGAACACGCCTGTTAGGTGGTGCGGTAGACCGCGCCCAAAGCCAGGGCCCCGGTAACGTGAGGTAGCCGAGTCGGGGCAGCGTGCGCTGACCCAAGCCGGGGCCGCGCGTCCTCCCGGTGTCATGTGATAGCCCGGGGCTGCCCGCGGGGATGCGGTAGACCGCGCCCAAAGCTGCGGCCCCGGCTTGGGTCAGCGCACGCTGCCCCGACTCGGCTACCTCACGTTACCGGGGCCCTGGCTTTGGGCGCGGCTTCTGCTCATACTTTGTGGTGCGGTGGTGGTGCGTCGGGCCGCGCGCTCTGACTTCGGCCAAGAAAAATGCGTCAGCTGATCATTGTCATTTCTGCCACTTGCGTGTGGTGAAATGGGGTCATAACTTAAGAGACGGCTTTTTCATATCAATTATTTTACATAAAATCATATTTCAAACCATAAATAATGTTCGACAGCCAAATAAAAGAAACAATACCAATACAGGCTTACAGTTTAAGGCTCGACATTGTGTTGTCTACGATTAGACAGCTGATAACTCATTCCCGTACGTCGTAACTCTATAATGACCTTTGCTTATCGTCACATGTGCGCCGCATTCGCGATTGTTGCCGACGCCTGTTTGCAGGTCAGCCCACTACAGTTGTTATACATATCGAAAAAACCGATAAACTTTTAGGCGAAAAAGGCACTATTCCAGGCCCATTTTTTATTTTCTTTGCGATATTAGGTAAAAACAGAAGCTTCTTATCCTAGGAAAAATAAAATGGGAAATCTTTCAAAGGTGGCATACTACCTTTAATAAATGATTTTAGACACTTAAATCATTTTTTTTTCTCGTTAAAATGATTTCGAATCTTATGAGCTTTCCCAAAATGATACCTAAAGTTATTTTAAAGATTTGTTCAGAAAAGGGCATATATTTACACGATGACGTCACGTAAAACAAACACCATACAGGTATGCTAATGACTACGGCCTGGAGACGACTAGTATTTTTTAAACCGCTGAGCAAATGCTGGTGCTGGGTGGCCCCACAGTCCACACTGTAAGTGATACTGCTTTCCGACTCAGCATCCAATGTGTGGCGTTTTGCCGACAGGTCGTGTACGGGCGAGGTGCGCCCCAGTTACGCAGCCACCATCGGAGTCGACTTTCAGGTGCAAACGGTGGTGATAGAGGACCAGACCGTCTGTATTCAGCTCTGGGACACCGCAGGTAAGGGGAATGACGTCACTGGAGCAGACCATATGCATTCAGCTCTGGGATACGGTAGAGGTAAAAGGATTTAATGTTGATTGTTGATTATGTCACGTGAACAAACTGAATTCGGCTCTGGAATAGGTACACGACAGGTAACGAGCGTATCACCAGTATAACGCCTTTTGGGGCGACTAACGGAGCGAGCGAGAGGGTGGGCCTTGCACGTGCGAAATTGCGAGAGGGTGCCTCCAACTGACTTGTGCACGGCACCCTACTAACCGGACTCTAGCGATGTGCCAAATTTGGGCACAATCGGCCCAGCTGTTCTCGAGATCTGGAAGCGGCACCCTCCACGTGGGCACGTGAAAAATTGGTCCCAACTGACTTGTGCACGGCACTCTACTAACCGGTCCCTAACTGTGTACCAAATTTGAACGCAATCGGTCGAGCCGTTCTCGAGATCTGGAAACGACCCCTGCACGTGCGCACGTGCAGCAGCACCCCAACTTTGGCACATGAATATGCAGTGCCTAGTGGGTGCCTACCTACATGCCAACTTTCAGCGCAATCGGCCAAGTAGTTACCAAGATATTGCAACAATTACAAAACTGACACCTCTTCGTTTTGCACGCGGCACGTGCATAAGGGGCTATCCACATGCATCAGGAATAGTCCAATACTTGGTAGAAGGAATGAAGCTACCCTACAAAAATTACCGCATGTAAATCGGTGAAGTGGTTGCTGAGATAGGTATAAGCCTCGCAAAAGCGTCCGCACGGCCGGCCGGCCGCTCATACTCAGAAATTTCCGTTAAAGGAAAAGGGCCACCTTCGTGAAATATGAAAATATCGTTGTTTTTCATTTTGACATTTATTATTTTTCATTTCCTTTTTAACCCGCGCCCGGCTGGGGGTCCTGGATTTCCACGCCCTGCTGGGGGGGGGGGTGTTTGAACCCCCCCCCCTTCTAACTCGGCTCCTGGGCCACGTAGCGATACGCAGAAGGCGGCGTTCGAAAGAGCGTCAAAAATAATGAGGAAATCACTTTGGTCAATTTTTTGGTCAGGTCAAAGGTCAGGTCACCAGAGGTCATTAAAGGCAAAATTTCGCCGATTTCCAGGTCGAATGTCGAAAATTTTCAAGAAGCCAACGCATAACTCGGGAACCAATAGAGCTATAGCGCTGCGGAAAAGCGCATTGGATAGCCCTATTAACGCCCTTTCTGAGTAATTCTCTCAGATTTGACCTAGCGTCAACGGTTTTGCCTGCAGGGGGCAAAAACTGCAAAAATAGCCGATTTTTTTCGGAAAGTTTTTCTGCAATAACTTTTGACCCAAGCCTTGTACGAGTTTACTTTTACCGGCATCGTTTTCCTCTCGTCAAGACGCATCGAATAAACTATAACTTGACCTTTAAAGGTCAACTTGAAAATTTGACCTCAGGTCAAGGTCATGACCTGACCGGAAAGGGTCATGTTGCATATCAGTCGATCGGTATCGTCGAGCTGAACACATCTAAGGCGTTTTCATCGCTCTAGTATGCCTCTATCAAAAGTTATTTGCGAAAAACTGTTCGATACCATTCGTGACCTAAGATGACCTCAGGGCATGAACAGGGGTCACGGACACCAATTTCATGTTCAGTGTGTCTAAACCACTTGTAATTCAGTGTTTGGGAGTGTTTATAATGTCTTTCGTCCAAAAGAGGCGCATTTCAATTTTCTCCCATTGACTTATAATGGGGAGGTCGCAAAATTGACCTGACCTTAGGTCATCGATATCAAAATTCTGAGATACACATTTTGTACATGCTATTGCTCTTAGCAATCGCTGAAACTTTCAAAGCGATCGGTCACTCGGTGTAGCTATGACAGACATTGAAACTTTTTATGAGGTGAGGTCACTTCAAGTGACCTGGTGACCTGACCTTGAATGACCTTGGTCTGAAATTTTCACAACATGTGTAGAATTGATGTATGATAAGGTGCACCAAAAACGGCGGCGCTCCGCGCCGCCGTTTTTGAGATATTCGCAAAAAACCACAAGGGGGGGGGGTGTTCAAACACCCCTCCCCAGCAGGGCGCGGGTTAAAACAGGTGCCAGAAGTGCACAATTCGCGAAAAAGTATTTAAAAATATTTAACATATTGGTACTATGTTGATACTCTCTACGGCACCTTCTTATGATGGCATAGCGATGACGTCACACTCAAGCCAATCAGCGTTCAGAAGACAGACTCGTCGGATTATGTCAGATAAGCTGATTGGTTTAAGCTGAGCTGGTTGGAGCTGATTGGTAAAAAACCAAAGCCTCGCCGCGGGTGGCTGTATTGTCGGATAAGAACGCATTCCTGGGATAAGGACGCATTCCTGGCGTATTTTCTTTTAAAATTGCCGATAACTACCAATGGAGGCCGAAATCGGCCGTAAGGAGGTAGACAGATAGGTTTTCGGACACGGGCTACAAGATGGCTATCTCAGTTTCAATCCCCATGTTAAAGGTGGCCCTTTTCCTTTAAAGGGACTATCGCACATTCTAAAATGTTGTTAAAACCAGTTAAATTGTGCCCGACTTTATAGACTGGATGACCAGGAACACGGTTCTGGCATTAATTTTTCATTAAACATCTTAGGCTTCCCATATTCCAAAAACAAACTTTCAAATATGTTACGTCACAGCACAAAATTACCTCCTTCCCCAGGCCACATTACTGTCATAAAGCTGATTCTTTTTACTCTGTAAGCATCACAACAAAGTTCAGACCAAGTTTTAAGTGATTTTTCAACAAACAAACCCATTTAAATCAGAATGACTAAACGAGGTGACGTCACACTAACGGTCGCTCCATGCTGAAGATAGGGCCTTGTACAAGGCCCATTTTCAAATGAAGGGAACGAATTTCTTCAACACCAAGAGGCCGCGGGGGTTGCAACCTAGATAGATAGTGGTTTCTGAACCTCGCCGCAAACTTGGCTATCTCAACTCAAACCCCATGTTAAAGGTGGGATAGTCCCTTTAATCTAAGGAAAGACTCCGCTGGCTTCGCTCGCTCCGTAACTACCTTCTTTGTCACCCTATAGCTAGACGTGCAGCTGTGAGACTCTGCGATGCTTGACATCCGTCGCACGCATTTTGTGTTTTGCCTAGTGGAAAAGTGGAGGATTTTGTCGTCAAATGAATGCCATTGTATGGTCAGGGGAGATCGGCTTCTGGTCTGAAATACCTGTCTGTAAAGCAGATCGACTACGTCTAGTGTCACTATGTATTATCGACGTCTGAAGCAGTTATCACTATCTCCTCTCTCTCTCTCTCTCTCTCTCTCTCTCTCTCTCTCTCTCTCTCTCTCTCTCTCTCTCTCTCTCTCTCTCTCTCTCTCTCTCTCTCCTCCCCTCCCCGCAGGCCAGGCCAGGAGCGGTTCCGCAGTATCACCAAGCAGTACTGTCTGCTCCCTCCTCCGCAGGCCAGGAGCGGTTCCGCAGTATCACCAAGCAGTACTGTCCAGTGTCCCCTCCCCCTCCGCAGGCCAGGAGCGGTTCCGCAGTATCACCAAGCAGTACTGTCCCCTCCCCTCCCCGCAGGCCAGGAGCGGTTCCGCAGCATCACCAAGCAGTACTGTCCCCCCTCCCCTCCTCGCAGGCCAGGAGCGGTTCCGCAGTATCACCAAGCAGTACTGTCCCCTCCCCTCCCCGCAGGCCAGGAGCGGTTCCGCAGTATCACCAAGCAGTACTGTCCCCTCCCCTCCCCGCAGGCCAGGAGCGGTTCCGCAGTATCACCAAGCAGTACTGTCCCCTCCCCTCCCCGCAGGCCAGGAGCGGTTCCGCAGTATCACCAAGCAGTACTCTCCCCTCCCCTCCCCGCAGGCCAGGAGTGGTTCCGCAGTATCACCAAGCAGTACTGTCCCCTCCCCTCCCCGCAGGCCAGGAGCGGTTCCGCAGTATCACCAAGCAGTACTTCCGCAAGGCGGACGGTGTGTTTGTCATGTTCGACGTCACCTCGGAGACGTCGTTCCGCAACTGCCGCCAGTGGATCCAGGACGTCAAGGTCGGTTGTCAGAGTTTGGATTGGATCCACTGTCCGACAGTGGATCCGGCAGTGGATCCAGGACGTCAAGGTCGGTCGTCAGAGTTTGGATTGGATCCACTGTCCGACAGTGGATCCGGCAGTGGATCCAGGATGTCAAGGTTGGTTGTGAGAGTTTGGATTGGATCCACTGTCCGGCAGTGGATCCGGCAGTGGATCCAGGACGTCAAGGTCGGTCGTCAGAGTTTGTAACGGAATGGAGAGGGTTGTTCATTTTTAGAGCAGGACAGTGAAGGTTTTGATGAAAAATTATGACTTAGGTACTAGAGAATTAGGGAAAAAATCGGCAGGAGCAAGATAGTCCTTTGTGTGTGGGTTAGTGTGGGAGAGGTATATGGTTTTTGGGAAGTGGGAGAGGATTATGTAGACCAGAAGAAATTCGTGTTTTATTGCCAGCCTGAGCATAAACGATATAGCCCAGAATGTCTTAATCAGCAGCCATATCAGAGCACGATAGGCCCCGGTGAGCTGTCAATTGAGGCCCTTGATATTAGCTAGTGCTTGATTATGGGTTTTGCAATTTGACACCACAAGCTGTTTATCCGTGGCATTATGCGATCAGGTCTGACGGCAGCATTCGGCAGATAATTTTATCACCAAAAGCTCTGGTGACACCAGAGCTTAGGAAGCATGCGGTAGCACCTGTGTGTACGACCGTGTCGAGTTTTGTCGATATGTCAGGGACTTGATGGCCTTAGGCATATCAGAGAGAAATTGCTGTAGATTGTAACATCGCCATCTCCCTCCTTCCCCCCTCTCTCTCCCTCTCTCTCTCTCCCTCTCTCTCTCTCTCTCTCTCTCTCTCTCTCTCTCTCTCTCTCTCTCCCTCTCCCTCCCTCTCCGCAGGAGCTGTCGGCCGAGGAGACGGCCCTGATCCTGCTCGGGAACAAGACGGACCTCTGCCCGGACCCGCAGCTGCGCGTCGTCAAACCGGACACGGCCGCCATGTTGGCCAGCGACTGCGGCGCCCTCTATAACGAGTGCAGCGCCCTCCAGGACGTGGGTGTTGGCAGCGTGATGGAGCTGATGGCCGAGCTGCTGCTACAGAAGGAGGACGGCGCTCTGGAGAGGGCGCTGACCCTGCTGCCCGACCAGGCGCCGCGGAAAGGATGCTGCAAGAAGTAGCGACTGAAGGTGCTATAAACACTGCCGAGGACTAACTGTGGGCTGGTGTTTGTACGGTACGGTGACGAATGCAGTTACGTTATTCGTCAGTCGCAAACAATATATCAGTTCTCGTACAGCGCACAGGCGCTCAGTGCATGAAGCGGTTCTGCAGGGAGGTCCTGGACATGCTGGGTGAGAGATGCTTGTTGATCGAGTGTTCTCGCTAGGTTTTGAATAATCGGGCAGTTGTCGAGTTTGCACCGCTATTCCGAAGGTAGTGCATGTGTAGGTATATGTTTCGCTTATGTATTTGAGATGGGGATAGGTACCACAAACTGCATTGGCCACTCTGAGAGGACAAACCAGACCTGGCTCTTGAACTGCTGTCTCATTGTAATGGTGGGAATGCTAAAATATGTGAATGCACTGTGAAGTGAAGAACTCTTGTACCATTGGGTTTTGCGAGTGTGTAGATTTAACGATGACTTTTCGGTTGTGTCAGCGCAGAGTACCGGAGTGGGTGTCGGAGTGTCGGTCCGCCGAGAAGCGTCCACAACAGTGTATGTCAGGAGACCAGGCTGGGGAGGAAGCGTCCACGATAGCACCCAGAGTCCTATTCCCAGACTTTGGGGAAGCGTCCCGCGGCGGTGTCTGTCTGTCTGCCGAGGGAAGTGATGTGATGTCTGCCGAGGGAGGTGATATGATGTGATGTCTGCCGAGGGAGGTGATGTGATGTCTGCCGAGGGAGGTGATATGATGTGATGTCTGCCGAGGGAGGTGATGTGATGTCTGCGGAGAGGAGGATGTGATGTGATGTCTGCGGAGGGAGGTGATGTGATGACCGCCGAGGGAGGTGATGTGATGTGATGTCTGTGGAGGAGGATGATGTGATGTGATGTCCGCTGAGGTGATGTGATGTGATGACCGCCGAGGGAGGTGATGTGATGTCTGCGGAGTTAGGTCGGGAGTCCTGTCTCCGGGGAAGTGCGTGCAACTCCAACAGTGTCGGCCACGTGGCTGCTGAGCCACGGCTCCGCCCAGCCCGGGCTTAGAACTCCTATCGCCCCCCCCCCCGGCCTCTTATTCAAACATGTTGCAGATGTCTCTGACTTATCAAACAGGAAACATGTGCTGAAACGTGTTAGCGACGGTTGGCATTTGAAACGGCGAATAAAAGGAAAAATTGCTTTGAATGCTTTTGCTTACTACTGAACTGAGTCTACATAATTACGAAAAAGATATGACGCTGCATTGGATAATTATGTGTGTATTTACTGCTATCACTAATTCACTACATGAGTTGAAGAATACGAGTTGCCTGTCCCGTAGCTCAGTTGGCGGAGCGCTGGAATCCCGGTAGTGAGAGCCCCGTTTGAGTCGCTACGGAGCTCAGCGGTGGAGACTTAGGGGCTTTGCTATATAAAAGTGTTTCAGTGGCTGCTTATACATATGTCGTCTGAGAGACAAAATGCTCTACGTAAGTCGCAAGGACGGTAATGCTGTAGGGAAACCGTACCTATATGTGTTTTACTCCGCGAAAATTTGACGTTGCCACTCGCCAGGTGCTGGAAAAGCACCCCCCTGAGATTTTGGCAGTTCTCCACCTCTGTCGGAGCTCGATATTTGAGACCCCTGACGAGGGCGGTCTGTGGTTGGTGGTGGGGTGGCAGCCGCAGCCAGTTGATGTGGTTTATGTGGCGCCGGGGTAATTTTTAGCTGTGTGAGTACGAGTAGCAAAACCTCAAATATTTAGGTTCTCATTAATCAAATTTACCGCTATACCCGTGAGATACACCGCCGATGAAAACCGGAAAGATAGATATGCATCAGGCTGCAGCATCTCGGAGCCAGGGGAGCAGACCGCTGATATCTTGATAGATAGCTAGATCGTTTATTAGATACCTTCACTGACATGGATTTTATGGCATGCACGTCAATCACACAAAAATACCCAAGTCAACATGACAAACACGTCGGTAAACGGTCTTGAACACACTACATTGTGAATGTAGGTAAAAGGAGATAACAAACAAAATGCTTTTGACACTAAAAACTTAAAAAATAAAAATGAATACACTACACTTTTTTGGAGTTTGTTGTAGGTAGACACATCTCCTGCCACAGCTTTATTAGATACTCGAACCAGTAATGATACCGTCAGCATTCCATGTTGTCAATGTGATTTCTATCATACATGTTTGTCGTACCACATAGAGTTGCACACACGTTAATTTATTACACCACATGAAATACAGCGTTGGTACAGTACACACAATGTAACTCGGTTCACTCAATTTCAATGCACTACTGAATCATTTGAACAATACAAATTTATAGCTAAAAATGAGCATGATCCGGAGTAGCGAGCAAGCGATTATAAAAAAAAATAACTCCTAAAACAGTATTCCGCAGTGGCAGATACACGTCAACCAATACCATTCACACCGTCGGACTAGGTAACAATCCTCAGTAGTGGTAGCTGGTAGCTGAATAATGCTGTTTTTCTATGTAACAAAATCAATGAAGTCTGTTCATGTCGTTGTTAATGACCCTTTAGCTCCATTCCGCCCGTAGACTTGGCTTTATTTGAATTTGATACTTTTCCTATAAATCCCTTTCAGTGTCATGCTCGCTCATAGACCCAGTAGAATTCTCAGATTGCCAAAGGTGCATGCATACTCTCCCAGCCAGCAATGCGTTCAGATGCGGTTGGGGAAGGTCGGGATTACCTCGGGAAATCCCAACCCGCCCCAGCCAGGTTGGGTGCGTTCCCACTACTTTGGGGATTGAATGCTGTCAGCTAGCAATCGAGTCCAACCCCACACGTGATTTCTGTAACCACCCCGACCTTCCCCCCACTGGCATTTGGTCAGGATCAAGTCTGAAACGGAGACCCCACGGACTAAAAACGCCCCGGATGTCCCGACTTGCCCCGCAACGGCCGGCCGGGAAATCCGAGGCGCACCGACATCGCCCTATGTGATTTCCCTCCCCAAGTGGGATCCGTGCAGAAATTACTAACACTTTCCCACCAGTAAAAAATGCACCAAGACCAGGAATCCAAAGGTGTCTCAATGACTGGGTAGCACTGGGTATGTGTGTGTGATTTCCCAACAGTTCCCCAACGATCAAGAAGCCGAAGCCAGCCCAGTGACCTTGAGTTTCACATTTTCCCGATAATTACCTAGCCAGTCCCGGAATCCATGGGGATTTTCCAGGTGGACTCCTAACTTGTTTTTGGCCGGTTGGAATTTCCGGACCTTTTCCCAACGCTCCTCCACCGTATCCTGACCACATTGCTGACTGAGCTGAGGGGGCACACCACAGAAGACAGACACCGCTCTTAGCAGTGACGTCAAAGATGGACGAACTATATTGGCTCATTTGGGCAGTTGTGGGAGTCTTATCGCGCGAACACGCTCAACACTACTCATGTTTTGGTTTTGTTGGTAAATTAGTGCCGATCGAAAAACTAGGCATCCGCTCGTTACGCCTATTTCATCTTGCATCGTTATGCTCGTTAGGCGCGTCGTTATTCCGTTTACGTACAGCGGTAAGTTATTTCCTGGATAGTTTCTGAAGCAGTAAGGAAAGTTCTATTTGAGCAATGTCTGTCTTCTAGGTGCCGGGAAAACTTCGGTGCAATATGGAGCACAGCATTAGCAACAGCGAATCATCAAAATGGTGCCAGAATGTGTGTTTTTGCCTTTTTAGAGCGATAGTAGTGCCTGTGCTTCGTTAGTTTACATAGAATAGGCCCCAAATATTGAACAGACCACCAATATAACGTTTTAAAAAAGGTTGAGTGTCTACGATCGGTTAGCTTCGATACAACTGTTCGGGACAAAGGTCGGGAAAAACCATTTATACCACTGGAGAAAACATAAATATCTTATACAGTAGTTCAGCCCGATCCCTAAGGCTTTGTGTTTCAAGTTCCTGAAAGCCACCCTACAGGTCGATTTTTGGAAGGACTGTATAATCGCGCTCAATAGGAATTGCTCAATAAACATGCATTGCAGAAGCCATGCACATTGCACGACCACCCTCTTCTCGATGCGTGGTAGGGAGTTATAACTCGACAAAGCAGACAACAGCTCAAATGCTGTGTTATCTTTCACTTGGAACTCAAAGCACAAAGACGTCTGGTGCTCCACACTTTTCGAAACATGTTGTAGGCGCTGGATAATGCTTTACGGTTGGCTTGAGCTGAGTGATTTTACTCTGATTTATTTCCAACTAAAGTTGATCAGGATGTCGTAATATTTCGGTAATAAAATAAAATATAAACTCAGGCACAAAATAGCACACTTCACACTGGTTCTTATCACCGTCTTTCTCACAGGTTCTTCTTCTTTCACGCAAACAATCTCAACCACAACCACCGTCAAAAGCGATTTTTGGTCCGCGGCTACATGAAAGGCTTATTCTACACCAATTAAACTTAAATATCACTTAACTTCTTCCTTCCTTGCCTTGCGGTTTCGATACTTATTTTCAAAACCTTTGTTCTAAACCTATTTTTACTTGTTCAAAATTATTTCTGTCCTACTTTTCTACTTCAGCAAAATTTTCTTTGGTGTAGCTCGTGCCCGTCACGAATGACGCCGCCGACATAGAAACGGCATCTACACCCCCGCCCCCGTCGGCGCACGTTAGCCCGAGCGTCACTTAGTGTTCGCTTCGACGGTTGTTATTCTCCTGCTTCCGCGAGGAGAACCAGCTTAGTCACCGGACGCGTCAGCACTGTGCTTTTCGTCTGCACGTCCGCCGCACGAACGGCTCCACCCGCATCTGGAAAGACGCGTGTCACGCGCCCGATGCTCCATGTGCTCCTAGGAGCGTTCTTGTCTGCGATGATAACTACGTCTCCGACTTGTAGGTTTCTTTCTTCCCTCGTCCACTTCTGCCTGTGCTGCAGAGTCTGCAGATATTCTTGGCTCCATCTTCTCCAGAACTCTGTTGCCAGATACTGAACCTGCCGCCATCTTCTTCTGGTGTAGTTGTCGCTGTCGCTAAACGCACCAGGCGGTAGGTGAGGGCCGGCTCGAAGGAGAAGAAGATGGTTGGGCGTCAGAGGGTCGAGATCCAGTGGATCGTCCGACGCTGGTGTCAGTGGACGGCTATTGAGAATCGACTCAACTTCACACAGCAGTGTCGATAGGCCTTCTTCGTCCACGACTTGACTGAGCAGTAGTGAGCTCAGTATCTTCCTGACAGAGCGAATCTGTCGCTCCCATACTCCACCATGGTGAGAAGCGCCAGGTGGGTTGAACTTCCACTTCACGTGATGCTGAAGCATTGCTTCATGGATCTGCTGCAGGTTCCATTTGTCTATCTCCTCACGCAGCTCTCTTTCGGCCCCGACGAGGTTCGTTCCATTGTCCGACCGTATCTCTTCAGCTTGACCCCTCCTGGATACAAATCGGCGCAAGGCATTAATGAACGAGTCCGTTGAGAGGGTGTGAGCCACTTCAATGTGAACCGCTCGGGTCGTTAGACAGGTGAACAGCACGCCATACCGTTTGACCATACTTCTTCCCTTCTTCACGAGCAGGGGGCCAAACAGGTCTACCGCCGAGAACGTGAACGGCGGCCGGTCGGGCGTAACTCGATCCACGGGCAGATCGGCCATCTTTTGCGTCAGCGGTCTTCCTTGAAGTCGTCGGCATGTGAGACAGCGGGACAGGACCCGCCGAACAGCTGCGTTTGCACGCACCACCCAGAACTTCTCTCTGAGTGAAGCTAGGACATGCTGACGGCCTTGATGACCCACTGATTGATGCACGTCTTGGATGATGAGATCCGTTACGTGTGACTTGGCCGGCATAATAGCCGGATGCTTGCTTTCAAATGCTTGTGTAGACCGACCGAGACGCCCTCCGACTCGTAACACGTTCTGGTCTAGAACGGGATCGAGGCGGCTTATCGGGCTGGAGCGCTTGACATTTTGCATCCCTCTCAGTCTGCTTCTTTCTTCTTTGTAGCTTTGTGATTGAACATAGCTGATCACGGCCGTCTCTGCGTCATCAATTTCTTCCACAGACAGGAGAGCTGGTGTGGTCGGCTGATCAGCGCGAGCAGCTGTCCCCTTCTTGTTCGGCTTCTTCTTTTCGTTGGCCGATGTACTCGAGGCACTCGATCTGCTCCCGTCGTGTGCTGCTGTCCTCGTCTGCAGAGCCGAGAGCGCCCGCTCTGCCTTGGCCTTCAGGAGGCGTCTCAGCCGCAGGAAGAACGCCACCGCTCGCTTCAGTCGGTACCATGATGAGTACTGCAGTAGAAGTCTGTCTGTGGGGTTCTTCTCTGAGGTGCTTGTGACCGAAACTATCGCAGGTCGCTTCACTTCTGCGTCATTCTGGTCCAGTTGGGCAGGTAAGTTCAGATCCACAGGCCAGTGCTCTTCGTTTTTCCACAGGAACTCCGGTGCTGATGTCCATCTCGAACGATGGAGAAACTTCTCCACAGAAACCCCACGGGAGGCTTCATCAGCCGGATTCGACTTGCCATCGACGAATCGCCACTGACTTGGGTCTGAGTGCTGCTGTATGACCTGGACTCTGTTGGCCACGTATGTATGAAAACGGCTAGTTCTGTTCTTGATGTAACGGAGAACGGTAGAGCTGTCCGTCCAGAATGTAGTGCTGTCTACAGCTACTTCTAGCTCCCTCTTGAGCTGTGCGTCTAGACGTACTGCTACCGTGGCAGCTGTCAGCTCGAGGCGTGGAATCGTGACAGTCTTCAAGGGTGCTACTCTTGCCTTTCCAGCCAAGAATGAGCAGTGGGTCTTCCCTTCGATATCTGTCATCTGCAAGTAGGCTACTGCGCCGTATCCTGTCTCACTTGCATCGGCAAAATAGTGAGCCTGGCAGGAAGTGATGGCCTTGAAGCCTGGGGGCTTGTAACACCGTCTTATCTTGAAGTCCTGAAGGTGATGAAGAGCCTGCGTCCACTCTATCCACTTCTGTTCCAGGTGCTGAGGAATGGGGTCGTCCCATCCCAGGTCCAGCTGACAGAGATGCTGTAACAGGATCTTCGGAGCCATCAGAACGGGTGCTACGAACCCCAGAGGGTCAAAGAGCGAGCTGGTTGCCGATAAGATGCCTCTTCTTGTTGCAGGTTTTCTCATGTCCTGAACTTGAACTCCGATCGTGTCTGATGAGACATTCCAGAGGATGCCCAGAACACGTTTTTCGGCTGAGTCCGTCTCCAGTAAGCTTTTACTGGCTGCTTCTACCGCTCTGTCTTCTTCTGGGATGTGTTCCATGACTGACTTGTCATTCGAAACGAACTTCGTGAGGTGAAAACCCCCCTTCTGACATGCTGAGCGGAGCGACTCGGTTAACTTCACAGCTGAATCTACGTCTGGCACGGACTTCAAGCAGTCGTCTACGTAGAAGTTACGTTCTATCGTGTTCTTCACTTCCGAGTGGTCTTCAGTCCCTATGTCTTCTGCAGTTTTCTTGAGGGCAAAGTTTGAGCACGCTGGCGATGACTTGGCTCCAAAAAGGTGCACCCTCATCCGGTAGTCCTGTGGCTCCTGGGATGTGTCACCTTTAGGCCACCACAAGAACCGCAATAAATCTGCATCTTTCTCAGGCACTCTGACCATGTGAAACATGCTTTTGATGTCAGCGGCGAATCCGACTTCTTCCTGTCGGAATCTTAGCAGTACACCGAGCAGACTGTTTGTCAGATCAGGTCCTTGTAGCAGCTGATCGTTCAGTGACACGCCGCCGTACTTTGCTGAGCAATCGAAGACAACTCGCGTCTTTTCTGGCTTTGCAGGATGGCTGACGGCATGGTGAGGCAGATACCATGTCTTGCTAAGTCGATGGAGCTGGTCGGGAGGGACAACTTCAGCGTGACCTTCTCGGATGAGTTCTTCCACACACTCAGTGTAGCGCTGATGTAGACCTTCGTCCCTCTCGAGTCTTTTCTTGAGCCCTTCGGCTCGTCCTTCAGCCATCTTGCGATTATTCGGTAGGCTAGTGTCTTCGTACTTCAGTGGTAGAGCTATTTCATACTTTCCGTCGCGCAGTGTGATGCTGTCATTCACTTGTTTTTGCCAAAGCTTATCTTCGACTGACAGACTTGGTTCGCTGCCGACCTTCTCCGTGAAGTCACTGTTGTACATATCAGTCAGCATTTTAGCTATATCTTCTTTAGCGCTGGCGCCGACTCGGTTCAGTTTGACGGAGTTGCTGCTGGTGATGTTGGTTTTCTGGTCGCTGGGGCCCACTATGGTCCAGCCGAGGCGGGTCTTGATGGCGTATGGTCCGCCGTCTTCGCAGTGTACGATGTCCCAGGGCTCCATGGCGAGAGGACAGTTACATCCGATCAGCAGGCCGACGTCTTCTGCTTCCACGACCGGAATCTTGATGCCAGCGAGGTGAGGCCACTGCTGCACGACAGATGCGTCCGGTATATCGCTGCTCGTGACAGGGATCTTCTTGATTGTGTATGTACACGGCAGTTTTACGCTGCCGCTCCCGTCCAGGCTTGATACTTGAAGTCCGGTTAGGGCTTCGCTGCTGATTTTTAGCTCGTCTTGCTCCACGGTCGTTATCGCCAGTGACGTTTCTTCTCCCTTTAGCTTCAACTTCTCAGCGAGAGCGTTGGTGATGAATGTTGCCGAGCTGCCACTGTCAAGAAAGGCGTACGTTTTGCTTGTTTTTTCCGTTCCGGCCCGTGACCAGCACGGGTAGTATGGACATGACAGGTCCGGCTCGGTCCGTCGTCGTTCCGCCGCATACTTCACTTCTTGGCTCGGGCAGCGGACCGGGTCTTCCTTTTTCTGAATTTCTTGGGTCCATGTGAAGCAGAGTTGGGTGACGAGAGCCGCACTTCGAGCATGTCTTCCTTTTGCGACACTGTCTAGAGCTGTGCCCGTATCGGAGGCATCCAAAGCATAGGCCACTTTTCTTGACCAGCTCCAGTCTCTCGCTGGTAGTCTTATGCAGCATCTTCTGGCACGCTTCCAGGTCGTGACCTTCCTTGCAACACGGACAGAGTTCGCCGTTTGCTGCATCTTCCGTTGTTTTCGTCACATGAATTTTCGATTTCTTTACTTTTACATCTTCTCTTCTGTTTACAGGTGATGACTTTGTTCCACTGGAGATAGCAGCCATCTCAGCGGTTCCAAACACGGGATCGGCCGCCACTTCCACTTCCTTCTCCACGAACTCCACGACATCTTGAAAGCTGGGCTTCGCGTCCTGTCTTGTCAGAGAGAAGGCTAACCGTCGCCAGCCCTCTTGAAGGGCGGCTGGTAGCTTGCCAACAATCTTCTGCAGGTTCTTTGGGTGGTTTACCTCAGTTAGACTGCTGATGTCTTCCATAGCATTCAAACAGCCTCTCAGTTTGATAGCGAAGTCTTCCAGCCCGTCTATATCCGTGGCTCTGATCGCGGGCCAGGTGAGCAGCGTTTCCACGTACGCCTTAGATATTTTGTAGTCATCGCCGTATTTTCGGTCGAGAGCCTTCCGAGCCTCAGCGTAGCCCTTTACTGGATCAATGTGCATGTAGCTCCGCACTATGGTGTTGGGCTTTCCGTCTGTGTATTGATCCAGAAAGTGCAGGCGCTCCGCGCAGTCTTCTGTCCTTTTGGCTATCCTGCTTTCAAATGCGCGGATGAATCCTTTATACTCCAAAGGATCGCCTCGGAAAGTCTGAATCTGCGACTGGGGTAGCAGAGTTCTCTTCTGTTGAGTTAACAGTGCTTGAATAGCTGTCAGTTCTCGTTGCGAATCGTCATTGTCATCGCCATTCGCAGCTGAGCCTTGTCGTCTTGGAATGGTTTCTTCATTGAGGACACTCGCGCTCATCTCAAGTGCCTTTTCTCTTGCTTCAGCAAGCGCAATTTCTTCTCGCAGCTGAAGCCTCTCTCGTTTCATTTTAAGCTCCATTTCTTCACGAAGAAGTCGTTCTTTTTCTTCGAGTAGAGCTACTTTGGCCTCTAGCTCTGCCCTCTTAAGAGTTTCTTGGGCTCTTTGGCTTGAGGTAGAGGAACTTGAAAGGAGAGACGTATGTGACATTGAGCTTCTGCATTCAATTGCCTCCGCTTGCTCTTCGGTAGCTAGAGCTTTCTCCAGTCTTTCTATCAGAACAGCCTTGTTACCGCTTGTCGACAGGCCTCTTTTTCTGAGTTCTTCCCGTAGGGACTTTGCCGTACGTAACGGTAGGTCGTTTGGAGAGTCAGCTCCCATCTTCTTATGTACTTTGACTTACACTTGCGTTGTTTACGTTAAATGATTCTTACGTTAAACAAACTTCATATCTTCATATCTTAAACTTGACTAAATGTAAGAATCATAAACGTAGAAAACCGCTTTTGACTAAATGTAGGCGCTGGATAATGCTTTACGGTTGGCTTGAGCTGAGTGATTTTACTCTGATTTATTTCCAACTAAAGTTGATCAGGATGTCGTAATATTTCGGTAATAAAATAAAATATAAACTCAGGCACAAAATAGCACACTTCACACTGGTTCTTATCACCGTCTTTCTCACAGGTTCTTCTTCTTTCACGCAAACAATCTCAACCACAACCACCGTCAAAAGCGATTTTTGGTCCGCGGCTACATGAAAGGCTTATTCTACACCAATTAAACTTAAATATCACTTAACTTCTTCCTTCCTTGCCTTGCGGTTTCGATACTTATTTTCAAAACCTTTGTTCTAAACCTATTTTTACTTGTTCAAAATTATTTCTGTCCTACTTTTCTACTTCAGCAAAATTTTCTTTGGTGTAGCTCGTGCCCGTCACGAATGACGCCGCCGACATAGAAACGGCATCTACACATGTGCTTAACTCCTCGCCCAATTTGATCAAATTAGGCATTTGCTCATATAAAAACAAAAATAAAAACGAATCCCTTCTTTGCCAGACCGGACTAAGAGTTGAGCCATGAAGTATTGAGTGTCCTCGCGCGGCTTTGAGTTCCGATTTCCAGGTGACCGGTGCCATAGCCCTCGCGCTATTTTTTCTGTTTTGTCGAGATATGACTATCTACCACGCAGCTGGAAGGTGGCCGTACCTTATGCTTACAACCCTTGATGGGTGATGTGGCAAATGAGGAATAAAGAGGGCGACAGATACAAGCCAGCCCCGTAACTTTTCCCCGTGGATATTGTAGCCACTTGTGGCCCAACCCACGTTGTGTGATACCACATCTCATACGTACATGAGGACAATAGCAAAATAAGTATATGGATGAACTAAAACAACATGTAAAACAAACTGAGCATGATAAATATAGATATAAATATGAGTACCCATAATGGCGTTCCTGAGATTCGCTGTTGCTAATGATGTTCCCTATATTGCACCGAAGTTTTCTAGCACCTTTGGCTGTATCTGAGATTCCACTGGGAGTTCGAGCGATAACCAATTCAGCTACACAATGCCATTTTTTGCATGAATACCACTTGCAAAATGAGCTGGAGGCAGAAGTGACGCCTTCACATTTGCCTTTCCACCCGCGAAGTGCACACACTGAAGCTCATTTACTCTTTTCACGTCATGAATGCGGCGGTCACCATATCCATGGCGCTGCTGACGAAGTAGCAGCAGTAGCAGTAGCGACAGCATCAGCCCGGCCATCAGCGCCAGCATGGCACCAAGCAGGACATACGGCAGGACGTGGAGGTGGGAGGTGAGCCAGCCGTCCAGGGACCCGCGGGAGGCATCAGCGGACCCGCTGGAGGCATCAGCGGACCCGCTGGAGGCATCCAGGGATCCGCGGGAGGCATCAGAGGTCCAGGAAGAGGCATCAGAGGGAAGCGGCGTCTGGGATGGGAGAGACCCAGCAGAGGAGACTCCCTTGACGCTCTTCCTAAGGAACTTTAGGGTATTCGAGTCAGAGACTCGGCGCTTAGGGGCGACCAGAGCCCGCTTCGGCAGGGAGAGGAGTCGGCGAAGGAAATCGCTGTTGATGCTGTCATCAGACCCTGAGGAAGGCATCTCCTCAGGTTGGATTTCATCTTGATCGAAAGCGAAGGAAGCGACGACGCTCGCATCGCCGGATGACAGTTTCACCCTCGCGGCTCTTCTGTTCATGAAGATTTCAACAATAGGCTTGTCTGTCTGCGGAGGACCCCTCTCCTCCAGTCCTTCCGTACCGCCCTTGGTCAGGGATGTCTTTCCTGTGGCAAGGTGTCCCTTCTTGGTGGTGTCCTGTTCCGAGCTGCCACTACTGTGACTGGAACTACCAATGCTACCCGCATTATTTGCAGTACCCGCAATACCCCCGTTACCTGCATTACCTGTAGTACGTGCAATTACCGCGTTACCAGCGGCAGTGGCAGTACCTGCAATATCCGCAATGATATTACCGGTACCACCACTACCACTGCCACCCTCAATACCCTCGGTACCACCACTACCACTGCCACCCTCAACACCCTCGGTACCGCCACTACATGCCCCGCCCCGACAAATACTGGTCTGTGGTGGACGGATGTCCTTCCGGCCATTGGTTTCATCTACAACAGCTTCCTGAGAGGCGACCTCCCCATTCGCGACGTAATCGTCCCAGCTGTAGTAAGCCATCTTGTTGTCATCATCATCCTTTGCAGGGGCATCACCGTCAGCCAGTCTGGAGGGGCTATCTTCATCGGCTTTTACGTCTTCCTCGTCCTCCTTACCGCCTTTATTCGAGTCCTGCTGTTCGATGCCTCCCTGACTGTTCTGAGCAGTGTCTGGGTCGCCCGTCCCTCCACCCGGCGCGTCGTCACCGGTCTCCTGGCCCTTCTGCTGGCACTGGGGATTGTCTGCGGAGTCGGGGAACGGGGTCCAGCCGTCCTCGGCACACCAGCGCCGGTCCAGCAGGACAAAGAACAGCTCGTACTGCGCCTGACTGAGCTGACCCGCCACGCCGCCCGCAGACAGGGCCCGCGTCCACCTCTCCGTGGGGCAGATCGGGGGCAGTGGAGCGGTCACATCCAGCTCCGAGATACGCACCTCGGTGCACGGCGAGAACGTCAGCGAACCGTTCGCAGCCTCAATTACCTCCATTTTGCGGATTTTGAACGCGGGCGAGAAGCCGTCAGCGCTTCGCACCATCTGCACACCGAGGAAGGCGTCCTTTCGCAGCTGGTTTACGCGGATGACGTCCAGCTTGAACGACTCTCTAGCGAGCACCTTCAGGCCCTCCGAGTGCAGCTCACCAATGCTGGACTTGGAGATCTCCATGCTGGACACGGTCAGGTTGAAGCTCTCCCTCTGAATTGTATCAAAATGACTGTTCTCCACCCTTAGCTCCTGCACGTCTCCGTAAAACGATCCCGGGTGTGTGTTCTCAACACTGAGGGAGTTAATAGTAAAGGACCCGAAAGGGTTCTGCCCGTGGAAGCACTTGGCCCTCATCTCTTTGACTTTAACAGTGTTCCATTCGGTGTAATAAGCGCTCCCTCCAAAGCTGTGCTCCTGACAGTCGTCCATTGTGACGTTAGTAAGTGACATACTAAACATGGGCGCCGAAAACCCGCTCGACTCCAGGTTAAGGCTATGGACATGCTGAAGGGACACGCTTGGACCAGTGATACTAGCCTGATAGCTGAAGGCGTTAGGCATGACATTAAGGTTTTCGATGTGATGCATTCGAATGGTTGTCTCCGATTGCCAAACGTCCGAGAAGGAGTGGCTCTCGGCCTGCAGAGACTGCACGTTCTGGAACAGCACCGAGCGCAGCCTGGTCTGGTTGTGGGAGGCCATGCCGTCCCGCCTGATCTCCAGCTGGTCCACATCACTGATGGTGAGGTTGACCAGGGACGGCAGGTCTCCGATCACGTCCTCCTCGAGGATGAGCTGCTGCATGTTGCGGATGGTCACCGAGTGAGCGGTGGCAGGGATGTCTCCCTTCCGGAGGGTCATCTGCGAAATACAGCACACAATTTAAATGCACTCGATGTAACAATTCCGTTGTTTATGTACGCAAATGGCTTAAAATAGCACTGAAGCACGTAAGAATGCATTGTATCGTACATCACACAGCATCACATAACGAAAAAAGGGAACAACATCATGAACGTATGAAATAAAAGCAACGGAAACTCCCATAATGAATGTTTTCTGATGCCATACCGACGATTGTTCACCTTATCTTGTTCCGGGCAGTCGCACGTCACCCTCTTGGCGTCCGCACATGAGGGCAGCACGGAGCAGCAGGACCAGCCGCACACGGCCGGCTGGCCGCTGGGCCGGCCCAGCACAGCTCCGTTCAGCACCAGTGACGTCACCAGCAGTCTCGGCAGCCACTGAGACAGCAGCGGCGACTCGCCGCGACTGATTGCCATGGCGACTCTCTGGAAAATTATAACAGTGCGCGCTGACGTGGAGACGGAGAGCAGTTTAAACCGCGCCAGGACGGTCTACTGATCGACTTGATCATTTTTACAGCTTAGGTGAAAGTTCAAGCCACCAGAGATCATCAATGTCAAATTTTCTTGGCTTTGAAATTCTTGGACTAATCGGCTCAGAATTCATGATCCCGCGCCACGCTGGGCTATTCAGCTGAACGCAACCTGGCTGGGGAGGGGGGGGGGGCAGAGTCTGCCCCGTCTAACTTCAGAACGGACGGTTGTAGAAAGGCAGGAAAATGTTAATCGAAAGCTATCAACAAGACGGTTCTTTGGAGCAAAAATTTTACTCTTAGTAGATCACAAGTCAGGTCAAATTAAGGTGGAGGGTGGGCAACTTTAAACATACTATCAGATAAGTGGTAGAGTTAGTCATTAGATGTATTCATTTCAAAATGCATAGTGTAGCCAGGCCTTAACCCGCGCCGGGCCGGTGCTCTGAGATTCCGCGCCGGGCCGGGGGGGGGGGTGTTCACCCCCTTCTAAATCGGCTCTTGAGCTACGTAGCGACACGCTGTAAGCGGCAATCGAAAGAACGTCCAAAATAAGGACGAAAACACATCGGCCATTTTTTGGGTCAGGTCAAAGGTCAGGTCACCAGAGGTCACCAAAGGTAAAATGTTGACTATTTCAACATTTTGGAAACTGCCAACGGCTATCTCGGGAACCGATAGAGCTACAGCGCCGCGGAAAAGCGCATTCGATAGCCCTTTCAGAGACCTTTCTAAGTAATGCTCTCAGATTTGACCTCAGATCAACGGTTTAGCCTCCAGAGAGCAAAAACTCCAAAAAAAACCGTTTTTACGAAAAGCATTTTTTTCGGCAATAACTTTTGACTTAAAAGAGTCATGACATTACTTTTGCCAGCATCGTGTTCCTCTCGTTGAGACGCGTCGAGTGAACTATAATTTGACCTTGCAAGGTCAACTTGAAAATTTGACCTCAGGGCAAGGTCATAACCTGACCGGAAAAGGTCATGTTGCGTATCCGTCGATCCGCAACGTCGAGCCGAACACATCTAAGGCGTCTTCAGCGCTCTAGCACGCCTCTACCAGAAGTTATTAGCGGAAAACTGTTAGATTCTGTTCGTGACCTGAGATGACCTCGGGGACATAACGAGGGGCACAGCTGCCATTTTCCGGTTCAGTGTGACAATTTTACCTTACATCTCGATGTTTGAGAGTGTCTAGAATAGCGTTCGTGCAAAACAGACGCTTTTCAATTTTCTCCCATTGACTTATAATGGAGAGGCCGCAAAATTGACCTGACCTCAGGTCACCGGTATCAACTACATTCCGAGATTAACATTTGATAGATAATGCTGCTCTAAGCAATCGCTGAAAGTTTCAAGGCCATCGATCAATCAATGTAGCTATGGCGAGCATTCTTATTTTTTTTCTGAGGTGAGGTCACTTGGCGTAACCTGGTGACCTGACCTAAGGCGACCTGGGTCTGAAATTTTCACAACATGTGCGGAAAAGATGCACGCACAGACCTGCAAAAAACGGCGGCCGTTTTTGAGATATCTGCGAAAAACGCAGGGGGGGGTGGTGTTCAAACACCCCCCCCCCCGGCCCGGCGCGGGTTAACTCCATCAGATGAAAGCCACTAGCCAGTTCGATGCTTTTTTGGTTGCTGCTAGTTTTTTTCGCTTTCAATAATGTAACCATACAAAAAAGACGTGCGACAAAAATACTATATTTACAATTCAAGGCAAAATATGTTGTGGAGGCCGGCAGGAAATTTACAGAGTTTTAAAACCGTATAAACTAAAGCCCCATCAATAATTGTAATTATGGGCTGCTGTGGACATTTTCAACAAAGGGAAGCGTCGGAAACCTGTACAAGGCAAGAGGTGATCGGTAGCGAGTCCGGAGGACACCTGGAAAGACAAGATATTTTGATAATTTTGGTTTGAGAATATGGCGGGCGGGAGTGTGACAATGAACGCCCAGCGGTACATGGCAGCGCTGTTTAGGCTCTGGACGGCGCTAAAGAGGAGACTGGAAGGTGATGTCCGGCTGATTGATGGCCAGTGCGTGCAACAGGACGATGGGACCGCTTAAACGGCCGCCGCAGCCCGTGACTGGCTGCGACACGCTTCGGGGAGCGGCTGCTCTCTCGGCTGCAGGCGAGCCCATGACCCGTGCATTATCCGGACCTCAACGCCCCTAAAATTCCTATTTGGGGACAGCTGAAAATTTAAAAGTACGGAATGAATAGAAAAACCAGCAGTGGGCTGAGGAAATCAGTAAATTGCGCGGTTCGGGGCATGCGACCGGAGTTCTGCCTCGCGGAGGTGGCACATTGGCAAGGGCGGATCCAGCTCAGAGTTTGGGGGGGGGGGGGGGGCAAACCATAACAATTTATTGACTCTTTCCATGCATCGTCCATAGGCGTAATGTTAAAATCATGCCGTTTGGGGGGGGGGGGGGCAAATGCCCATTTTGCCCCCCCCCCCTGGATCCACCACTGCACATTGGCACAAGCGATGCAGCACCCGTCTTTGTGCCTAGAGTGTTTTGGTATTCTTATGGAAAATGTGCTGTACGGACGGCACCGATCATGCAACCCGGTCATGTGTACCATACCACAAAACAACATTGAATATTCTATCGTTTGGTGCGATTTTGACGCTGCTGGTGTTTATGGTTTTCAAAATACGCAAATTTTAAAACCGTCCACTTTTTCGGGAACTTCCGGTACCTTAACATCGCCCATACTGTTATTAATGCACGGATCGGATCCTGTCAAACTTACAGGTTTTACGTTCGTGCGTTATTCCCCCTCCCCCATAAAAAAGTGAAAGTGGTTTCGATCCCCTTCCTCTAGTTTCAATAAACAAAACATTGTTTTTTATCTTTAACCTAAGTTTAAAATGATTTTTCATACGGCTCCTTTTGACAACGGCAAGTTGTTTGATCAGTGATGATCATTCTCACCTCTGCAGTTTTTGAAGCGCCTTTTCTGCTGAGTGTCCCTGAGCTGCTCTGTTCAACAAACGTCGCCTGTGGCCGCCTCGCCAGGTCTGGGCAATCAAAAGCCAGGCATAGACATTTAGGGGCACTTAGCAATGCGTCACTTGGGTAATCTCCACCGATGGCCTGTTTGATAGTAACATCACGGATTGTCGCCCCACTCATGCCGAGTTGAAAGTGCAAACTTGCAACACCATATAAAGTCAACAGAACACTTGACTGACCCTGGGTGTAAGCCTCCCTATCGCCGCGGCGGTGTTCTCCGGGGATGTACGATCTGATCTGATACGTAGCTATCACGGCGGCAACCTGTGATCCGTCCGCGTGACCGGTGAGGTGACTCATGCATGACGGAAACTTCTGACTGCAGAATATCAAATAGGGGAGAGCGGGGCCAGTTGAAACACGGGGTCAGATGAAACATGGCTTTATTTTCAACAGTATGCAACATATGGCGTTGCCGACACCACTGCGCATCCGCGCTCGACCACTTCCTTTGTCAACGGCGTTTGGGCGGCAAACGGACGGTAATTTTGATTTGACACTTGTTTTTGTGTTTTTGAGGGGCGTTTGGGAGAAATCGTTCTTATGAATATTTTGTGATATCTCACATACCTTTGTTTGCTGAAAGAAGAACTCCTGGCTCCGGAATAACACCTTATTTGGCCCTTCATTCAGCATGATGCCGTCCCTCCAGCTCGTTTGACATGTGCTTTACGGCGCGTGCGAGATGGCGGGAGGGGATGGGGTCAATTGAAACGCTTCTCTGAGGGTCAGTTGAAACAGGGCCACAGGCCGTTTCAATGGACCCCGGTGACCTTTGCAATGGTTATTGTTCAGGGGCTGTAAACATTAAAGGAAATAGTCCACCTTTGAAATGAGCTTTTAAACTGAAATAGTAGTTTAATAGAGCTCAATTTTTGAGTGACCCTTTTTCTCCAGCCTTTTGCTTGAAAGCACACTATAGCCTGAGATATTTCTCATTTTTCTCATCCGCCCATTTTACCATAGTCTATGTACTTTATGTCACCTATTATGAGGAGCTTTGCACTTTTAGCTTTCCAACGACCTATTGAATGTAGCATTTAGAAAAGTAAACCGGACAAAATATCTCCTTAAGAAAGTGGCCTTAAAGAGGAAAACATCCCATTGTTAAGGATAGGTGCAATTGACCCCACGGGCTGGTTCAATTGACCCTCGCATCGGGGTCATTTGAAACGGGCGTAGAGCTGTTTTATAAGCATGCGTTTGGCAGCAAAATATGTTTGAAACATAATTTTACATATCTTAAAATAAGGCCAAAAGAGCATATTTTTTCATGGCATTGTGCATTTTTCGATATGACAACTAGATCTCGCTGTGCATGTCAATATATAAAAAGTGGTTCAACTGGCCCCGCTCTCCCCTATGGGGTCACTTCCAGAGCTAGTTTCATCGTTTACTGCAATAAAACCGTGCATTGTGTACTCATACGAATCAACCAGTCACTGGCTCCCACCTCGGGCAGAACAACGATAGAACGGATGCAGCAGCTGAGAAATAGCTGTTGAACTAGGTGATTTTTCCGCTACTGCATGATCCAGTTGGGTCAAGCATCTGCCCTAGCTGCTGGTAGGACGGCACACAGGGAAGTTGCTGTCTAACGGACTTGTCATCGCTCACGACATCGGAGATGACGGCGAGCGGCTTGGTATCTGTATCACATGGACCACCTCATACCGGTATCTCGTGGTCAATGTTCGCCGTTTCGTGTCGATTCGCAGAGAAGATGACCAGTATGCCGAGTAGCGGCGGCGCAGCAGCGCTCCTTCCTGGGCGCCGGTCCCAGAGAACAGGTCCAGCTGGACGAGACAGATGACGGAGTCCTCCCATGTTTGTATAATATCTGTTATACCTAGCAGAACCTTCCACACGGAGGCCGTTCGGGTCTCACTTCAAAGAACAACAGAAACTCACACACGATCCACATTCGGTCACAATAGAAAACCAAACTGTCAAATGCACAACTGTCCTTTCCGAACTGAAGAAGGAACGTTCCTGAAATATATAAATTGGTTTTGGGCCAAGTTTATACTTCAGAAGATAGTCAGTAGGTATAAGTTTTAAATGTTTTGTCACGAACACTTCATGCAGTCTATTCACTCAGAGTTTTCAAAAACTTAATCACCGCTTAATATATATTGTTTCACGAGCAATTCCACACTTTAACACACTCCGCGATCACCGTACCTCACCGGATGGCCGACTGAACGGGGAACCACCAATCAGCACCGATCCTGGACCACTGGAAGAATCGCCTCCCAGCATTAGGGCACCGTTGTGAATCATCCAATCACACCCAATCACAATCACAGTAAAATCATCACAATCCCACACGCCGGGCTCGCCGCTGTGTCCGCGAATAGGCACTTGAGAGGCCTCTCCCCCGGCGCCGCGGCTCCGCCGACCCGACTGTACTGGACTGGCCCGCCACCAGCACCGGCCTGCACCGGTCTGCACCGGCCTGCACCGTCCGCTCCGAACCGCCCCTCCGCCGGCACTGGCGCGGCAGCCACGCCGCCGTCCAGGCTGAGCTGAGAGCTGGGCCTGCAGCCGGCACCGGGTGACACCGAACTCTGAACGACCACAGGATACTGCACAGTGAGGACAACGGGGACGGGCCTGTGCAGTGTCAAGTGTGCAGTGCTGAGTGCAGAGGCACGTCTTGACAGGAGGGCTGCATTACACACAATAACGGGAATCATCTCGCAAGGACATCATCCCACCGCGGCCGCGGCCTGCATCCTTCTGCGGCGGCTACTGTCGTTTTTCATCGAATTTAACTGATACGAGCAATAACGGTCACAGGCATACCCTCTTCAAATTCAGTCGGACATAAGCCATTGTCAATATTTGACCACTTACGGCAACTGCAGAGCTCCAGCGTATCGTCACATTATTTGCAGGACGCAGCGTTATCGACCTCACATTGAAATTGGGCCTCCCGACATTATCAACGGGATTAGCGTGCTCGGCACAGAGACTCTCGAAAGAGCGGCGGAGAATGCGACTCCCTGCAATCGGCGGTAGAGCTATCGGTCGTTGATTCTCAGCTATCATTTGAGGGGCCCCTCCGACGGCGGGCAGTCAGCACTAGCCGTATCTAAGCTTTCATGAGAATACGGGTCACCTCTTCCCTATCCTGTTCGGTTGTTCAGCCCTTGCCCTTTTGGCATCGAACACCCTCTGCGTTTTCCGCAAATATCTCATAAACGGTGGTGCACCTTATCATGCATCTCACCTGCACATCTTGTATAAATTTTAGACCCAGATCTTTCAAGGTCAGGTCCATGTAACGTTAGATGATCTCACAGAAATAGTCAAAATGCTGACCATTGCCAAGTGTTGATTTGTGAAAAGTTTTCATAATCGGAACAAATGTGATCATTTCACTTTTGGTGACTTTCAGTGACCTCAGTGATGACCTGATCGAAAAATCACGCAAATGATTCTGAAAGATCGTTTAGCTATTGCCTTTTCTGCTTCTGTCTTGTTTTCGAGGTAACTTCGTGTGGAGTGTGGACAAATGCGACTTACCCACTTACAGCATTACGAAGTTGGCCGAAACCTCGGAATGGTTTTTTTTTTCGCCACGAATTTCGCATCTAGTCATAAAACTATAAACGTGCAGACAGCTCGTCATGCATATTTTTGTGGCCTTCTATTGCAGAAAAGAAGTCACCCTTGCATCATTTCTTGAAAACATATCACAGCTTCTGCCTTTTCGATGCACCAGCACGCTGCACGCGTAACATTGATATGGAAACAGGAGCTCAGGTAAGATATGGTAGCGATGTTGACAATTTTCAGAAGAAATATAAAAAGAGCAGATCGGGTGCCTTTTCCCCCTAGGCCATACGGAGTTCAGCACCGGTTAGCTGTCGACTGAAAAAAAATCAGTCACGTCATCCTTCGACCTACACGAACAACGAAAAAATGCCCTTCATAAGTTCTGTGACGTCAATTCACGCCATAAAAAATCGTGTCGCTGGCGACCTGTGTGCCTCAGCGGCATGACTGCAGCGATTTCTGAATGGTGTTCGGTTCGCGCTTACATTTACAAAGACACTGCAGTATCCGGTGGCGGCACTTGTGACATGCGCAGAGCCGCCGATAACCATTCAACAGAGAAAGGCTGTGCTGAGTCGTGGACCAGCTTGGCGAGCCTGTAACAGCTCAGCTCAACACATCCGAAAAATAGTTGGTCATGGTGAAACAACCTCTGCACTCTGCAGCGTCAGCCCAACTTTGACAGCAAAATCAGCTGATATGCCAAAACAGACGTGTACCTAAACGCATCGCGTGCAGAAACCATGTGTAAATGCAGCACGCGCAGAAAAACGTGCAACGCACAGCTCAAGCAGATTGCAATGCTCCTGCAGCTGCGCGTATTGCGCGTCATCTATGAGTCGTCGTTGGAAACTCGAGTATAAAATGTCTCTTGTAGGTGGCGGCCTGGCCAGAGGCTCGGCTCAGCTCTGAGAACAAGATGCGGCTCGTCGCCCTGGTGGTCACAGCGGCCCTTGCCGCCACTGACGGCGCTGGTAAGTGTAGACACCCGAGCGGTGGCCTAGTAAACCGCAGCAGGTCACCAGCCAACTCTGATGACCCGGCGACCCGTGGTTGACCGGCGCGGCGTTGGAGGGGTAGCATGATGTCCAGCACAGGGTGGGCCCTGACCAACTTTGACCAGAGGCCAGTTTCACCAATAAAAAACAGACGGCTGCGATTATTTTTTGACAAAACGATAGTCTCAAAATGTCATTTGCTGCTGAAAATACTAATCGCTGACTTGAAAAATGTAATAACTTAGCTTTCAAGCGCTATATTATTTGGTCAGCAATTACTTTTTCCACCGGTAAATAGGATTTATAGGCTATCGTTTTGTCAAAAATAATCGCAGCCGTCTGTTTTTTTTTATTGGTGAAACTGGCCTCAGCTATGCTATTATATGACATATGTCTGTCGTGTCACATATGCGCTGGATTTCGGCTATTTCTTAGGAAGTAGGAGCAGATGACACAAACAAAGCAACGTCAGAGGCGGCAGCATCTTTCACTCCCCATACAACACACCAACCAGACCCAACACAAACACAACCACAAAAAAACACACAAATAAAACACATGCTCCGCCTATAAAAAAACACAACCATGCCGACCAGCCGAAACGGCCTGATCAGGCCGAGCGTCCGACGCTCAACTTTGGCCTGAACGCCTGATTGGGCCTGATCTGGCCTGATCTGGCCTGATGTGGCCTGAAGCAGCTTCATAGTGGGAACCGGGCTTAAGAAGGAACCCCAGTCGCTCGTGGTTCCCCACCGCAATAGATATCTGTAAGACACTTTCAATGCCCCCCCCCCCCACGGCCGCGTCCCATGGCCAGCCCAGCAGGGCCCCTGCGATTGGCTCCAGTGAAAAAACTGCACCCACAGCTCAGTAGGGCTTCTGCGAGTGTCTCCAGTGTAAAAAAGAAACTGCACTATTCATGACTTCCGCATGACTGCCGCAAAGAAACAGCATGACTTCCGCGAGTGCGTCCAGTATAATAACTGCACCTATAGCCCAGTAAGACTCCTGTGAGTGCTTCCAACTGCACCCACAGCCCAGCAGGACTCCTGCAAGTGTCTCCAGTGTAACAACTGTACAGTGTACCCACAGCTCAGTAGGGCTTCTGCGAGTGCCTCCAGTGTAATGACTGCATGACCCACAGCCCAGCAGGACTCCTGTGAGTGTCTCCAGTGGACTCCGTGGGTGAACGCCGACCAGGTGGACTCGGACGGCGGCGACTTTGAGACGCTGGGCTACAACGTCGCCTCGGAGGGCGGCTGGCCGGGCCGGGTGACCCGCCAGCTGGCCCGGCAGGGAGTCGTCTGTAACACTCCCGTCCGGGTGGAGTGCCGTCACGCGCGCTCCCAGAGACCCTGGTTCGAGGCAGAAGATGACACGGTGTTCCCGCGGCGGATCAACTGCGAGCTGAGGGACGGACTCGTCTGCAGAGACTCCGAACAGGCCGACGGACGCTGTCAGGACTATGAGGTAAAGGGACGGGGACTATGAGGTAAAGGGACGGGGACTACGAGGTAAAGGGACGGGGACTATGAGGTAAAGGGACGGGGACTATGAGGTAAAGGGACGGGGACTATGAGGTAAAGGGACTATGAGGTAAAGGGACGGGGACTACGAGGTAAAGGGACGGGGACTATGAGGTAAATGGACGAGGACTACGAGGTAAAGGGGCGGGGTAATACGAGGTAAGGTGGAGGTACTACGAGATACGGGAAGGGGAACACTGGGTGAGTACGGGACGGGAACATTGTCAGGACTACGAGGTAAAGAGGATACTGCTGAGACTACGAGATACGGGAGGATGGGGGAGGCTCCTCGGTTACCAAACGCAATTATCTGAGGAGTTTGATGGGCTATGTAGAACGGGGACCAAAGACTTACTCCATTAGCTCCGCTGTCTTGTACAAGAGATATTAACCTTAATTATGTATTTTACCCCATTTACCCAGACCATTCTGTATCAATATGTAGGCACTGTTACCCCATTACCAGTTTTATTCTGATGCCTATGTCCCTATATGTAGGGAGCAGGGACTGTTTACCCGTTTCACCCCTTTACCCCGCCGTTTGCCTGCTGCAGGTCCGTCTGCTCTGCTGGACGGACATGTGTGACCAGCTGCGCTGGGGCAGTGTTTCCATTACCCCGTTACCCGATTTACCCCGTTACCCCGGCAGGTCCGTCTGCTCTGCTGGACGGACAGGTGCGACCAGCTACGCTGGGGCGAGTGGCTGGACAGGGATAACCCCGGAGGATCCTGTGACTGCGAGCACCCCGGCTGGGCCGACCACCCGGTCCGCAACGTCCCTGCCTGTCCCGACGGTAAGACGGCAACGCGCCCGCCTGTCCCGACGGTAAGACGGCAGCGCGACCGACCGTAAGACGGCAACGTCCCCGACGGTAAGACGGCAACGTACCGACGGTAAGACGACAACGTACCGACGGTAGCACGGTAACGTCCCGACGGTAAGACGGCAACGCGCCCGCCTGTCCCGACGGTAAGACGGCAGCGCGACCGACCGTAAGACGGCAACGCCCCGACGGTAAGACGGCAACGTCCCGACGGTGTCACGGCAACGTCCCGACGGTAGGACGGCGACGCGCCCGCCTGTCCCGACGATAAGACGGCAACGTCCCGACGGTAAGACGACAACGTACCGACGGTAAGACGACAACGTACCGACGTTAAGACGGCAACGTCCCGACGGTAAGACGGCAACGTCTCGACGGTAAGACGGCAACGTCCCGACGGTAGCACGGCAACGCGCCCGCCTGTCCCGACGGTAAGACGACAACGTGCCGACGGTAAAGCGGCAGAGTACCGACGGTAAGACGGTAAGACAGTAACGCGCCCGCCTGTCCCGATGGTAAGACGGCAAGGCACCCGCCTGTCCTGACGGTAAGGCGGCAGCGTCCCGACCATCTAGTCTACAACGCGCCCGCGTGCCACGACGGTAAGACGGCAACGTCCCGGCCCTGGCCCGGCGGTAAAATAGCCGAGACTTCAGTCAGGTGACGTCACTCAGCTGGGCTGGATAACGACATCACTGGAGAGAGTGGCGGTGACGTCACTGGATATGATGGCGGAACGTCACTGGATAGGATGGCGGGGACGTCAATAGATGGTTCGTGGCTTATCTTCCCTTTATTGTTGTGGAATAACGCGTTACAACAAACCGGAAACGAAATGTGAACGTTTCTCCCATATTTTCTTGTGAAAATTTATTAGAATAATTCTTCTATTTTATCCATTTTCTCAGGTGGCAGCCCCCTGGAAGTTGACTGCCGAACTACGGCCGGTATTCATGCCGCACTTAGCTCCAACCGGGCCGTGACCTGCAGCGTGGACGGCGGCTTCAGCTGCTGGAATTCAGCGCAGACTGACGGCACCAGCTGTCTCGACTACAAGGTCCGCTACCTGTGCGGAAACCCGGCACCCTGAGAGCGCCGCCGATCTAATGACGTCACTGAAAATCCACTACGCGATCGGTCGATACGTCGGTGGTACTGGAAAACGACAGAGCCCATGTCTCTGACTTTGCTTGTTCAGCTCCCTGGACAGCAAAATATGGCACTGATCAGAAACGTTAATTGGCATCTAACGTACCGTGCATGGTATTTATGTTCATCATAACGCAAGCACGTGTTTTACATTCTCTTGGTGAAAGAACAAATGCACGACAGGCTTATTAAGAATTATCTACTTCCGGCCTGCCTTTGGGAGATATGGTATATTGTTCTGTTTCTGCGTTTACGGTTGATCTGTCACAAAAAAACTCTGTTTTATTACCGCTGTTGGTCTTTTTTGGCGTGTGTGCGGTGCGGTGTGTGCAGAAATATATAAAGCATTTCCGGTGAAGTCTCTTCCCCCAGCCGTTTGGCCACAGCCCACAACCAAAAGTGCCGATCGGAGCTAGGATCTTCCGGATTTTGTCCAATGTCCGATCGGAATACAGCCTGATTTGGCGTCACTTGTCTGCACAAAATCGGGAAAATCACGTATCACACTCAAACATTATTAACCTTCGCCCCAGTGGCCAGTGTGTGTGTGTGTGTGGGGGGGGGGGGGCATATGTTACCACCCTGTCGCGTTTTTTTGCGTGTGAATAAAAAACTGCGGCGCCGTAGCAAGCTTGCTGTACAGTCTGTCTTGAAAGTACCGCAGCATGGCGGGGTGGCGCTGGTGATCCGGCGCGGCGGAGGGCGGTCAGGTTTGAGGGCCACTGAATCGCCTGACCCTTGGGGAAGGGAGGGGAGGGAGGGAGGAGAGGGGTGGGCGCGAGTAAGCGGGCTCTCGGTGCTACCAGTGCGGCAGACAAGGCGCTCTTTTATGAATACGTTATACAGAGACACCAGCTAAGCGTAGTAATTCTCTTCCTGACATGAAGTTTTGATAAGTGGGAAGTGAAGCTTCCCTTTCGAGCCTCACATGTGTTTCACATGTAATCCGGCCAGAGGGCAGCGTGTGCGGTCTCCGTCGTTTCGCTCAGATTAAGCAAGGGCTTCCAGAAAGTTGTGTGCGTGGTTACGAAACACATTGACTGGTAACTAATTTTAATATTGCCAGTATTGGCCGCTTTGTAGCGTCTACTGATGGAAATGGTCCGTACTCCGTAGGAACCCGCCTTACAGCCGTTCGGCTCCTGATCTGACATATGAAATGATCAGGTCGGCGGCTCCTGATCGGACATGTGAAATGATCAGGTCGGCCCTGATCATTTCGCCTGCAGGGACATGATAGTGCCAATCACAAAATGCCTGGAAACGGATAATATGCGCTGACATGCATGGAATCGGCATATTGGCCTGACATGGTATCGAGAAGAGGTTACAGGTCAAAGGCTATTGGGTTCAGGGTCATTATATTTTTAGGAAAGATAAAGCATTGATCAATTCCGGGATATTGAAAGTTTTGCCGTGGTCGGTCGGTCGGTCGGTCGGTCGGTCGCTTTTTACGCGAGTTATTCGTGAAGAAGCTGTGAGGGACGCATCGGTTCGACCTCCTCCTGTAAGTGTGAAGGTTAAGAGCTCAGGTCAACCGGTGACCTCTCGAGCATTCTTCAGTGCCGGCGAGCATTATAACTTTTCCTGAGGCTAGGACACTATAACGTAACCTAAGTGACCCGACCTTGAAGATCTGGGTCTGATTCATTCCGCCATCACAAGTGTTTAAAAAAGATGCAATATCAGATATGGGTGGAGGGATGTTGCAGCCCCCCCCCCCAATGCAGCAGTGTGCAGAGAGCCTGCTTTGTTAAGTGATAAATCTAGCCAGCTACTTTGAAGCTGAAAGTACCTATAAAGAAAAAGGGTTCTGAGTCGCCACGGCGCTGTTCCCACCGCAACTCCAAATCTGACTTCGGCCTGCTGATCGGCTCCGACTCCGACTCTGGCTCCGGACCAGTGCACTGCCATAAGCATAAACGTATCACTTGCAGGCACGGGGATTGACGCAACTCCTCCGGACTGCTTTGGTAGCTATTATAGTAGACTCTGCAACATTTGTTGGAGTCTGCTAACATTTTCAGCATCATGGAGGGGGAGGGAGAGAGAGAGAGAGAGAGAGAGAGAGAGAGAGAGAGAGAGAGAGAGAGAGAGAGAGAGAGAGAGAGAGAGAGAGAGAGAGAGAGAGAGAGAGAGAGAGAGAGAGAGAGAGAGAGAGAGAGAGGAGAGAGAGAGAGAGGAGTTTTGATAGATCGTTAAACGAATAAAATTCACACCAAACAGCCTCGTATGATCTCAACTATCATCTTGAACTGAACAATGAACAGTGAGCACTCAGGAACTGAAAGATTAATATGTCGCTACATTAATATGTCGCTATGTCGCTACCCATAATCTCAGTGACCTTCCGCATAAATCTGCATGCTTCGTGTTTGGTATACGATTATTAAAGTCATCGTATCCTCTACCTGGAAGTAGGCGCTACGAACATTTTCTTGGCCAGTCGATCGTAAAATGCAAATATTTGCCTATAACTTATATGGATAGGAAACAAAGGAGTATAATGTGTTAGTTATTTTATGATGTTTTTATGTAGCAGCCATTGACCTTCTATAGTATGAATGGTACGAAACGTTTTTTTTTCTTTTAGCATGATAATGATTATACTTGTAATAAGGTGGAATCTTTGGCACATAAATAAAGACAAAAAACACCCAAGTGTAGGGGAGAGCGGGGCCAGTTGAACCACTTTTTATATATTGACATGCACAGCGAGATCTAGTTGTCATATCGAAAAATGCACAATGCCATGAAAAAATATGCTCTTTTGGCTTTATTTAAAGATATGTAAAATTATGTTTCAAACATATTTTGCTGCCAAACGCATGCTTATAAAACAGCTCTACGCCCGTTTCAAATGACCCCGATGCGAGGGTCAATTGAACCAGCCCATGGGGTCAATTGCACCTATCCTTAACAATGGGATGTTTTCCTCTTTAAGGCCACTTTCTTAAGGAGATATTTTGTCCGGTTTACTTTTCCAAATGCTACATTCAATAGGTCGATGGAAAGTTAAAAGTGCAAAGTTCCTCATAATAGGTGACATAAAGTACATAGACTATGGTAAAATGGGCGGATGAGAAAAATGAGAAATATCTCAGGCTATAGTGTGCTTTCAAGCAAAAGGCTGGAGAAAAAGGGGTCAAAATTGAGCTCTATTAAACTACTATTTCAGTTTAAAAGCTCGTTTCAAAGGTGGACTATTTCCTTTAATGTTTACAGCCCCTGAACAATAACCATTGCAAAGGTCACCGCGGGGTCCATTGAAACGGCTTGTGGCCCTGTTTCAACTGACCCTCAGAGAAGCGTTTCAATTGACCCCATCCGCTCCCGCCATCTCGCACGCGCCGTAAAGCACATGTCAAACGAGCTGGAGGGACGGCATCATGCTGAATGAAGGGCCAAATAAGGTGTTATTCCGGAGCCAGGAGTTCTTTTTTTTTCAGCAAACAAAGGTATATGAGATATCACAAAATATTCATAAAAACGATTTCTACCAAACGCCCCTCAAAAACACAAAAACAAGTGTCAAATCAAAATTACCGTCCGTTTGCCGCCCAAACGCCGTTGACAAAGGAAGTGGTCGAGCGCGGATGCGCAGTGGTGTCGGCAACGCCATATGTTGCATATTGTTGAAAATAAAGCCATGTTTCATCTGACCCCGTGTTTCAACTGGCCCCGCTCTCCCCTAGGATTTGCTTTGGCTTCCTTTAGTTTATCCCTCGCCGGCACAGGCCATTTTGAGTCCTTCGACGGCACAAGGGGGGGGGGGGGTTGGTACGACCCCCCCGCGTTTGGCCCCTGATCGAGCTAGAGCTTCGCGGAAAAAACGAGCGTGATGCCCGTCACGAGAGGAAGCCGATGATACCCAATTTTAAGGTCCTAGGTCATTGGGTGACCTTCCAGGTCAGGTCAATGACCCGAAAACCGGGAAAATCGGGACCTGTTAGAAAGTCGTAAAGTGTGGCTGCTATGTGGTTTTCCGGGGTGCTGATCACGAATATCGTGTTAGTTTTGATCATAGATGATGTCTTTAAGCATTTAGACCAGGTCGGGTCAGGTCAGGTCAGGTCAACCGGTAGGGGTTGTGACGGGTATTCGTAATACGTGTCAACCGCCTCTGACAGCTTCGTAACATGTTACGAAGGCACCAAAACTACTTCGTAAATGTTCAAATGGTTGCTAAATTCGAATTCAGCTCCAAAAACTAGCCTAGAAACATGTAAAACTCGAAAAAGTAAACCGAGGTCACCCGAGGTCACCAAAGGTCAATGACCTGACCTGACCTTCAGGTGACCTTGACACCCACCCTAATGCATGGGAGCAACATCAAATCACATGTTTGAACATTTGAAACTACGAAAAGCTTGCAAACGCGCGGCTAATGCGAGCCGACATGCGCCGAACCGCGATTTCGGCCAAACATGGTCACAGAAAAGAGGTCACAGGTCAAAGGTCATTAGGGTCAGGGTCATGAAATTTTCAGGGTAGGTGTAAAATTGATCAATGCGAGGGTACTGAAAGTTTCGTCGCGATCGGCCGCTTTTTACGCGAGTTATTCGCGAAAAACCTTAGGGGGGGTTGCATCAACCCCCCCCCCCCTGTGCCGGCGAGGGTTATGAGCAAAAGGTTACCATTCCATCTTACTTCCATTAGCTTTCTCTTAAATACTATTGTGCTTCAATCTCAACAAGGGTGGTGAGAACGGGAGTTCTTTTTTATCTCGCATAAATAAATACGCAACAAATTACTTTATGCTAAGTTATGGATCAATCGATCAGATCTAAACTCCATCGAGATTTTCGACAAAACTACTGCGTTGACATTGTTCTATGTTGTTATTCATATTATTATTTAGTTTTTTTTTTAATTCTGTTCCGTTCCATGACCGTAAATTATTGTTCAATATGTGTCATGTTCTGATAACAATGCGAGCAGTCGCGCTCATCCTTTAGATTGGCTACGTCTGTCTTTTCGTGACTTCGTCTAGAATAAAACGGTTCCAAGGGTGATCCGGTCACCGAGAGATCGGCGGTCAAGTTCTCCACTCGTGCTCGCGGACGGCCCGTGCCCCCGGGCGACAGGCGCCGCAGCGGGGTGGAAAGAGTAAGGGAGAGCGGCACCCCACGCGACCTGCCCGGTCACTCTCTCCTGGCTCACTGCCGTCACGTGATCTGGGGCTCTCAAACCACCGAGCTCCCGACCTTTAGTTCGCCGGGCGGCCGCAGCCCATGCTGCGGTACTTTCAAGACAGACTGTACATCAATTTTTGACAATGTGTGAAATTTTTGACCCCAGTTAATGTCAGGTCAGGTCACCAGGTCATGTTAGCCCGCGCATGACTGGGGGGG